AACTGTACAAGGGCGAGCAAGTGCTCAAGCCCCTTCCACCTCGCCGGATGTGGAGTTGGATGCCGATGAAGTTTAGGCCACAAGAAAGCTAATTCCTACGGCGAGAGAATTGGTCTCCCCTCAAAGGCACCGGCGCGTGGTTGCGCAAAAAGTAGTCCACCCCCTTATCCCTGACCGCACTTTCCAATTGGGGCCACCAACTCAATGTGCTGGACTTGTATACACAAATCGTAAAGATGTTGGCGCGTGCAGCCTCGTCGCAGACGTCCTGACGATCGTCAAGATGTATGTTTGCGCCGCTAGATGTAAGGATGGGTGTTTTACCTCCTGGACCCACTGGGTCGTTAACTATAGTCACTGACCTAAATGGGAGGCCTTGTGACCTACAGTACCCCGCTAGATTGTTGGCGTCTTCTTCCGTTTGGCGGCCACGGGCAACGCCGGAGAATGAGACGATGTGGAACTCGATCCTGCCCTGTGCGAGCTGCACAAGGTTCACGAACTTGTCCACAATAGAACGATCAAACACACCAAGGGCGTTTCTAGCGCAATCGAGGGTGTCGTGCCAATCGAAGAACACGACTAGATTATTGCCACCTACACCTTGCTCTTGGCGAGCTCGGATTAAAGGGCCTAAATCTATTCTACCCCCTGGCGCGCGAATCGCAGCACCTGCCTTACCGCTAGTAGGGACGGATGCTGTTGATGTAGAAGTCGCCTTAGGTGGTTGCGGAGGTGGTGTTGGAGGTGTCGACACTGGTGTCGCAGGTGGACTAGGTTTTGGGGATGCAGTTTTATGGGCTTTTGGAACAGGTCTTTCTGGCCTAGGTGGAACAACGATTGGAGGCTGCTTTGGAGGTGGCTTCACCTTATTGTGCTTCCTCTTCTGTTTTTCCGCCTGGTTATAGGCCTCAAGTGCTTGGCGATGCTTGCGATCTGCGAGCGAATCTACGTGTCGCTCCCAAGCCCTGTCTTGATGCTCCTTGGAGCGGGCCCAAGCTGCGTTAAGTTCCTCCTCTGTGGGCTCTGGAGGATCAGGGTCTACACCTGGCTCGTAAGCTTGGCCAACAGTTACGGAGTAGTTATAGGGAGGTCTAGGAGGAGCCTTATACTTCTTTTTGATTGGAGGACCTCCTTGGGGCGCACGTGCAGCCCCTTCCCGCCAGGGTGGAACTGCTGATGCGGACCTACTTGCTGCACTAACTCCGGGTGGAGGCGGCTTAGAACTAGCTGGTTGTGACGATGATCTTGGTGGTGGTGAGCCTATAGATTTTGGAGGAGTCTTAGGTGTTGGGATATCAGGTACAAAAACTTGGGCTTTGGTGCCGTCTCGGAAGATTTGGGTTTGGATTGTACCTGAAACTCTTGTTGAAGAAGTTGTTACGGCAACTGGAGCCTCTTCCTCAGCTGTTGTGTCCCTGTGACGAGATCTAGAACGTTCAGCACCTTCTGCACTGGGTGACAAAAACCTACTAACACTACCTCTAGTAGTTGGAGCTTTCGGCGATGCCTGCGATGGAGTGCTGGGTTCTTGAGGCGCTAATGGAGCAGCCCCTTCCTCAACTTCTACTTCAACCTCAACTTCCTCCTCGCCCTCGGGAGGGGCTTCAGGAGGGTCAGATGAGTGATCCTCTTCCTCTTCGCCTTCTGGTTCACCTTCAAAGGGATCTGGGTCCTCGTCCGGTGCCTCGGGTTCAGATGGAGGCCCACCTGGCGCAGCGGCAGTTGATGTTGGTTCGGGTTGAGGAATTGATCTACGTCGAGATTGGTAAACCTGCCTACGCCCAGAAGAAGTTGTTGTAACAATAGCCCTTCTTTTTGGTGGAGGAACTGTAGTTTCTTCCTCTTCTTCAACCCCTTCTACAGCTTCTGAATCAACGGCAACTAGGCCTTCAGGTTCTGAGATCGGGATTACCTGGGTATTATGGGAGGATACCAATGCAGTGTTGCTACCAACCAAAGACGGATCACGCCAAACTTCGTCAGCAAGTTCGTGGGGGTCAACGGATGATGTAGCAGTGCCAGGAATGGCAACAGGAACAGTTGTGGGTTCCCTACCTGCAGAGCCAGACGGCTTTGAGATACGCACCCAAGTGCCCTCAGAGTTTATTATCACAGGTGGATAATTATTATCAGTAGGTCTTAGGGCTATTGGTCGGGAACTAAGACTAGGGGTACCCAAGTTACCACCCCTTGCACGGCGTAACACCTCAGTGTCCTGATCTGCAAAAGAACCGTCAACTCTCGGAGTGAGAGTGGCTGGAACCCGTGATCTAGATCGGCTCACTGGCTTAGGCGCAGCAGGTGCTGACGCAGCTGGGGTCTTATCGATGTTACCACCTTTAACTGTTCGGGCAGGGGGTGTGCCAGCTCTCTCACGTGGTCTTCCACGCTCAGCCCTATCCAAATCAGCCGCCGATGGCGGTGGATGAGATGGTGGCGGAGGGATCGCTGTTGCAGCCCTTTCTCCTTTTGGCGTTGCAGCTCTTGGCGGCCGCTTTGGAGGAGGTCCTAAAGTTTGGTGGAAATCTCGATGTGCAGGCACGGATGGTGCTGGGTAACTAGGTGGGGATCCTAATCTTTTTAAAGGATTATCCTTAGAGGGCTTAGCAACTTTGGGGTCCGATGCTTTAGGCTCTGCCGGTTCTGGCACGGATGCTTTGCCGGATGCTTTTGGATCGGATGCTTGCTCAGCCTCTTCAGGTTTAGGGCGCTTTTCAGCAGCCCCTCCCGTGGCACGTGGCGGCGGAACACTGGCTACGGACTCTGAAACTTTCGGAGCGGATTGATGGCCTGCAGGTCGAAGGGATGGCACCCACGGCGGTGGATGACTGGGTTCCTTAGGTTCAGACACTGGCTTAGGCCTAGCTTTAGCCTTCGGTGGGCCCCTTGGTGATGGAGTGTGGGTTTCTTCAGAAGAACTAACACCCCTATCTACTGCTGGGTCAACACCTAATGCTGTAGCTTGCTCGGATCCAGATGGTAGTTCAGTATTTTGGGTAAATACGCTAGCTTTGGCTTTTGCCTTACCTTTTGGTTGTGGACCCCTATAGGTATCGTAGTCGTCCCAAACGGATCTAGGTGGATCTGGATCCCCAAAAGCTTGCAAGTTAATGTGATCCCTATCAGGTAGCACAGTATTTGCAGCTGTATCTGGAGCAAGATGCAATTCACCTCTTCGATATCCGTTAGTAAAAACCCAATTTCTATAAGGAGCAAAGGTATTAGCAAGATGAACTAAGATTTGGTTTAGCGTACAATGGTTGTAGAGGACTCTAAAGACACGGACAGTCCAAATCAGTTCAGCGGATGCTTCTGAATGGTGGACGTACCTGAGCCAGAATTCTGCCTCGTTCCAAAGAAAGTCAGCTAGTTTATCAAAGTCGGATTGCCAACGCTGTATAAGCCTTTTGGTCTGGGCTTTCTTCCCGCCTTTAGTTCCACGCACACGGGGACCTCTGGACGGTCCTGCAGGAGAATGGCCTGTTTGGACGTGCCCAGTTGTTGAGGCGCCTGCGGCAGCCCCTTCCTGCTCAAGAAACGGTGATGTTGGGGGCGGTGGGACTTCGTCCTCTTCCGCTGTCCCTCCAAGGTGTTGGACGTATACCGGAGCAAATGTCGAATTAGGGTCTGGCTCAACTACGGATGGAGAGCTTCCTAAAATCGGATCTGCGGCGGAGTCTGCGACCTCAGCACTAGTTTCCTGATCAGGGTTATTGGAAAAATCAGCTTCTTCTTTTGGAATTAGATTTTCGGGGTTATCACCTTCGAGATTATTTTCTGCTTCGATTGGTTCGGATGCCTCAAGCTGTTCGGCTGGCTCGGCGGTGGGATCGAGGTCGGCCTCAAGTGCTTCAAACGACTGTTCAGTAGTGACCACTTCCTCCGGTTTTGGATCCAAAAGGGACAGTGCGTCAAACTTCAAGATGTCAAAGTCCTCGTCGGCGTCGTCCTCTAGGGCGCTAGACGCAGCCCCTCCCACGTGAAAACCAGCTGACGGCACGGGCGGGTCCTCAGAGGCGTCTGCCCAGTTGAACCCGGTACTTCCTTCAACAGTGACTTCAGCGCTTTCAGCAGCTTCCGCCTCTGCTTCCGGGTTCCCTTCGGCAACCGGTTCGGAGGCGCTCAAAGCAGCCCCCTCCAGCAGACCCTCTGGTACCATAAAAATGTGAAACAGGAAATCAGCGAAAAGTGAAAGGCAGTGAACGAAGTTGCGTGGGGCCTAAGTTACCGACAAGGGAGTTTAAGACTTTCCCAGCAAAGGAACACTAAGCCAATACGGCTGATAACCAGAGAAACAAGGGGGAAACAACCAACAACAGTTTAAACTCCCTTGTCCCATAGATCGCAAGTACCTACTTTTATGCTCGGCACTTGAGCCATATATTATGGCATGTCATACATAACTGTACAATACTACAGGAATTTTAATTGGTGTCATAGCTACGGTAGGCAGTGGACTACTACTAGTATATACAGTGGTGGTATAGGGGTCGTAATATTTCTACTAATATAATATATAATATAATATAATATATAATATAATATATAATATAATATAATATAATATCATTTTATATCATATAACATAATATAACATGATATATATAATATAATATATAATATAATATAATATCATTTTATATAATATAATATAATATAATATAACATAATATAATATAATATTATATTATATATATGTATTAATTAATTATATGTATATATATATACATATATATACACTGTATGCACTATAATATATATATAATATGTATAGTACAAATAGTATATAATATTATATAATTATATAACATGATATATATAATATAATATATAATATAATATCATTTTATACCGTATAATATAATAAAATATAATGCAATAATATAATATAATATAATATAATATAATATAATAATACATATATTATGTATATATATACTGTATGCACTAATGTATGTATGCGCATGATTACTTCTGTATTACATGGCAAGCCGGGCCTGGGAACCAATTGCCGAAGCCACTGTGCAGGTTGTAGGCCAAGTCCACCCCCATCAGCACCCCCGTGGGGGATGGGTAGATAGACATGTTGTCCTCAGCAAAATGACCCCAAGGTCCTTGGAAAATGACCATTGAAATAGTGGATTTTCCCATTAAAAATGGTGATTTTCCATAGTTATGTTAGTTTACCAGAGGGTAAATCATGACACAAGGGAAAAAACACAAAAATCATAGAGCTGGGACAAAGACATTTTTCAAGCCATGACTTTAAAAAAAACATGAGGGGTGTCTAAAACCCCTCAGAAACCCCGCCATGGAAATCCCTTCGCTTCTCCCAAGCGACTGTGGTGTAGTCCAAGAACTTGGCACGGCAGTATCGCTCAATATCCTGGGCGAAGATTTCGACAGCGGAAACATCCGCTTAGACCCCAAGAGTAACACCCAAAAAAAGGATGTGGTTTACTATGGTTTACTATGGTTTACTATAGTTCAATACTGTTTCAGATTGTTTATTATGCTTGAAAAAAATGTTTGCTTTATACATCATAACATAATGATACCTACTAAATCCGCTCATGTTATCGTTTTGAAAAGTCCAAGGTTGTTGAAGGTTAGGGCCTTCGGGCGGATGCTGAAAAATCTGAACACCAAGCGTCGTGGGAATCGTAGTCACCCCAGCGCAACTGCACATCGATCCAGTACTTGGTGGTGGTCGTGCCATCGAAGCCGTCCTGGCGAGGTCTCTGCCATCGTATCTGCATTCTATGTATATACCCTCTGGTAATTTGTTACATAGCCATGGAAAATCACCATTTTTAATAGGTAAGCCATCTATAAATGGGCCATTTTCCATGGCTATGTTAGTTTACCAGAGGGTATATATATATATGTATGTATATGTATATTAATCAATTCATCTATGTATATATCATTATATATCTATATATCTATATAATGATATGCAATACAACACGTCATGCCCACATAGGCATTGATATGTCCCATTTCACAAATCTGGCCATGAATTGAGGTATGTATCTATACATTTGTATCCCCAATCTTGAGACCAAACCCAACTGACTACGGTTCTACGTGACTGCGGGTCAAAAAAAAGTGACCCACCCCACCCCAAAAATTATATAGTGGTTTCGCATCTAGACGTATCTAGGAATCAACCATCTATTTTGGGGTGGCAATCATTTTGACCCGTCATACACATCATATTCGCATTCTATCCACTTGATATTTTCTATTTGTTTAACGAGTTGAACCATGTTAACCTCCCATTTTCTGGGTGAAATCTGTCCCGGGAAACCTTGGACTCCGTGAGCAAAGATGGCTTGGACACGGCCCACTTGTAGGAAGCGAAGAGCAACACATCCGCACAGCTGGAGTTCATCTTGTAACTCTTGCGCGGGTGAATCGTTTCCTGCCGACCGGATGGCCAGGGATGGCTTGGTGTTGATGGTTGAAATCCCCTTTTTACTCTCTGCATCGTAACCATTCGAATGGAATCAAGTAGTCATTAGAACCATTTACAACTGGATGTTCTCCTACGAAATGTATGATAATCTATGTATATATATATATATAGCTGGACCAAAACACACAGCCATCATCAACCAACCTTTCTTCTGCTTGCCCCTATCTGCCGTCCTTTTGCACCATCTCAATCTCCAGCGCATCCAATTCCAGATCAAAGACCTGCGGTGTTTCCCTTAAGCCATTGACGTTGGGATCAGTTTTGGTCGATGGCGACGGCAAAACGAGAATTGGGGAAAAGCTTCGTGGGAAAAGCCCTGGATTGGTTCGTTTCTGTTGCCAAAAATGGATGGAACATGGCATCTTTCCTGGCAGTTTCAGCCTGGGCGATGGTATCCTTTTGGGTATCCTTTTGGGAAGGATATTCACCCAGGACCAGTCCCAGAAAAGATCAGGGACGTCTATGACTCTAGGAGCTAGAGGTAGAGATGGAGGCTTCCTAAATTGGGGGTACCCCAAAAATCATCGAACATTGCGATATACCGACTGAAGTGCTGAGATTGGAGAAGCTTGTCAGAGTATTGTGAGAGGAACAGTGCGACAGGCATAGGTTAAGAACAAAGAGTTCACACACTTGGGATTGCTTAAGTATAACATCTATGGGAAAATCAATGGTTTGGGGTATCCATACTTTAGGAAACCTCCAGATGGAACTGTTATACAAGTTACCAGGAAAATGGCAGCATCTTTCTCATCCATGCCACTATATGCCACCGGGATCTATGTTCAAATCTCAACTGCCACAAGCGGTGGTTTCCTCAAAAAAGCTACCCCCAGTCATCATCCATCGTTGTTTCGGATTTTCCATTATAAATCATCCAGCTATTGGGATACCCCCATGACCCTATGACTTAGGAAACCCCCATGACCCTTCAGCCTGACACAGATCCATGACGATACTCTCATGGATCTTCTGCCACAAGTGGGCCCGGAAGATTTGGATCAGCGAGATCTTCAAAGTGGGGATCTTGCCTCGGCAACGTTTTGAGCGGAGGCGATTTTGGACATGGCATTTTGGACATGGCGAAGAGCTAACCAAATTTCTGGAGATCCTAGGAATCCTAGAAATTGTCCCACCAACTTGTCAAGGTTTAAAGATGTTTAAAACAGTTAAGAACTAGTCACCTATACCAACATACTGCGGTGCTGCTACATTTGGATACATTTGCCACAGATGATTTCAGTAAAAGTCCCTGCAGTTGGGGGATTTGAGAAGTCCCCAGAATGGATAGCTCGTGGGAAGGTTCAAAGGGCTCAGAAATATCAAGATACGTATAAGTAACTGTATCACATTCTGATTGCCTGCAGCCCATGATGCTTTGATGTCCAAGGATTTCTATACACCTGTCATTCAGAGCCCTGCAGTCCCAGTTGCCATGCATGAAGATTCCAGTCAGATCCAACTGCACCTGCCCGAAGGGACCAGTCAGCGACCAAACATGTACAATATCGTTGACATGATATTTGCAACCCCCAAAAAAGAAAAGTAACTCCCCAGTATTTTACTTGGATTTTTCACATGTTGTTCAATCTATTTAAGGGGCCTATAGAGTATATGTCATAGTCATCTGGCTCTTGCCCAGGATCTTCGATGTTGGCCAGCACCGTGCTTTCTTATTGGGGATCTGGATTTCATCCCAACGCCCAGACACCCTTGAAGTATCTTGAAGCGACCTGGAAGCCCACATACACGTTGGCTCGGTTGATGGTGGGCGACCACCACAGTGTGAAGCGTCGATTCGGGATTTGATTCAAACCTTGGGAGTCGACATCGCCAGATTCATAGGACATATTTTTTGTTACCCGCTACTTGGGGAGGCTAACCATCCCCACATGCCGAGTAACCTGACCATGGCTAATTCCTGAAACGACAACATTTGGTCCATGGGTATTGAAGTTTCTTCCTTACCACGTAGTTTCAAGATGTTTCAAGGACAAGATGCCTTGCTGATGAATTTTCAAAGTAGTTTGAGAGCCGGACATTTTACCATAGAAGTTGCCTCTGAAGGGATTACTCGAAGCTTTTTGTAGTTTCCACATGAAGGTAAACCAAGCAAAGGATTGAACCAAGCAAAGGATTGTTGAGATTGGGCGGGTGCTCAGGTATCTCCCAGCTCGTATGAGTCAGACATGGTCGCCCGAAATATAGATACTATGAAAGATGCATGATATATAATTATGTATATATAGATATTAAATAGAATCAGCTGGTACATGGTAGTACTATGATACTTGATTACCATCTTTATACATATTTGCCAAATATCTATGGGCATGGCACAGCCAAAAAAAACACAAAGCCATCCATTTCGGACCCGGGATACCGCTGCGTTGGGCGTTGGTGAGCTTCTTGAATCTCATGGATTCTTCAAAGCCACTAGCCTGGCTGTTTTCATGGTAGGATGCGTTTGGGGTTGAGGAACATCAAAGGACTTTCCCAAAAGGGAGATCTCTAGAGTGCTTCTGGGTCCAAAAACAATCGCGGTATTTTGCTGAAGATCAACTAATGTAGCTGACTATTAGCTGGTGATATTGAGTTGTCTGAAAATAGGGTACCCCAAATTTTGCATGGTGAACCATCAGTTTCCCTATAACAATGGTTCTTTCATGGTAGTATCCCATTTTCAGACAAACCCATGTGGCCCATGTATATATATATATATATGTATATATATATATACACAATACAATTACAATAATAATAATAAGAATAACAATACCAATACCAATACCAATACATATTGCTAGTTATTATACAGTTATATTCGCCATATCCCAATAAAATACGATTCCCATGATATTCCCATGATATTCCCATGAATACCCATTAAACATTGATATCAATCAACCAATTTAAATCACCATCAAATATGATCTTCATCTCTGTTTGGGTCCCACAACTCCCGCCACCCCCAAGGCACCCCGCCTTCTCCCAGAAGAGACCCTCCCAGGTCGGGAAGTAGGTGCCCTTAAACAAGGTGTGCTCCAGAATACCCTCAACACCTGCAGAAAATCCAGGGGTAGGTGCCCAACCCCCATGATTTTCTCACCACTCCCAACAATTTCAACCATTTTCATAGGGGAAAACATGGAAAAATTCGGAGAAATCACTGGATTTTTGGAGGTTGGGGATCCACTTGTCTTCTCAGATGTGCCCAACTCCATTTCGCTAGGTGCCTTGCAACACAGTTGGGATTTCCACACGTCAAAAATCGTCAAAAACTCCGCCAAAAAATCGATGCTTTTAGATCCAAAGATTCCCAATGACCCAATTCCTTCGTGGTTTCAGATGAGAAGTGTGGGAAAAAACCCTGCGAACTGTCCCTTTTAGATGAGTTGGTTATAGTTGGTTCATAGGATGTCCCATGATCCATAGTTGTGATAGTCATTTGTTTGGAGAGTCGGAAAGCTCATCATCACAGCCCTGGCGACCTCCCAGCGCTTGGATCATGTCGGTACGGTAGTTGTTGAGGTTCCACAGCTTCCCATCGTGGCGTTGATGGGTCCACCAGAAGGGGTTCTGTCGCATGATGTTGTACCTTTCACGCCGTTGCCACGGGGCAGATCTAATGGAGGTCAAATGGAGGCCACGGAAATCAATGGTTTTTGGATGAAGTAAGTATATGTAAGTATCATATTCTTGGGGGGCGATTTTTCAAAACCAGGGGTAGCAAAAGGACAATTCAGGTGGAATGAGGATCACATGACCAAAGATGCGGGTTCTCACCAGAAATTCCTATCCATAACCTTCTGCAATCCCTTCCTGAAGCTTCTTTTCGGCTTCGATTACCGTTTTCGAATGTTCGTGTTCATTGTTTGGGCTTCTATCCTAATTTTGGTGCTTGCATGCTTCATGCTGGCTAGAAACATCACATCTCGATTCATGTGTTCAGCATGTTTCAGCAATCCCATAACAACTGGTGCTTCTATTCCCGCTCGTAGGTGTCGTTTATATCCAATACCGGCAATCAAACATGGCCATTAAACATCCACCATTGAGTAAATTTCCTTCGATGATTGTCCCATTTTGCCTACATTTCGTTCGGGGATCTTCGGGGATTCTCCGAAACGGGGGATGGCTTGAAATTGACATGACATGACCAGGTTGGATCAATCTTCTGATATGTTGACCCAGTCACAATCAAAGTTGGTTCTATTGGTTCTACTCCCGTTTCTGTAGCTGCTTTTGCATGCTTCTCTCGATCTTTGTTGCTACAAGTATCTCCCTATGGACAAATGTGGATCCAATTTGAGATACCGTGTCTGGACTCACAAATTGCAGTGGTTGTTCCGTGTTGACCTTTTGTGTCGACCAGTGAAACAATCCTAGCGACTTCTTGATCCTTCAACCGCAAGAGTCATTCAGTAAAGAGTCACCATTTTCAGGTGATATGATCCCCAAATCCATCTGATGTTCGGATCCATTAAAAACATTTAAAAACCATCCAGCTGTTGGGGATCCACAGTGGGAAATCCCCATCATGATCCCCAAAAGATCCCTGGTGAAAGTTCTTCAACCCAGTCACTGCTTGAAGTCTTGGCGGACACGCCAGCCCTTGTCGAAAGCCAAGGTATGTCGATCCTGTCACGTACGGAAACAACAACGGTGACTTCTGGGATATTTAAGGGCATCCAGGAACTCAGAACATACCCCCCTTATAGGTTTTCTTCGCAAAATCTACCGGAAAGGAAACCATGCTTTCTCTTCATTCAAGTCGGAGAGAAACTTGAATGGAATCATGAAATTGCCAATAAAAATGTGGAGTCTATCATCAAATATATTCAAATATTGGATTTCCTGAAAAAAAAGTTGGAAGCCCCAAATATGGGGGATCATCTTCAAATCAGCGGATTCCTTCCGGGTATCTCCTCAGTGTCTTCCCGGAACGGCGATCCATCGAGGTCTTCGCTGAATAGCTGGTCCAGTCGAAACAGTGACTTTTTACCCAGCTACAAAAAATGGTGATTTTCCATAGATATATAATTATGTGGCTGTTTACCAGAGGGTACCCATAAAATACTATACCCTCTGGTAATTTAACATAGCTATTGAAAATGACCATTTATAGTGGATTTTCCCATTAAAAATGGTGATTTTCCATAGCTATGTTAGTTTACCAGAGGGTAACCAAATAAGATTCCCTTGGGATGATCTCTTAGCTTCTCAAAATCTTGAGAGACTCCAAGTTTCATCCCCCATCCCAAACCAGCAAAACGGCGGTCCTTCTGGAAGAGCGTGTTGATTCGAGGAATTCCTCGATCCCATGCATCCTGGCCAGGTCATTTTTCCCATCCCATGGCCAGTCCTTGATCTTCCGGTACTGTTTTGGAAAAAAAACACCACCAACAATAACGGTGGGGATGTGGGGATGTGTGTTCCCATCATGAAAAATGCTTCGTTTGAACGCCCAACACCGGGTGGCCCCGGGTGCCCACCCGGGGCCACCGGCGCACCTCCAAATCCTCCAAGGTCAGGCGTCGGTTCTGCGCGGTGGCCTCCTGTCGCTTCAGGGCGTACTCCGCCCAGACGCGCTGGGAATCCACGAACTCGGCCTCCCAGGTCTGGACCTCAAAAAAGGCGGCAACGAGTCGCAAGGCCCATTGAAAAATATAGGGGATATATATACATATATATATATATAATATATATATACATATACATATATATAATATACATAATATACATATATATATAGGATATACAATTATATATATATATATATGTATGTATATATGAATATATAATTATATAATGGCTATAAATATGATATATGGGGAATATCATGAGAGAATATTTGGGACATAGATGCGGGGATGTTTTTTTGATGGGATAAAAGCACCAATGAAATGGAGATCATATGGTAGCGGGAATATCATGGGAATATGATGGGAATGGAAGAAGAATGGAAAGATGATGGGAAGATGATCCCCTACTATTTGACCTGATTTAAACACATTAGTGCATTGAACCCGTGATACATGAGATCATGTTGCTTATCATCAATTTATCATTAACAAAAACTAAGAAAAAATGGGAGATTGATGGAGATTGTTCTTGCCGATTCACCAGTTCATGTCATTGCAAAACGCAGCATCTACCTTCTTTTGCATCCCATTATTGTTGACATGGTAACATTCATCATTGTAGCCTTGCCCTTTGGTTGTTGGATATATATATATATGTATTTATTATCTAACTACAAGGACATATATATATATATAATACACCTATATTTTGCGTTATCTTACTTTATCTAAAGCAACAATTCCATCTCCAATCTCCAATCACGCGACGTATCTGTAGAGGTTGGGGATCAGCTGATCTTCCTCATGGCTCAGTCCACTGCGGTAGTGTGTGATGCCCGTCCTAGGCATCGATGTCCCGATGTTCCGGTGCTGTCCGTTGTGATGGTGTCCATTCTTTGCCAAAAAAAGCACCTCCATAAATCCAGAAATCCATGAAACAACAAGGGCCTCTGGTGACAAACCATCACAAACCTCCAATAACCTCCATATACTCAGCATTTGCTCCAATAACCATCACAAACCTCCAATAACCTCCAATAACCTTATCGAGTTTTGGGCTTTGTCCATGTTCGCCTGAGCAAGCCAAGGATCTCTGTCTGCTTGGAGTATCGCAAGTCAGACTGCGGGATCAAAATGTGACCCATACTCAGCATACCCAATCCGCCCAACTCCTGCCGTGACGGAGCCGAGGATGGGAAACAGGCCTGGGTGATTTTGAAGCCTCCATGATCACGAGATAAAGCTGGCAGTTGCTGCTTACTTTCAGATGCTTGTTGGGGTATCACTCAACTTATAGACTTCCGAATCCTGGAGTCGTTGTGCACTCGTGGTAAATTCGGAGCGGGATGCCATTCATATTCCACAGATTGGCCAAATTCATCGAATTTTCAACCCTTCACAACAAGGGTTTACCCGGCATCTATTGATCATATGGCCAGTTTATGCCAGTTTGGTTGCTTACATACTCCAAGTTTTGCTTGGCTATCTGTCTATCTATCTATCTATCTAATCTAATCTCTAATCTCTAATCTAATCTAATCTCTAATCTAATCTCTAATCTAATCTATCTATCTCATTTTTTTCATTTTTTCTCGTTCCAACATCCTGGTGAAACTCCCAACTTCTCGGTTGGTTCCTTGGGGGTGTAGAAGACCACCGGGGGGAAGCGCGAGGGCATCTTGGAGTTCAAGCCAATCTTGATGCGCGTCTGCACCTGACTTCGATGGTCAACGAACAAAATGGTGGTTTTCCATAGATATATAATTATGTGGCTGTTTACCAGAGGGTACCCATAAAATACTATACCCTCTGGTAATTTAACATAGCTATTGAAAATGACCATTTCTAGTTGATTTACCCAGTGAACATGGTGATTTTCCATAGTTATGGTAGTTTACCAGAGGCTAGTCGATGGTTTCGGGGCACCGTTAGTTAAACTGGGAGAAGACACCAGTTTTTGCCAGTTGTAATTTCAAGGTGATGTCTATATAGGTGACGTAAAATGTTGATTGACTGGTGATGCTAATGGTGTCTTAATGGTATTTAATGGGGTCTACTTGGTATTTATTCATGGTGTCTAATGGGATATATATTATGTATATATAATAAAATATACATAATGAAATATATATAATAATATATATAATAATATATATATAATAATATATATATAATAAAATATATATAATAAAATATATATAATAAAATATATATAATAAAATATATATAATAAAATATATATAATAAAATATATATAATAAAATATATATAATAAAATATATATATAATAAAATATATATAATAAAATATATATAATAAAATATACTGTAATATAATATATATATATACAGAATATGTATGTATATATATAGCCCAACTGATATGATATATGATATATGATTTAAATGTGTCTGAAAATGGGGGATGCCATGGGATACCAATATCATGGGAGCTATGACATCCACACGCCCTTTGCAGGCGGGAAAAAAAAAACATAGGGGCGGAAAACAAGCTCAAAGGGGGATGTATGCCATGGTATACCCAACAATCATGAGCAATGACTTTGGCTCAAAGTGAGGTACACACCGAAAATGTGCTCTTTGATTGAGGTACGAACCCCAGCGAACATCAAATCCAGTGGTGCGATGAGTCATGTTCGATATTACAAAAGCAAATAGTTCTCTGGTAAACTAACATAACTATGGAAAATCACCATCTTTAATAGGTAAACCATCTATAAATGGGCCATCTATACCATGGCTATGTTAGTCATAACCAGAGGGTAGTTCTCCGATTTCCCAAATGGTTATGGGTCGAAACCTTGGCACTGGTTAATGGTTGTTCCCCCAAATATGGTAATTTCATTACGGTACCCTCTGGTAAACTAACATAACTATGGAAAAACACAATTTTAATGGGAAAACTCACTATAAATGGTCAGTTTTGATAGCTATGTTAAATTACCAGAGGGTAACTTGACCCATCCCGAAACGCAGTTGCAGATTCCACATCCCCACCACCATTCCCCAGGCATTGTTTTCGCAGGCCTTGTTTTCGCACTTGACCAACAAATCCAGCAGGGCATCGGTGTGGATCACTGCCTCTCGGAAGTAGGTCATCATGCCGATCAGGTTGGTGTTCCACTTGTTGGCAATCTTCGTGAAGGTCCTCAATTGGAAGAAAAGGCACCATGGACAAAGACTTTTTTGCTGAATGTGGTTAAAGAAGTAAGAAATCATCCCCAAAATCACCATAAATGGGTGGTATAAACCATCAAACATGGGGTGGTTTATCATTGTTTTATCCACATTACTCGATGTTCTCGATGTTCCAAAGTCTAGTTTTGAGTCTCCACCAGTGGATATTCACCCCCAAATCGTTATATATACCATTATACACCATGAATAGTACCCAAGTAGATTCCATTAAGTACCATTAAAACACCATTAGCATCACCATTCAATCAACATTTTACGTCACCTATGTAGACATCACCTTGAAATTACAACTGGCAAAAACTGGTGTCTTCTCCCAGCTTAACTGGCCCGAAACGTTCGCTTCACCCGACGCGCGTTTCGCGCCCAAGCATCGTTGACCCGGACGCCATGAGAATTGTACGGCACCTTCCGGTGGATCATCGCAGCGTTTCCCGATTGAAACCGGCCAAAAACCATGGGGAATCATATGAATGACCATCTAAATAACCATTAAAAAAATAACAATAACCATTTAAATAACCATTTAACAATCATTTAATAACAATTTAAATAACCGTTTGATAACCATTTAATAACCATCGAATAACCATTTGATAACCATTTAAATAACCATTTAATAACCATCGAATAACCATTTAATAATCATTTAATAACCATTTAATAACCATTTAACAATCATTTAATAACAATTTAATGACCATCTAATAACCATTTAATAACCATCTAATAACCATCTAATAACAGTTTAATAATAACCTTCTAGTAACCATTGAAAAACCATTTAATGACCAGTTAATAACCTTCTAAATAACCATTTAATAAGCATTTAATAACCATCTAATAACCATTTAATAACCATCTAACAACCATTTAATAGCCATCTAATAACCATGTAAATAACCATTTAATAACCATTTAATAACCATCTAATAACAATTTAATAACCATCTAATGACCATGTAAATAACGATTTAATAACCATTTAAAATTTAATAACAATTTAATAACCATTTAATAACCATGTCATAAGCATTTAATAGCAATTTAATACGAACATGTATATTAAACATTGGGATAGAATGATATACCAACCATTTTTTCTCACACACCCGTGTGCCATCCAAAACTTCACACGACCTGTCAGTTTCATATAGATCAATCACTGGAAGCTGATGCCTAGAGTCACATGTAACCAAACAATAGTCCCATCCCCCTAAGAGATCTAACAGTCTAACACCCCCATTCTATGGTCTCAAATACGTCGTGTTTTTATCCCCCATCTTTCAGGGGGGTGTTCAACATTAGATTCGGAATAACTATCGTATTCAGGGATGTTTTTTAACAAACGTAACTGGGGGACCTCACCTTGTAGCAATGTGTTTTATTGCCAGGTTTGACTGTACATCATCCTAGTTAGACGCAAAGAAACAATCCCAATATATCAACACAACCCCCTAATTTTTACATTAAACACCCCCTGTTTATCGACCATGGTAAGTTGTGGATATATTATTTGCACATATGACCAATTGACATATGACATGACCATTGAAATGCCATTCACCAGAAAGGTGCAAGATCTATAGGAACCTGGGATTTTTTACTAACAAAGATATGGGAAGTCAAACCATGGTAAGTCTTCCCATGGGTTGAGAACATAAAATGGCTCAATATGATCCGTATATACGTTATATTAAGCCATGCGCTGACCCATGGGTTGACTATAAAATGGCTCAATATTATCCATATATATATATATATCCATACAGGTTATCTGGTTGGTGGTTTCAACCCCTCTGAAAAATATGAAAGTCAGTTGGGATTATGAAATTGCCAATATATGGAAAAATATGGAAAAATAAAAGTCATGTTCCAAACCACCAACCAGTCATCATAATCATCATATTGCCTATTAAAATAGATTAAAATGCCATAAATAATCCATATATATATATGTACATATCCATATAATTAGGTTATATTATACCAAGGGTTGATAACGAAAACCGAACCGCGCCCGCGCCTGTTTTCGAACTGCTTCTGAGATTCGTTGTCGACCTTCAAGAAGGCCTGCGCCGTCATCTCCTGGCTTTTTTCGAACAGCTTGCGAACTGGAAAATCACCATCTTGAATAGCTACATCAACAAAGTAAATGTATGTAAATGTGCCATTTTCAATAGCTATATGTTAGTCATTACCAGAGGATAGATGTGGGGAATCCACAATTTCCAGATCATGTTCCCAGTGAAACCCGGGATTTGCCACGTCTATGTTTAGTTTACCGCCTGGTAACTAGGCTGTGTTAGATAATGTTAAAGACATGTATAGATATATTATCTGGTTTGTGGTGACTTAGCCATCTTGAAAAATATTATTAGTCAATGGGAAGGATTATCCCATATATTACGAAAAAAAAATGTTCCAAACCAGCAACCAGCAATAAGTCTGTGGATGTTCGATTTCCAGCCATTTCAGATCACATCAGATCCAGCCATAACTCACTTTGCACCCTCCCCGTTGTTTCTCTCCGTTCCGGTCGGCGACTCCTTGGTAGCATCGTTCTGCAACTTCCACACACCCTCACGCTGCGTGAACTCTTCCTGCGCAGTTTATGGTTTCCGTGGATGGTTGCATTGGCTGAGTTTGGATGTATGGTAATTTGTTACATAGCTATTGAAAATGGCCATAGAAATAGTTGATTTACCCAGCTAGAACATGGTTATTTTCCATAGTTATCTTAGTTTATGTTAGTTTACCAGAGGGTAGTGTCCAATCTGTATCCATCATGTTGTGGGTGTCCTCACCATCAAACATCAGCACCATCAAGACTCAGACATTAAGCATCAACCATGGACCATCATCCAGAACTTTGACAGCACGACCTCACTCCAATCATCAACCATGATTCGAAGAATAGAGGGGCCACTTGGGGTATACTCCATACATACCAGCATTCATTCGGAATGCTTGTTCAAGATTATTCAACTGGGGGCCGTACCCCTGCGGGAATCAAAACATGGCACAAGACTTGGACATCCCAATTGTTGAATTGATTGGAAAATCATCCCCATATGCGAACCATGGTGCTGGAATAAATATTCCAACATTTACCCAACAAATCACCCAAATGTAGGTAAATATACCATACATGCCATACATGGAGCATGGGATCTATAAAATGATTGGTTGGTAACGACCGTTCGATTTCCAGACTAGCCATGTCCACAGGATACACGGAGACGCCTCTTTTGACATAACCCAGTGGGGCCAATGGCCATGGGCATCCAGCCTATCAGCCGGCGCGCCTGGAAAGTTCGGATCTTTGGCAGAATTCGGACTTCGAAGCCGCACATGTTGAAGAGGATGTTGGGATTGTCCTCATCAAACGCTGAGAAAAAAAACGGCTGGATTTTGGACCCCCCAACATCAGCCAGGAGCCTGCCAGTTGAGCCAACTGGGAGAAAAGAATTCTTTCAGTTGGCCAGTTGATGTTTGGGGATGCTTAGCCAATACCATGTGTCAGCTTGTGGGGAGAATATGTTCCATTCCATCCCCATATACGTCCGCTTGAATCCCCCTTTTCTTTGTTGGTAAAATCCTCAATTAAACCTTATTCAATCAACTCTAGATAACTCCCATTTTGGCCGGCTTCACCATTTTTCTTGCTGAAATCTGGTTAGATCCTGTTTCATGATTTTTCTGATCCATCCCTGGGATTTCTTGAGTCCTTGGAATACACCGACGCGAAGGAGTTGTCCCAGACTAATGTGGTCACACTGCGCGGCAGCCGGTTTTGCATCTCCCAGAAGACCGCCCTGGGCGAAACATGGCGGTCTACGCTGCCCATGGGATTTCACCAACGAAAATGGCGAAGAAAACATGGTGCACCACCAGAAATTTGGGATTTCCAGGATTTAACGTGGCTTAACTTCAACATAATTCCGATACCATCAGAAATTGGATTTGTTCACCAAGAATGGCCGTGGTGCCATGAAGAAGTGCGATGTTTACCCTTATGGCTATGAGTCAAAACCCTGGTGCCCTAGATACCCTAAGTCATAGCTGGTTTATCGTTATTCCCGCAGTCAATATGGTAATATTAGGTTTTGACACATCCCCATATTCATATGTTTACCATATTTAACCATCAAAAAATTGTGATGTTTACCATATTTACCTGGTTGGTGGTATACCTACCCCTCTGAAAAATATGAAAGTCACTTGGGATTATGAAATTCCCAATATATGGAACGTCATAAAAATCATGTTCCAAACCACCAACCAGTCATCATAATCATCATATTGCCTATCAAAATATATTAAAATGCCATAAATAATCCATATATATATATCATATAATATCCATATAGGTTATGGAAAATAAAAAAAATGTTTGAAACCACCAGTCACCAGCATATGTTTTCCATATTACACCATCAAACATCTTTGGGATTTCAGCATCGTCTATCAGAGTCTGCTCACCTTCCGAGGTTGACATCGTGTTTCATGCGTCGCATGCGGCAATCGCGAGGCCAGCACATCCTCGGTTAACACTTTTTTGGGGGTTAATTTGGGGTAGTTTGGGTCCTAAAAAATCTAAAAACTGAGATTTTGACCCCAAAAATGGTTGAGGTTTTTGTGGATCCGCCAGCAAAAAATTTGTTGATCAGCAGCTTTTTTGTGGATGGTGAGTCACACCGAATCCTGTGGGCTATGGGCTGAAACCGTCAATTTTGGTTTTGTCACATGAGATCATTTTGTGTAGACGTGTGGGACAAGTGGTTGAGTACTTCAACTAAACCTTGGGGTTGTTTTGGGTCTTCAATTTGACCAATGTCCATATGTGATACCAGATATGAACCAGCAAACATTGCAATTTTTGGAATTCTTTTTTTCAACCAAACAACCTGCGGTTGTTTAACCCACCAGAGAAAGTCGATACTTCAGATTCCAATCATTTTTCTCATCTTTTGGCATCATGAATTTCCACCGGCGGTTTTTTTTTCGTTAAGCCGCTTGTTGGTATAGCCCACCACGTTCTCGTTGTTGGGATCTGGGTTCTCCGTCAGGAACCTCTGGATCAGATCTTTGGAGTCTTCCTTGTTGAAGCGGAAGACCATGATGAACCGATCCAAGTAGCGGCAGTACAACCTGCGGCAGGCCGCCGCCGGTGTTGGCCGGAACGAAGATCAAGGGATGAGATGAGTTGGTGCTTGATTTTTTGTGTTTGGCGTACCATACTGAATATAATATATATATATATATGACTATGGTTATATTATTAAAATGTTATAAACCATAAGTAATTTACGAAGCACTCATGTTATAAACATGCCCGGGTTCCATTGTGGGGCCCATCGGCCAAGCCTGATGGGATGCCTCATTTCGGTGTCCACATCTTGGAAGGTCAGGAACTCATTGGGCAGCTGTGGGGGTCCTGCGATCTCTGAGGCTCGCGTCAGACCCAGCATCAGCAGGTCCAGCACCTTTTCGGAAAACGGGTGATGTTTTCGGAAATTCACTGGGAAAATTGGGAATTAACCTTACTTCATGGCAAAGCTTGGTGGAGGTTATATAATTGGTCTTTTCATCACCAAAATGTGGGATTCAACTGGGAGATATCCAAACAAAAATATGGGGATTTAACCATCATGAATGGGGAGTTAACTGGCTAGAGATCTGGGGCTACGATGTAGTTATGGGTCCAGGACTTGGGTCAGGGAATCTCCAGCAAGGTGCTCCAAGACTCCCATCAGAAAGACAAAAGATCTCGGGATTCCAACTTTCCATAACAAGATACACGTGTTGAATCCCAGTTTCATTTTTCGGCGGAAAAAAAATCCAACAAAACTCATTCAGGGCATATCAGGCCCACAAGCGACCGACCAATGATCAAGGCACCATGCAGTAGTACTGGAAGACGAAGGAGCCGAACTGCAGTCCCTTGATGAGGCCGTAGGAGTTCGTGTGGTTCATGTCCTCCAAGCGCTGCAACGGATCTGCTAGGCAGAAACATCCACCAGAAATGATTTTGGTGTTTTGACCCTCCAAATTTATAAATGTATTATATATATACATGCAACGTATGTGTATATATATATGCAACGTATATATAATATATATCATAAATATATATATATATATATATATAATTTGTATCATTAAGTATATGTACATATGTCAAACATGGAGGGTCTTGAAGGTAGAATATTATCAAACCAACAACTGAAAAGTTGGAGGCCTACTGGAGCCAACAAATACAATTAGACATGAATCATAACTGGTTGGTGGTATACCTACCCCTCTGAAAAATATTATATAGTCAGATTGGATCATCATCCCAACTATTGGGGAAAATAACAAATGTTCCAAACCACCAACCAGATAATATGTCTCTGTATGGATTTACATGTAGAGAAAATTGTGCGACACTTTTCGACTTCAATCAGCTTTGAATGCTTTTCCTTTGCCTTCCCGTCATTCAACCTGGCCATGGAAAGTAACTTGACACATGTTTAGATGTAGATGATTGTCTAATAATGTTCAGATATGTTCCTGTTAAGAGTCAGGATTTTCCATTGCCATGTTAAATTACTAAAGGGTAATTTCTGTCCAATGCTGCAACTCTCTCCCCATTTGCCAGCCACGTACCCAGCAATGGCTTTCCTTGTTTTTAATCATCCCCCGTTTCACTGGGCTTTGTCAGCAGCTATATCCACATCTAGTATCATCGTATACGGGTTATGGCCGTCATCCCACAATCACTAGGGATTCCTCTGAATGGGTATCGGGTATATTAACCCCTATCTATGGGGGGGTAAGGGTAATCTCCTTTTGTGGGAAAAGAAAGCGCATTTTGACCTTGTACCAACCATGAGATTGACAGCTTGGTAAACGCCTATGATCCTTCAACAGCCCCACTTCTGTTGGCTTGCAGTGGAACTGTAAGCCCAATTTACCAAGCATTTACCACTTCTGTTGGTGTCAGAAAAAAACATTCACCTCCAACCACATATCATCATAAATTATCATTTCTCCACGTATCTTCACGTAATTAGTAGGTTATTCTCCAATGTCATCCAATAGTAGTGGGATCTTTTCCCATCATTTTCCCATCATTTTCCCATCATAATTTCATCCCATAATTTTCTAACCAAAATGTTCCCTCTCCGTTTCCGAAATCCGTTTCCTCTCCTTATAGCAATTTGAAATGATCAGATGGGACAATAATTTCATCCCATAATTTTCCTCTCCTACCTCTCCTTATAGTTGATCACAATGTTGTTCTTCGCAGTCATGTAATCTGCGATGTTGTGATCCACAATGAGCCGCAGCAAGCGATTCAGCAGGGTCAAGTCGACCTCCGAAAAAAAAAAAAAAACACGAAAGTCGGAGTGGGTTGTTGCGAGTTTTTTTGGGGGCATATTTTTAGGTCATCCCATATTATATCCCCAATACTTATATATATATGTGTCGAAAATGTTGAAACTATAGCAAACAAAGAGCATGATTTCATGTAAATGCCAGGATGAGAGTTCGATGTTTCCAAATGATATCGGGTTCCTGCTTTGCCAGGGTCCGGGAGCAACCTGGGACACCCAAACTGCACCGGAGAGGTCATCCTCACCCGACCCCATTTGCAGTAATGTAGGTAAAACAATGTCATAAACCACCACATGTTTGATGGTTTATACCACCCAGTTATGGTGATTTTGGGGATGGTTTATGAAAAATATGAGTGTTTTAACCACATTGAATCAATGTAAATCAAACGTTTGATGATTTTCATCCTCTGTATTCTGCCAATATCACAGTAACCACTTCTTTTCCTCTCCAGCCTTCTGTGAAACGTTCTCGAACTTGCTCTCTAGCACCACCACGCACTGTCCATCTGAGGTGTCCTTGGAACTTTGACTCCGTGGTCCCAAGTTTCTCTGCCGAATCAGCGCAAAAAAACACCAACTCACCAAAAAAGGCTGGAAAGAAACCTTTTTTGAGCATGGAATTCCCTGAAAACAGTTGCCAAAATTGGAGACTTTCATCGTCCAAGTTTATGATGAATTCCAGAAATGGAAGTACAAAAATGCAAACACCATCTGACAATCATCAGCCTAGCGACTGGTCAGTTGGCTGACGAGAAGAACTCAAAACTTGGAGATTGTCAAATGGTTGTTCAATGGGAATTTCAGGATCCTGAAATGGAGGTACTGTACCATATAAGGCCATATTTTGTGGGGATATTCCCTTACATAGGCCTCAAAAATAGGCCTTATATATGCTAGGTACCTCCAATCAATCGGTTCCCAAAATGGCCATTGAGTTGATCATGGTGAAAAAAAACAGTTTCAACGAGCATGATCCATGGCTATAACATTCTATAACTCATTTCACCAACGTGAACTTAGCTGATTTTGCAATGATTCCCTACATAAATCATCATTTGCAAACATGTTCTTCGGATAAACTAAGTAAGATCGAGTAAGTCATGTTTTGCACAAATAGGTGGCCAGTCTGTGTCTTTTGTATACATCTACTTGCCATCATTTCCCATTGGGCCGCAACAGCTCCTCCAGCCATTCCTTTCGGTCAAGGGGCCCAAACATCCGTCAAGTTGTTCACACCCTGGCACCACTTGTAGACCAACAGCGGGGCTGGCTCGGTATCGGCCGGCTTCACCCAGTTGGGGAAGAGGTGTCGATGATCACCCTCGTACCTTGTGGCGTCACAAGGCAAACGGTTGGTTCAAATGGCCAGTTTTTGATACCCCATCAAAATGGGGGATATGATAAGAACTTTATTATTAGGAACTGTGAGGATATATGTATATGGCTGATCATCCAGAAAGAAAAAATCCTGCAGTGTGGAGCTCAAAGTGCATTTCTGGATAGTTTCTATGCAAAATATCGCAAATTGTGGCCAAAGCACAAACTTTCAAAACCAGACCTTTTTGACTCCTTTCATTTATCTATCTGTCTATCTACCTATTTATCTATAATCTAATCTAATCTGATCCAATCTTATCTAAATTTACATACACAATTCCACATCCCATCATCACCAGCAGCTTCCAAGGCTTTGCGCCGAGAGACCAGAGGTACTGATCCAGGTAGGCATCGGTGATCTTCTCCAAAGGTTCGATCTCATAGCAGGGCACCAGGTGCGAGTACATGTCCTGGCGGAAAAAACTCAGATGATAGATGGAAAGATCCACCTCAGTAGATATGGAAAACATTCATGAACAAAATACCCTCTGGTTGAAAGTCACCACTTTTAGTGGGTAAATTTCCGGGTAAATCAACTATAAATTAGGACCATCTTCAATGGACCATTCATGAACAACTGGTTGGTGGTGACTGAACCCCTCTGAAAAATGATGGAGTTCGTCAATGGGAAGGATGACATCCCATATATTATGGACCATAAAAAATGTTTGAAACCACCAACCAGACAAAATATGAAGAACACATTCATGGAAAACAGGTATGGAAAACATACACCAGCAATGCTCGGAGAACAATATTACATCAGAAGCGTTGCGAAGAATCAAAGCAACAACTGCCCCATCCAACTTCAACCATGCCCCATCCACCTCCCATGTCTGAGGGTGCTGTATAACCAACTTCCCATGTCAAGACTTGGATGTGTATATATATATATACATGGAATGTCATATATATATATATATTAGTATGAGTATTTTCATTATAATATATTCATATATATCCCCATGATATCCCCATGATATCCCCATGATATCCCCATGATATCCCCATGATATCCCCATGGCCCCATGGCCCCATGGCTGCCGCCATGGCCATGATCCGCCGACCTGGAACTCGATGGTCACCTCCTTGAAGGCGCGCTGCGTCAGCAGGTGCCGCTTGATGCGACTCAGCGCCTCGTGGGGGTTGTCGTAGGCCTGCTCCACCAGACCCAACTCCTGCAGGATGGGGCCCCCGGTCGATAGCTAAGTTGGTTTATAACTCCAATATCACTATGGTTTATGGTACGCAAATAACATCTTATAACTATAGTTACTGGGGCGAATCTAAACCAACTTATAACTGGGGGGCCTCACATTGTGCCGCGCCAAGGCCGAAAGCCAAAAGGAAGCCGTACGGAAAAGGTGAGCGCGAGCGCCAGCGCCACGGGGCGGTTGGAAAGGGATTGGAGTGATGGGTCATGATGGGTTATGTCTGAATGGGGAATAAGATGGAATAAGACTAGTGTAGTATTCTCCGAAATTCGGGTTTGAAGAAAATAATCACCATGGATCTGGGTAAATTATAATATTTCACTAACCTGATTTTTTTGGCCTTCTCTGGCGATGATTTCCCTAAAATAAACTATGATGCCAGGGCTCGGGAGAACAGGGCTCGGTCGTGATGAAATTTACCCAGATGGCAGTGTGTCAAAACCTTGTACCCCTGGTGAACATCAAAATAGCTGGTAAATGGATGTTCATCCCACTAAAAATGGTATTAATAGGTATTGATCCATAGCCAGATGGATGCATGATCATGATCACCATGGGGCTTTCTGAAGGTGGGAGATCCCCAGTCCTCTCGCTGTTGCTGATTCAAGCGCGTCTGCACTGTGTACCTCATCGCCCGACGCACGGCCAGGTGGACAGCACGGCTCCGGTTCCAAGCGTTCCACGTATCAAGTACTTTCTGGGTAGCATTGGGGAACATGTTTTTTTTCATCATTACATTCTTCATGTTTATCCTGTTGTCTATCTGAGTCTGTTCACAAAATTTTCCAGTCGGGATCCACAGCCCATGCGGGCCCCAAGGGCCACCCTTGTCGATGGGAAACAGATTGAGAAAGTTTTTTCCAAGCCACTGGAGATTAGCCAAACATGAGCCACCACATTATGATTCGACCTGTCTCGTTGGGAACACCAGGATTGTTTCCAATGATTGATGTAGTACTTCCACAAAGGTAGACACCTGGCCAAAATAAGTCATCATCCGGGAGGCTGTTCCTTGAGCCGCTCCAACGCCAAAATGAGCAGCTTGGTGTCGTGCTTGTAGTTCAAGGGTGGGAAGGGAATGGGAGTGAATTTTCGACTCTCCAACCAGTGAACCTTGCAATGTCGGCAGGGGGCCTCTCGGGAGCTGTGTCTGGTGGCGTGCTTCAAAATTGATAACCCTTACGTCAAAAAAGGTGTTTTTGTTGTTCATCGTTTTCCACCTAAGAAAGCACAAAAATAGATAGGTTCTCGAGTCTCGAGTGAAGCAGGAACATATAATTCATATAATTCATATACCCTCTGGTAAACTAACATAGCTATGGAAAATCACTATTTTTTATGGGAAAATCCATTATAAATGGCAATTTTCAATAGCTATGTTAAATTACCAGAGGGTATATATTAGTTTTTAAGATGTTGTATCCCCTATCTTGATGCACCAGGGGTATCACCTGTTCCACCAAGACACTGTCGTGGTGTAGATGGCCACAGCCTCCTCTCCACTCACCTGGGTCCAAGGCTTCCAAGGCTTCCGAATCACATCCCCAGTCTGATGAATCTGACGAATGATGCCAAGACTAAACAGACTACCTGGTGACTACCTTCGAATCATCTAACATCGCTATGGAACATTGCCGCTTTGTATCATTTGATAGGTAAAACATCGAACGAAATGGGCCATGTTGCTGTTGCCATGTTAAATTACTGGAGGTCATATGATGTGTTCTCTGCTCTTTTCGAATGAATCAGGATTTCAACATATTTCAACGCATAAACTTCTAAAACCATGAAGGATAAAGCAGTCACGAATTATGATTACTCTCCGGTAAACAGACATGGCATTGAACATCCTCTATAATCGGGGCTTTTGTGGGAAACATGATCTAAAAAAATGGGGATATGTATTCCACTGCCATGTTTGATTACCAGAGGGTATCATCATGATTGTCAGCATCAACATCTCCACTTTCTGCTTCATCAGCAGCCGCAACTGGCTAGTCACGTACGGTCCATCCTTCAGGTAGTTGTGCTGTCTTTCTTGTTCTGCCTTGCAAAACAGAGCCATACCGTCAGCCACCGGATCTGCATGATGGAAGAACTGGCTACTGGGGACTGTTAATCCCCCCAAAAAAGGTGTGACTTGTGTAATCATCAATTTCCCTATGAACATAGCCATAAATTGGAATTCGCCATTTTCAGGCAAAAAAAAAATATACACATACTTTATATATATTTATATATTGTACAAAAAGACTATATTCATCTATATTCCCCATACCAGTACCCAGTCAAGTCCCCAAGTCCCTATCCCAATATTTTCCCCATCGAAAGCGCTGGGGACCGTTGGGACTGTTGCGGTCCGCCTTCAACCACAGCCGTGTCAGTCGGCCCAGGTTCTTCTTACAGGTGGTCCTCAGAGGCTGTCAGACCTGAAGTCCTTGGCTCCTAGTGATGGGACATATGGGAAATCATAGGGAAATCATAGGGAATTCATAGGGAAATCACTCTAAATACTGTAGAATGGGAGAACTGACAGCAATGAGTTAGTGGGATACAACTGGTTGATTAGCATGATTTTTCACTATTGTGTGTGTGGGAAAGTCTGATTGTAGCTCCAACTGGCTCCCAGTTGGGGAATAGACGGATACCTATGGACCTATGGCCTCCCTCCCAACCACTGGACAGTTTGTTGATGCCTCAGCTGTCTCTTCGTGGAGAAGCCAATACCTATAGGACTGCACCTCTTAAAGCGATCGGTGGCAAGGGCTAAACATGTGTACACCCTGGAGATTTAAAAAAAACACTGAAAAAAAATCTTCTAAAGTTGTCCTTCGTATTGGAAAGTCCAATTTTGTAGTTCCTCCTTGGCCATTTCTTCAAGCTTCTTGGATCTACATAGCTATCCAAAAGTGCTGGGAGGCACAGACCAAGATTTCCTTAAAAAAACTTTCCCGATCAATCCATTGAATCATTAGGTTCCATATATGTTCCACATATTTTCCATCTACCCTCTGTTAAACTAACATAGCCATGGAAAATCACCATGTTTCATATAGGTAAATCAACTATTTCTACGGCCATTGATCCATGGCTATGTAACAAATTACCAGAGGGTATACCATCATGTATCCTAATAAATCCCATTAAATCCCATTAAATCACCATTTTTAATAGGTAAATCCATTAAATCCCATATCTTCGGGGACAGGTGTTTCCATGGATTCCATGGAAATCCTCAGCCAGGCATCTTGTCAACCGTGGCACCACGTCGGATTCGCTCTCGGTTGTAGTAGGTGGCGTTGGTCCACCAATCAGCCTGGATCCAACTCGCGATATGCTCCCAAGGGTCCCAAGGGTCCCAAGGTAGGGGGTAAATTGGCTAAATATAGTGATTAATTATACGTGATTGTAATGGTAAAATGGCAAATTGATGCAAATTGTTCCCCCCTTGCGGCTACCATTTACCCATTAGGCTGGAGCAACCCCGTTAATCCATGTTAATCCTGGGATTTTGGGGTAGCCTTTTTTCCAGACTCTTTTCCATTTCCAGTCATCTTCGGATTCTTCAACTGCAGAACCACCTGGCCATTCGACCCCCAGCAGTTCACTCGGCTCCTTGGACTTCACGTAGCGCAGGATCATGTTCTCAATGGGTGCCGGCAAGCCAGGCACCTGACAGATCAGGTCACATGGAAATCTTCCAAAATGAGTTTGTAATGAAATGTTTCCTATGAATGTCCTAGATGTTTATTGGCACAACTTCTAAGGTGTTTAAACATGTTTAAACCTTAAACAAATATAAACAAATAAATACATTTTTTTGGTTTTCCCCTGATGTTGGGCCGCGCAGTTCGATATGGCCGCGCGTGTTTTCTCCACCTCTTATAGTCAACCACCCAAAAAATTCAAGAACAGGTTACAAATTCATACCATTTACATCAATTCAAATTAATTATCAAACATCTTCCAAAAATCGGAGTTGACCAACTTCTTCCAACTTCAAACATCTTTTCTTGGAAGATTCCTCATCGGATGCTCCCGGCGCCTTCCAGGGGATGTTGGCCTTCCAACATCTCCAGGCTTCGGACAAGTGCTGCAGGATGGTGCGCGCCTCGTCTGGCTGACGACGAATCCAGGAATCCCATGGGGAAAATCCATGGGAAATCCATTGGGATAAACCAATCATTGGCAAAATCCATTGGGAAAATCCATGGAAACCATGGAAAATCCATGGAAAATCCATTGGGAAATCCTTGGTTTGAAGGGAACAGTCACTGGAAACCTCTGTTTTCCCCAATCAACTTGAACAATTTCACGGGGGTTGACGCCTCGACGGAAAAGTGAGTGACATTGAAATGATCTATATCTGTACAGGATTAGATCCCCAAGATAGCCAAGTTGCCTGATAAAGTGGCTTAACTATGGTAGATATAACTATAGTTAATGGGGATTAATGGGGGTTATAAACCAACTTATAACTGGGGGGTACCATACTGTATCTGAATAATCCATGCAAAAAAAATCAAAGAGCACAATATGTGGGAGTTCTAAAAATAGGGGATCCCAAAGGCGGGTTTGAATTCTAAAATGTTCCAATCAAGGATGATTTGGGGGCACCCCCATTTCAGGAAATCTTCATATCATAAACATAGACCATAGATTTCTTGACTCTGCCATTCTACCCCTAGTCAGATGCCACATATGCCACCGACCTCAGCCTGGCCTTGTTTGCTCGCACACCCTCAGGCATCATATCAATGATGTCATGCCTCGGAGATGCTCCGATCCCACCAAAAAAATGGGGGGGAGAAAGTCACTGGTGGAATTGAGCTGTGAAAATTGCTGGAAGATGGTAATTCCCATTGGTTTAAGCATGGTTAAACCACGGTGAAACCGAATTGAAGCATGTCAGAGTATCTCCCAGGTCCAAGTGACATCACCGCGGCACGCAGCTCCAGGTCAAAGTGACTCTCCACGCGCTGCTTGGTGATGGTCTTCGCCACACCTTTGCCTGGATTTTGGGGCAAAATTGGTGATTTCAATGCACCATAGTGGGGATTTAACCATCCAAAATGAGAGGTTTCATCATCGGAACTTGCAAACTGGGGCATTTACCTATCTATCTATCTATCTATCTATCTATCTAGCTAGCTAGCTATCTATCTATCTATCTATATATATATATAATATGAAAACCGGGGACTTCAATACAGAATCATAGGGATTTAAGCGTCCAAAATGTGGGAGAATATTGATGAAGGAAAATCGAAACTGTTGTAAACACATATTTTAAAAAAGAGGATATATGGCAGTGTGTCAAAACCTTGTACCCCTGGTGAACATCAAAATAGCTGGTAAATGGATGTTCATCCCACTAAAAATGGTATTAATAGGTATTGATCCATACCCATATCACCCTACACCAGCCACCACATTCAACCAAAAACCCGTGGTCGACGTCTGCAGCCAAGGGCACTGACTCGGCCCTCAAACTGCCTGGCCAACAGGTTGCCCAGCCACCGCTCCAACAGGGGCACCACTCCTGCGAGTCGTGGATGAGCCAAGTTTCTTGAGGAAGATTCAACTTAAATATATAGAATCGTACCCCCAGGTGATCTATTTTATAGAGATTTTTCCAAGGAGGATACTTAAATCATGTTCAAAAAAAATGCTGGAAAATAAACATCAAACAAATGAAAACAAGATTTTGACGAATTCCGAATAATGTGTGAATCCATTGTAATCCATCAAGAAGCAAAGCGATCGACCATGGATGTAAGTGGGTGAAATCACCCAGAGCATCGAACGCAAAGCAAGACTGGAGGACAAGGAAAACATGGGAGGCAAGAACAGTGGGATTCAAATGGTCCACACAGAATCAATTGATCTTTTCCAAAATCATGACTTCAACTTCCGAAATTCACCTCACCAACTCCAGGATTCCAGTAAATTCGTCGAAAAATGGCAACATCTTACAAGAAATGTGGTTGCACTGACAGAAATCGTAGCTCCAACTCCCCGTGCAAAACAGAGAAGATTGAAATATGGATAATATAGGGGTGTCCCGGTGTCCCATAAATGGGGTACCCCTTTATCGCTGGATGGTTTATTTCATGGAAAATCCAAAAATCAAAATGGATGATGCAAAGGGGTACCATCTGGTTATTTAACATAGCCATGGAAAATCACCATTTATAATAGGTAAACCATCTATTTCTATGGGCCATCTATACCATGGCTACGTTAAATAACCAGATGGTACCCCTGTCCTTCCCCATCTCAAACCACGGATCCATGGGGATTCCCTCTCCAAAACGGCCTCGCAAGAAGAAGAGCCACACACGCCAGCCCGGCGCCCAAAATCCGCAGCCCGGGCCCTTGCCCACGGGACCCGTGTTGAAACCTCCCACGGTTGTTTCAACCCTCACGGTAAAACCACCGGGACAACCGGGACAACCCGTGGCTTTGGCCATGTTCTCATGGGGTAAAACCATGGTTTTGGGGGTAAAACTATGTAAAACTGATCATTTTCTGGGGAAACCATCATGGTTTGTCCATATCTTTTCGTTGCCGCAGGGTCGTAACGGTGTGGATAAAAAAAAAGTTTAGGCCCAAGGGTTGAGGGTTGGAAGATCTGATCTTCTATAACTCATCTTGGATGGCTTGGAAACCCTGCATGGTACATGCCCCAACTGCTGTAGTGTGGTAAAACCAATAATAAACTTAAACTCTGAGACAACTCTGGATGTTCTTTTTTCGTATTCTATACGTCTCATTTCTCTTAAAATTGGGGATGGTTTACAGCATTGATTGGTGTTTCATTGCCAGAGGGTAACCCCAAAATTGAAGGTGTTTCCTCACCTTCCCTCCAGTTTCAACAGCATCTCCGTTCTAGCCGCACCAAGCAACGGTAGTAGATGAGGTGCTTCAAGTCCTTACACATTCGCACCTGTCGCATGAGGCGGTACTTGTAGCGGTACATACCCGTCAGCTGACCCACGTGGGCGAAGATGTACTGCAAACCTTGCTTTTCAGCGGCCCCTCGACAGCCGCAGGTCTCGTCCCTACCTCCCTTTTTTCCATGTCACATTCCGAATGTTTCAACGATTTCATTCCACCATTGCTAGGATTGCTATCGGATATACCCTCTGGTTATGACTAACATAGCCATGGAAGCCATGGCACATAGAAATAGATGATGTTCCCAGCGATCGAAACCTCCATTTATTTGTGGGTTTTTCAATGGTTTTTCCATGTTTAAATCCAATGGTGTCATCGCCACTCCCCTTTATGGTACTAATTGGGTGCCGATTGCAAAACCTCACCATACGTGCCGGAGCCATAAAAATCACGTCATATTTTTATGTGGTCTGATCAGACCCAACTTTCTGAATTAAGCAGCCTGATTTTTTATGGATGAGTGGAGAACACCCAACCGATATACAAGAGTATGATTATCTGGTTGGTGGTTGAGCCACCCCTCTGAGAAATATGAGAGTCACTTGGGCTGATTATTCCCAATATATGGAAAAATAAAAAATGTTCCAAACCACCAACCAGTTATGTAGTTGGGATTCCAAGTTACAAACACAACTGATATGCTTGGGCTCCTTAAAAATAGGCTACCCCGATCCACTGGTTTCCCATTTAACATGACCAAAAACTTGCATGATTTTGTTCCCCATGACCTAGGAAATCCACCGTACAATCAGCTGGTTATTGTCAATGATTACACACACTTTGGGCGTTATATATATATATATCCTCTCGTCATCATCATCATCATCATCATCATCATAATCATATAATCTCCATATTTGATATATGGGGACGCGTCAAAAATTGGGACACCAATGCCAAAGCACACACAAAGTTGCTCATTTTTAGTGTGAGACCATCAATAATGGGCCGGATAATACCAACAATGTCTCAAATGTCTGGTATTCAACCATCTAATGGTATTCAACCATCTAAGAATGTATTAAAACATACAAAAAAAACGCTGGGATTTTCCGCAGTATCATTGTTTGCATTATTCATTATGAATCAAACATTATTACTCCTACAATGTGGGGCCCCAAAGATAGCTAAGTTGGTTTATAACTCCAATAACTATGGTTTATGGATGTTTATGGTACTTATAACTATAGTTACTGGGGTTTATAAACCAACTTATAACTGGGGGGCCCCACCCCACATTGTATGGGTTTCTCTGGAAATGTGGTATGTTCAGGGGAAAATGATCAGAAAACATTGGAATTTGGGGTACCCTATGCTCAGACGTATGCCATATCTTCAACCAGTGGTTCAATCCCCAATAATCCCTCGAAATCATCATTCAATCCCATGAAATCACCATTCTATGGTTAACTCCCAATTTTCAGTGGTTCAATCCCCATGTTTATCCCTCTAAATCATCATTAAATCACCATTTCATACAGCCATCAACCATTGGCAAGTCTCATAAAGTCACCATAAAAACCCTCTACCAAAATCCCATGAAATCACCATATCCCCATGAATTCACCCTAAAATCGGCCTCAATTGTCATCTCCCCCTCCGCCGCCGCACTTGCGCCCAGCATCCATCTGCCAGCTGGAAGGCATCCACATTGCCCAGGCGGAACTGTACGTGCGAATCCACCACCAGCTTCGTCAAACCTCGGACGTTCCGTTACGAAACGTGGGAGATGGAGATGGGAACCCTAAACGATTCTGTGGAAAGATGGGATTCTGTTTAGTGGTCATGGAGATTTTTGATGACTTTAAATGAGATTGTATCGTGAATTCACGGAATTGGATGGCGATTTAGTGGCAGTTTATGGTGATATGGAGGTTTTTTGGAAGTTAACCGTAGTTTTCATGAGGAATTACCCGGGCTTTTTTGTATATACTGGTGATTTTATCGTGGATTCGTGGGAAATTCCATGGGATTTGATGGTGGCTCATCGGAATTTAACTAACAAGTGGATACAAGTGGGATTTACATAACTAGCTGCATAAACTACATATTTGCATATCATGGGAGTATGTTCTGGGAATAATCCATTTATATATTTACTGGTGGTATAAATTGGAAGTTTACCATAGTAAATGGGGTTTAAAAGGTATCTAGTTTGGATATAATGTGGATATATTGTGGTTACAATGGGATATATACCAGCATGATCAAATACAACAATGGAATATAAGCGGCTTAATTATAATCGGTTGTGCTAGAATTACAGTAGAATCCAGCCAGTTTATTGATTTACAGTAAGTGGTTCAATTCCTTTTGTTACGCATAGATGAAACACTGGTCTCGTTTGGGACAAGAATTGTGGGCGCCATCCCATGTAATAACCAGTTCAAATGATTGATAACGTGAATCCACAATCATAATAGCAACAAACAAACAAAAAAGTAAGTCAGGTGTCAATGGATTCGACATTGAAAACCCTGCAGTCAAAAGTTGCTCTTTGTTTCTCATACCGAGCTCAAGAACTCAAGGTACATCCAGAGGTTCATAAGAAACATGCCCAAAAATCTCAATGCCAAATCCTGACAGGATTTCCTGGTGATATTCATATCCTGTCAAGAGAAAAACACCGAAACTTTCCGTGACAAAAAATGTATCAATATATATATATATATATTACTTCCCTCAGAAACTGCCGGATGTTTTAAGGCTTCCATGTCATCCCTATAGAAATTCGAGGCTTGGCAATTTCATCCCATGGTTCAGAACCATTTCATCTTCCTGGATTAAAATGGCTAGATCCAGCATTTCAGGACAAACATGGACAAACTCATATCATGTCATATGATTTATGGTTGATGAATGTTGATTATATGATATGAAATATGTATCAGAAATCATATCCCCATAATTATCATAGCGATTCCTTCGAGAAAACTCCCACCTTTTTCTTCGTTTCCGCTCCCAGAGCCCAAGGTCCCCACCGGTCCCCACCGGGCTCCCCCGACGCATGATCTCACGACAGAGATGGAAGGCGTTGCCGAAGCGCGACTTCTTGCGCTCCTTGGTGGTCAAGGTCTTCACCGGCTTCAGGTTGAAGTTGTAGTCCAAGTGCAAGAAGTTCAAGTTCTTGCCTGGAAAAAGAAAAAACATCGGTTATATGAATGGGCCGACGTGCCAACGGTTTTTTTGTACAACCAACAACGAACATATTTTTGTGCGTTTCAGGGATCGAATACCACGAGTGAAAGTTCTTAGCCTGAGCTACCACAGATACTATCTGAGCCTCAAAAAATTAATATCAGTATATTACAAAACTGAGAAGACTGAGGTCTGATATCATGTGAGTAAGCTGGGCACCCTCCCAAAATTTTATTTTAGGTGGTATCCCTCAATTGGAGGTTTCCGATTCGTCATGGGGGTACCCATGACTAATCGTCACCTGGGTCATCTCAGATCCAGAAAAAACGACCATCCATTCACCTTCCAACATAGAAGGTAGTTGTATATCAGCATTTGAAAAAAAGAGAACTAGTCTATACCCCATAGGATCCATGTATGCTAATATATGGTAACATTTACCATCAATATACCCCCAATGTTAGCATATATACCATACATGGATCCTATGGGTACTGGTCTATACTTCAGTCCTTCCTGCACCCTTCCGTTTTTTATAGCTTCCATCGCTTTGGTGCCACCCAGCTGCGCGCAATCAACAGGTTCAACATGTTGTAGCCCTGACGACAGACCTGCAAACCAATCTCCACCCAATCCAACTCAGTGCGTTGGAAGAACTTGGTGGTGGCGAAAATGTTCATCAAGTTGCCTCGGTCCATGCTGTCTCGCTGAATCAGACCTAAGAGAAAAAAGCCAACCTGATTATATAAACTAAAATTCACCCAGAAAAAAGGCTGCAAAAAAAAAGATGAAAGAAGTTTGGGAATGATTCCACCTCCCCTCCGGTTATCAAGCATAGCAATTGAAAAATCACAGATGAAACTTTTCGTTGGAATATCAACTATACCCTCTGGTAAACTAACATAACTATGGAAAATCACAATTTTTAATGGGAAAACTCACTATAAATGGCCATTTCCAATAGCTATTTTGACATAACCAGAGAGTATAAATGCGGGAGTTTCCCGCAACCGGGCGGCGCTTGTTCAATGTCTTGGGAGGTCGATGATGCAACTGATTCCTGGCAACGCTAAGCAGCCCGGCTAGCGGCTAGGCTCAAAAAACTGAGGAAACCATGGGAAAATCCGTGACTTTTCACCAAGAGAAATGGTGGATTTATGTGGATTTAATGTGACTTATAGCTGATGATCGAAAAATGAAACAGGACGCGAATCCTCGGCAATTTTTATTTTTGGAGGCTATCCCCAATAAATCTTGTAGATCTCCGCGCTGTTTTTTTTTGCCACGCTTGTGGCTGCTTTTGGTGGCTGACTTTTGGATGACCCGATTGGTGCTGTGCCTTTGTCAAGAGTGAGGATCATCATCCCATTTCTGTTGAAGAAAAAATACCCTCTGGTTATGTCAAAATAGCTATTGAAAATGGCCATAGAAATAGTGGATTTTCCCATTAATAGCATGGTGATTTTCCATAGTTATGTTAGTTTACCAGAGGGTAATCACGCGCGATGATCCTGGTTTGACAAACATGTGATACTCATTAACAAATATTGTTTAATCATCCCCAGATTCGTTGAACATGTTCACAAACATAAAAACAAACCACCAACCGTTGATCACTGCTGACACGTGCCCCAACAAAATGGGGCTTCGTTCTGCGTACCGCTACATCTTTGCTGGTGAATCAAGGAATGGTTCATCATCTTTCGAGAAAAAAAACTATGAAGAAACATGTCCCACCATACCCGGTGTCATCAGCTCCATGGCGGGGCGTTACTTGGAAAATCCCCTTGGCCTAGCGACATTGTTCGGGGGGAAACTCATCCCAGCCTATGGTGAATTGTGCTGCAAGCCGTGGGACTGATAACCAGAGGGTAATGGGTATCATTCACTTCTATAGTTACCCTACTATGGTTTGATACCAGATTTACTATCACTATCCATCAACTCTGTGGTGTACCCTCTGGTAAACTAACATTCATGGAAAAAAAACAAGAACATGTAGCAAAATCAACTATTTAAATGTGCCATCTTCAATTGTCCAGAGGGTTAATGGCTACTGACGCGCCAAGGTTCAGCACCCACACTTTCAGCAACTTCTGGTACGACACGCGCACCTTCACCTCGGGACACCATGGCCATGGCAGAGGAAAGGGATTTCCGACGATCGACATTTCATGGCAAACGTTAAAAAAAGTGCTTTGAAGCCCGATCTGGTCGGTGGTTGAGCCACCCCTCTGAAAAATATGAAAGTCAGTTGGGATGATGATTCCCAATATATGGAAAACATAAAAAATGTTCCAAACCACCAACCAGAGATGATATTTTATACATTCAAACATCTGTAGATAGTCATACTGATGATTCATATGGTATACTTATGTATGATGATATTGTAAAAATGATAAACATCAATCTGGGTAAATTATAATATTTCACTAATCTGAATTAAGGCCATTTGGGGATGATTTCCCTTACTAACCATGATTCCAAGGCTCGGTCGCGACGGGAGGTCGTGATGAAATTTACCCAGATCAATATTGTTCATGAGATGTTACCATCTATAGCATATCAACTATATATATATATATTAATAACTCAAAGGCGTTGTCAACGGCAAGTCGCTGGGTAGTTGGAGGGGCAATGCTCCTTGTACCACTGACCCACCAAAGGAACATCCTGGCGCGACGGGGCGACGTCACTGGGCAGATTGGATGCCGTTGCGGGGAGAAATTTCCCTGGGCAGATTCACCAAAAAAATCATGGGGAGATTAACTGGGAATATCATGGAATATGTATATATATATATTATATATAATTATATATATATAATATATTAAGATATTGTAGCTATCATAAATTCAATGGAGATATACTGATTTAGTCGTCAGCTCTAGGGCGAGCCGCTGGGAAATGCCCCGAACTATGTTAAGAAATGGAGGTTCTAATGCTGGGAAAATTGTTACCCTCTGGTAAACTAACATAACTATGGAAAATCACCATTTTTCATGGGAAAACTCACTATAAATTGCCATTTTCAATAGCTATGTTAAATTACCAGAGGGTAAGAAATGCCAGCTTTTCCACCAAACCATGTTTGTTGAAAGGATTGCAATCATCAAAATCCAGCAAAGTGTGGTATCCAAGCAACAAAATGGTAACTTTTGAGTGAAGAGACTTGCGAAATCATCTATATAAACCTGCCTGGGCCAACATTGTATGGTTCATCCCCTGCTTTTTACCACTATGAATGGGGGGAAGTATTAATTACCATGGCCAGTCAACAACCCCCAACCCACCCGACACCAGCCATGGCGTCCCCTCCTGTGCCCTTCGCATGTATCCACTGCGCAGGTTGAAGGGTCGTGGAGCCCAGAAGAGGGTGATACCATTGGCCGTGCTGTCGGTGAACAGCGGGGTGTCTTCCAACAGTGGCTTGCCTCATGGCGTGTCGCGCTTGAAACGTTATAAACGTTGCACTGGGGTCAGGTGTATGTGACTATGTATGGGAAAAATGATGAAAAATGCAGAGGATAAATCATCTTCCGCTCCTGATTTCCATCATCAACAACCATGTACATTAAGGTGATTACATCAATCTACTGAGGATATGGCCATGTACAGGATGGAAATGGAGAACTTCCATGCATTAAATTTCCACATCCACACCATTTTTCGGGCACTCGAAAACGCCACGCCGCCACGCGTGGCTGTCCCTGTTTTTGTCCCAGCGGCATTCCTCCGGAAGTTTGAAGTTCTCGATCTCCTGCACCAAACAATTGGGATGACTAACCACCCATAAATAGGACCAACATCTGTCTCTTGGTTCATATCCCAGGTCACCAAAAAAACAAGACACATCAAAATGAGAGGTACTACAACCGATTTGGATGGGGATACGTGGATGCAAACCAAGAAAACAAAGGGATCTGGACCAATGATTTTTTTAGCAGGTTCCTGCTAATGACGCTTTAGGGGTCTGATTCAATTGCATAGTTATAGTTATGTATTATGTAATTGTACGAAAATACGACTAAAGCAAACGAAAACCATGAACCCCTTTCTAGTTCGCACACGACCACGAATGTTGATAATGTCTTCAACCATCCCATTTCGCGCTCCCTAAAAGGTGGACACATATCTTAAACTTGTCAGAGAACCCCGTTGCCATGATCCCGATGAAATGGTTGGTTGCATACCCCCAACGATTAAATTCTATATGTTGTCTATATTTATGTCCTATCATGTACCATCATGTACCCATTGAATACCTATTCATTAAATCACCATTTTCCTGTGGTGCCCATTGAAATATAGGTTTTCCCATTGCAATACAGGTCTTCCGATTTGAAAAAACGAATTAAACCCATTCAATGATTACAAAATCACCATAAATCATCGTATAAATCATATAAATTCATATAAATTCACTAATTATTCATCACCAGAAACTAGGTTTAACTCTCCATTTTCACCGCTAAAATCCCCCCATCAACTTCCTCACCCTGGCCTCATCATCCTCTGCGGACTGATCTTGCGAGCGATGCGACACCGCGCGGTACCTCAGTGGACTTCCAAGCAACCCGCGGCAGTTGGAAACAGTAATAACATGATTGATTGATGGTGATTTGCTATGTTATCATTTACTATCACATTAATAACTATGGGGGGTTACATGGTAATTACTATCATGTTACTATGGTGATTGATGGTTATTGATGATAGTAACATGTAACCCCCATAAAGCTCGGATTTTCCACATCAAAACATAGAAAAAATCTTCATAGTACCCTCAAAAAAGAGAGAGAGAGAGAGAAACAGAGAGAGAAAAGGTTCAAGATATTTCAAGATGCTTCAAGTTATCACATGTTTATGGGATAACTTGATAACTTGAACTGAAAGAAATCGGCATCTGGGGACTAATCCGTGGGAAAAAAAAAAAAAACATCCCTTCAGTACATCTAAGTATCAGCAGCCATACTTTTCCCAGTTTCTTGGTGGCAATCATCCACCAACCTGAAAAGTTTGGTCATTGTCAATGGATTGGTTTAAGGGAAAATCTTAACCGGAAACCATCGATTTTCCCATTAAATATGGGGCTTTCCTGTAAATTTTCCCTTAAACCAATCCATTGACATTGAGGATTCTCCCTACCATATCATCCAAGATACGCCGGGAGCGGATTGATGATAGGATCGTAGTAGAAGGCCTCAGCGAGATCCAGGTTCCCAGTCAACATAAAAACACAGGTTGGTGGTTGAGCCACCCCTCTGAAAAATATGAAAGTCAGTTGGGATGATTATTCCCAATATATGGAAAAATAAAAAATGTTCCAAACCACCAACCAGAACATCATTCGTCATCCATGGCCAGGGAAAAACAGGTGAAGTTCAACGGATCCCATCAACTCTCAGGGTGGCCAGGGAAAAATCAGCTTGAAGACAGACCCAGCAGCTGTAGACCAAACCGGCAAGCAGCCACCACAGGCTCCGCATCCAGGGCTTGTCAAAGAACCGAGTGACCCTAAATCCAATAGTTTACTCATAACTCATAACTTTCCCCATTGAACTGGTTGGTGGTTTCAACCCATCCAAAAAATATCAGTCAATTTGGATCATCATCAGGTCCAGGGTAGAAAATTCACAATGTTTGAAACATTTGAAACCACAAACCAGTCTGGTTGGTGGTGCATAACTTCCATCTTGAAAAATGATGGAGTTCGTCAATTGGGAAGGATGACATCCCATAGATGAAATGGAAAATAAAAAACATGTTCCAAACCACCAACCAGCTATAGTTAACTATGGTTAATGGTGATTTAATGGGGATTCATCTGGATTTTATGGTGATTTTCAATGGTTTCATACCAGTAAATTCATACGTAGCAGCCATGGTATCAGCCCCCCCACTGCAGCCCAGTGGCCGGCAGATCAGGGTCATCGGCTTTGATGTAGCACACGGACTAGGTGTTTTTGGACGGCTGGATGTTGGTCCACTGTTTTTCGAGTGTTAACTGTTAACCAAGAACTATCTATGGGATTTAATGGGATTTAACTATGAGATTATCATAGATAGTTAAATCCCATTAAATCCCAATGATAAACAATGATCTAACTATTTATCAAACTATTGTTTATCGTATTTTATCTAACTATGGGATTTAAGCAACAAACGTAGCTGGACGTTTTCGTGGGATTTCATGGAAAAAGTCGTGGGAATGGCATGGGACTGTAGTGGGATACACAACTAACCAACATACATGAGGGTTTTGCCTTCAAATGTGCCATTGAAATGGGAGAAAATTGCGATAAACTCGTGGATGGAATGGGGTACCCCTGAAATTGTTGGGTGTAATTTAAGTCCTGATTTGTTGTGCATTCCAATCACCAAATCTTGGGTAAAATCGGGCGATATGCCAGCAAAGATGGGGGAGTTAACGTGAAAATCGCAAGCACGAACAATGGTAGAGAATTGAGAGAATTGTATAGCGTAACCCCAAGAAGATGGAAACGTGTTTGATGGTAGTTCGATGATATTTAACTCATATTTCAATATGTCATCATATCTTCAGTCCTGCTCAGCTCCATCTTTTAGGGATTGCTATGATATACCAAGGCTATGGTCGAAGCCCCAGAAAAGCCTTGTGTAGTTCACCAAAATATTCACCTCATTTTGGACCACCACAATTTCGTGCATTTCGTGGATGTTTAATGACGATTTTTATGTGGGTTAAAATCAAAAACCACCCATTCGGGAATGGCTTATACTACCTATAAAAATGATGATTTGGGGCCCTGGGGGATGGTTTATTGTTGTTTTACCCACATTAATGATCTTAGTCTTAGCTCTTCATTTTTGAAGCTAGAAATCCATGGTGAATCCATGGTGAATCATCCCCAGCTTAGCCCCACCTGGTTGTGGTACGGCGCCATGTGAACCTTGCGCGGCCGAGAGTTGTACAGGAACGGGAAGGCAATGCCTGGGCCGAGGCCGGAGTTAAGTAGATGATTTTCTTTTTTTTAAAGCTTTTGATATTATGATAGATGATGATATTATACACATAATATCATCATTTTATTTGTAGATGATTTGTAGATGATTTAATTTCATGATGATATTATGTTCTAGTATTCTGTGTATACAGATGTATACAGTAGTTTTTTTTGGTAGGATTCTACGTTTCTATCTTTTTGGATGGTTGCCATGCCGAAAATGGGGCTGTCAATATCCCAGAGTCATGTTGGATTATCCTAGAGTTGGATAGGGTTACCGCCCAACGGTTGGTCGGGAAACGATACTCCGTACGCAACTGCTGCCGCACGATGATCTTGTTGATGTCGTTGAACCTGGGGCTTCAGTGACTCGGGAAAAAACGACTCGGTCAAAGCCAAACTGCAGAGACATTCCGGGGGCAATTTCATCATACAGAAATTCTAAGTTTGGGGATTAGATTCCATCTTAATAATTATAAACCAATCATAACCTTTAAGGGATAATTCCACATAATTCCCCCAACAGCAAACCACAAAAATCGGTCAAGGAGTCCAAGGAACTCGTTCCAATCCTCGTCCTCATCGTACATGTCGCGGTACAGGGGCTCGAACTTAGGACCACCTCGAGGCATCCATGGCAGGGCTCCGCGAATGATCGGTGGAAATGGGGGGATGGCGGGGAAAATGCTCCAACTTTTTTGCAGCACATCTGTGAAGATGCTGGGATTTTTATGGATTTTTGGACCTGTTCCATCTTTCGCAGTCTCACACTCTATTTCTATCTACACTCTTCAATTGTTCCTGGAAAGTTGTGGAAAGTATGTTCCTTTTGATGCCAATCAACTTGGTCACCGAAACCACCAAGCCACATCAAATGATTGGTGACATCTTCCATGAAAACCCCAATGATTGCGACACAAAATCAGGTTGAAACCATGGAAACCGCAAGCCCCCGGGCCTGGGATGGCCATGTTCAAAGCCTTCGCGGTGTAGAAGGACTTTCGCTCGAAGAGGTAGAAGTAGTTCCTCAAATGAACTGGGACTTTTTAGTGAGAGAACTTGGAATCTAATCAGCAAAAATCAAGATTTTCCAATAAGGGTCTCCCTACTAGTGTTCCATCCGTTAGCCTTTGAAGTCTGGTTGCCAATTCCGGCAAGGATTGGATCACTTGGAAGAATCCTTCCAGCTTGAACAGGTTCTGAAAAACATGATAGCACCAACCAGTTGCGACACCGTGACTCTGACATGTTTCAAAAGGATCAAACCACAACAAGGGAGTTGCTCTGCACGCTAATATCATTCATTCATTGTTATACCGTTACCACTATGTCATCATGTGATCCCATAAACCTTAACTACTAATTATCCAAAAATTATGATTGGCCTTACCACCTTATATCCATCTTTCACCTAATGTTATCATCCATAAGTATTAGCACTATATTGGATATATATATATATATATCACCATGAATAATTTGGATTTCCTTGGGTTATATCATGTTATATCCCTATATGATATCCCATTATCCCATAACTTCACCTTATACGATGGATAATGGGATATATTATATTATATCACTATATGATATCACTATATGATATCCCATTATCCCATTACATATCACTATATCACTATTGCTTTTGTTGTGGATCACCGAGCGCTCCAAAATCCAGGGATCTTGTCCATCAAATCGGAGAGCAGCTGATTGGATAAACGGTACAGCACACCTCGTCGCTTGGAGTGGAAACTCCATAGCATGTGCTGAAAAAAAATCCCATCCCAATATGGAAAACTCCCATTTCTTGCATGTGGAACTTGAGGAAACCTCACCTTCTTGCCACTGAATGAAATTCCCTTAGTTAAATTTATCCAGGTGAGCCAACCATGGGGTAAATCTACAACAAACCGCTAAGCACAAGTCATGTTGATGCTATGCTAGATAGGGTTTTACCGCAGGAGTTTTTGCAAATTCCCATGATTGTTGGTAAATTATACTATTTCACTAACCTGAATTAAGGCCATTTGGGAATGATTTCCCTTACTAACCATGATTCCAGGGCTCGGTCGCGACGTGAGGTCGTGATGAAATTTACCCAGATGATTGTTGGTTACCCTCTGGTAATTTAACATAGCTATTGAAAATCACCATTTTTAATTGGAAAATCCACTATTAATGGTCATTTTCAATAGCTATTTTGACATAACCAGAGGGTAACGGTTAAATCCCCCCATGTTTTTGCAGTTTTTTTTGGGGACCCCGGGGACCCCCGATTTGCCTTGCTGCGCCAAGCTCAAATGCCACTTGCGGTAGCTGGTTCCGTTCACATGCTTGGAGTTCAGCAATGGCACCTTGACCGATCTGGGGATTCAAAAACACCATTCTAGTGGGGATAGAACAACCAAATCCCACTAAGATCATGTGGATTTATGATTTATGTCGAGAAATCATGATAATCCTGATAGGTCCTAATGTATGCAAGCAATCCGTTCTCCAAAAATAAGCACCTCCCATGATCTTAGCTTCCGATCAATAAAACCCCCTCAATAATATAAAATAAATTCGGGCTGAGCCGCATTTTTCTGTTGTATTCGTTTTCACTTGCTTATTAGGGGACCCCAAACCATGATCAGATCCAAGGCTAAAGTAGGTGTTTTGATTGGGTTGTATTTGGTATTAACTTTAGGGACAAGGGATTGGTCAAACAACATGAAAAATAACTATGTGGAGCCGAACAACGTTTTCAACATCCATTATCATGAGTATATTTGCCATGGTCGAAACATGTCAAAACATTGTATTTCAATGTATTTCATATGGATTATTGTCATCCATACCATAGTGTGAATCCTTATATATAATCGGTATACCAATCGTTTGACCATGAAACATATGGTAATAGATTGATCCAAACAGTTTACGGTTCCTTAGTAACTTAGTAAATGATCAAACCAGTTTTTTCAAGTTGCTTCGTACTGAAACGCCTATTTGCAAAGCGAAAAAACAAAAGTCTTCATCATTGCCATTTGTCGTTTCCATTTCCAACTGGCAAAAAAAATATTTCGCCCTTTTCCATGCGATGTGTATGTACTCTCCACCCATTTGATAAGTTATATGTCATGGTTCACCAAGATGAAAAGTGCTGCTACTTGGGGAGGATTCCGCTACATATAACCCATCCTTGCAAACGTGACATCGCGACATGAGGTCATGATCTAGTTTATCCAGGTAACTGAGTAATACCCTCTGGTAATTTAACATAGCTATTGAACATTACCATTTATAGTGGATTTTCCCATTGAAATGGTGATTTTCCATAGTTATGTTAGTTTACCAGAGGGTAGTTCCAAAATGTCCTTCCCGTTTTCTAGCGGTTAAATCCCATTTTTACCCTCCCCAAAATTAACATAGACCATGCCATCGATCGGGGTTTGGAAGATTAGTTTCGACTAAAAATGGGCTAGTTTTCAGGGTCTGTGTTTAATAACCAGAGGGTACCCTCCTGTAAACAAATAATGTGAAAACCCATTTAAGTTGTAGATTTTTATTTCCCTACAGCTTTTCCACATCTTAGTTTCCAGGGCTTCAAAAATCCCATCTTCATCTCCCTTTTTCTTTAATCCAGGTTTTTAGGTCCCAAAAAAATCGCGCCACTCAACGGCCGAAACCTTTCGGGCTGCCGGACAGGTTCATAGAACCATTCCAGCACGGGCTCATCCTCGACCGGGTCCAACCTGGCGCCGGTGGTCCACGGGAACGACGGAAAAAATGGTGGATTGAGATTTCTGTGGAGTTCAAGGGATTTCAGGGGTGTCATGGGATTTTATGGTGATTATTAGGGATTTAATGATATTTTTTAGTATGGAACGTTGATAATTAATGGGATTTACCCTCTGGTTATTGAACATAGCCATGGAAGCCATGGCCCATAGAAATAGATGATTTTCCCAGCTAGAAACCTCCATTTATGGTTGGGATTGTCCATGGCTCTGTTAAATAACCAGATGGTAGTACCTACAAGATTTGTTTGAACCACTCAAAAAATAGAGGGCTTTGAATATCAAAACGTCCTGATCCAGCATTGTAATCCTTATCACAAAGCTTCCACAAACATAAGACTAACATAAGACTGAGGATGTCTAAATCGGCATCGTCCTCTACTTCCCAGTTACTTCCATTTTCCCCCTCAAAAAAAACACTGCTTTGAATTTGCCCCTGGTAAATTTGCAAACCCAAACCCCAAAAAAACTCTGTGCATTTGATCAATTTACATGTCTCTAAAGCTCCAAAAAAACGAATCTGATACCCAAACATCTAAACCTCCAATCTGTCCTTTCAAAAAAAATCAAAGAACATCTTCTTCCGCAACATCCCAGTACCATTGGTTATATACCCCCCAGTTACCTGCTGGGAAACTAACATAACTATGGAAAATCACCATTTTTCATGGGAAAATCCACTATAAATTGGCATTTTCAATAGCTATGTTAGTTTACCAAAGGGTACCTGCTGGGAAAGCCATCATCCCCCAGGATCCAGGCGAGGCGCCTCATCTGGATGGCCTCCAACGGCTCCACGTCCAGCACGTTGTCGCCATAGTCCAGCGGCGGCTCCTCGTCATCGAAGGGCGGGAAGCGCATGCGCTTGAAGTGGCGCCGATCGCCTGGACAGGGTCAGCGACATGTGTGATGTCATTGGATTGGTTTAAGGGAAAATCTACAGGAAACCATGGTTTTTACCATCAAATATGGGGTGTTCCTGTAAATTTTCCCATCATCCAATTCTATGATGATGGCTCTGTTGGGAACAAATATGGAAAAATGGGTAAGAAAATGGGACTGGCTTGATGGGTAAGAGTAGGCCATTTCTGGTCTGAAAATCGGTGAATTTCATGGGGGAATATGATTCAATTGGGCATAGTTTGAGGCATGTATCACCAACTATGATGGGTTTATCATAGATTATTGATGTGGTAAATAAGGATCTAATCATCGAAATTCAAGGGTCGTAACATCATTGGTCAAAGAATATCAACAGGATATCACATGTCAACATCATAGACACAATTTTCCCATTTTAGAAAGTGGTTCTTCCCCAATTCCGTAAATAGATACACCTTTCACACCTCGGTCACGGCCACATATTTTCACCCACGATTCATCCGGATCATCCCTGCCGTCCCTTTCTGGCTTCCCATCTGGGTTCCCCGGACGCTTCTCACGTCGCATCATGATCCACATCGTTCCCCACTGGGCCAGGAACACAGGTTCAATGACCTGGCAGCGGTTCAATGACCCATCTGGTTATGACTAATATAGCCATGGAAAATCACCATGCTATTAATAGGTAAACCATCTATATATTTCTATGGGTCATTTCCCATGGCTATGCTAAATTACCAGAGGGTATATCCATTCTACTGATGAAATGGGGTTAGCCATGAGTCATGGTGAGTTTCTATATGATCATAGTATATCATTGTTGTCAAATGGTGTTTATACTGGCTAATGAACGCTAATCCACGCGAATCCTATCCCCCCGAATGGAAAAATACCTTTCAACACATAGATCCAATCCTAAACCATATTTTTTCCTGGTGTATTTACCTTAACATTCGGCAAGTGAGAGTACAAGTTGTGGGGACTGGAACCGGCGGGGTGAGAAGCCACCAAGCGGAGTCGTCAACGGGACGCAGTGTCGAAATATTCGCCATTTCTTCAGGTGAAACCGCAGGGTTTTACAGTTGAAATCCCTAAGGTTTCTGCTGAAATCCCCACTTTCGATGGGGTTTGTACGTCCCAAAAAAAATCCCAAGCCCAATAGGAAACTCGTTTCGTAGCTCCGAACAGCTCTTCAGTGGGAATATGAATACTTGGTGGCTCATCCCACTTAGTAAGTGGGTTATAACCCCAGTTATAAGTGGATTAACCCTACTTATCCCATTTATAACTGGGGTTATAACCCACTTACTAAGTGGGATGAGCCACCAAGTACCCCTTATATAGCTCCGGACAGCTCCCTCCCAACTCCCAGCAGCCAGGAGCCTTCTGAAGCTCCGCGCAGAAGGTGATGGCGCCGCTGCAGTGGTACACGGTGCGGCAGTTGCGGATCTGCTGCCAAGGCACGGGGGTGTTCTCCTCGGATGGGCAATGGTGGTAGGATGGTTGGATTTTATGGGATTTTATGATGATTTTATGTCTTTTTAATGGGATTTTAATGGGATTGTATGATGATTTTATGTTTTTTTAACTGTTTTTTTAAATGGGATTTTATGATGATTCATAGGGGATTTAACCAACAAAAATTGTGGATATTACTGGGAAGTCCCCCCTCAATGGAGATTTCTATGGGAAAATCAACTATAAATGACTCTAAATGGTGGATAGTCCATTGCCATGTTTGACTTCCAGGGGGATAAACCTCATCATACATATCACCGTGTTTACCCGAAATAGGTGGAATAAACATGTGTAAACTATAAACCAAGTTACTAAGTGGATTATTAAGTGGTAAACCTTAGTTACCTTATAAACTTAACCACTATAAACAGGTATAAACCACATCCCCAAGGTATGTTAAGTGGTTACTAAGTGGATTGCAGATCCTGGAGATCTCCAAAAAATCAACTTAAACTCCCCTTTCACTTCTCCCAACGTTCGCTTAAAATGGATTGGACGATTATTCATAGTATGATCATGAAACCCCATTATGTTTCATTATTAATCATGGACCATGATTCTTTATATATATATATATTTCATACTAATTATATGGATCATTATTCCCCCATTCCCATCATTCCCATCATCTAAATTCAGCACCCCATGACCGTCATCGCCAAGCTGCCAAGAGCTTGTACACGGCATGCGGCAGATACTTCAGGGCGCCCAGGTAGATACGCTTATCGTGGCGGAACTTGCGCGCCGTCATATCTCCGTGATCCTACGGAAGAAACGAAACTCGGGTGATCCACTGGGGGAGGACCAGCCATGTTGGTTTGTTGAGAAAAGCCCCATCTATGAAACTGTTTCGACATGTTATATGTACATTGTATATATAATATATACATTAATATATATATATATAATCTCTATATATATAATCAAATATAATTATATATATATACATCATCATGATATCTCCACTTATAAATATCAAATATCCATCACAATCCTCCTTGGCCATCTCACTAATTCGTTCGATCTATCCACCATGGGGGCTGCAGTTCCGAAAACGCACCTTGATGATCTTTCGGATATGCTCTGGTGGCCTCAGAGATTCTTCCGATGCGAGATGGGATGACGGCGAGCCGCTAACGTTGGTCAACGTTGGTCACGGTTCCCACTTGACTTTTCCCCCAAAAAACTTTGAACATCTTTGATTAACAATAGATTCACCATAGATTAAGCATCATTATATAACCATCCCACTGGCCATCTTTGAACCATTGGTTTTTCTGGGCTAAGGAATCAACCCTCAAATCCTGGGATTCCCTCATGGGGAAAGGATGGCCTTAAGTAACTCCGAACCAAGAAACGCAACTTCGAAGCAGAAGTTTGACCAATTCAGGAAGGGTACAATTACTGAGTATGATTATATTAAACATATATGTATACATACACCATACTTTTCTGAGCCTTCAGATTTCGAATAAGTCTGCGTTAACGAAAGGTCCGAACTTGGAATCCTAGGAATCCTAGCGTCACAGCCACGGATTTGGGCTGGATCCAACCCTTCAAAGAAACCATGATCACCATTCCCAAAAAGAGTAATAGTCATGCATAGTAATAATAATAATAATAATAATATATAATGTTAATAGTTACAATATCGTTTTACTTAGTTTGTTTTAATTGTAATTTCAATCATGTGTATATATATATATGTATATATTCATATATTAATACATAGTAACAATCATAGTAACAGTAACAATAATTACAGTTATTGTTAATGACAATAAATAGACAATAACTATTACCCTTATAAATCTTACTGTTATATATAATTATATATATAAATTAACTAATCATAATACCTCATGATGATGATGATGATGATGATTATGATTACGATGATGATGATGATGATACTCTTTCAAAGATATGCAACAACAATAATAGCAATACATTCCAAGCAGCATTTCCTCCTTCTGCTGCTCCACGACGCCAAACCTTGGCTGCTTTTCGACGAAGCCAAGTTGAACTGACCCATGAAGCAACGAGATCAGACCCGGGTATTTCGTACGGAACATGAGAATATGAAACAGTAATTATCAATAATAATGATAATTGAAATATATAGGATCATAATAGTAATCCAATAATAATTAATAGTAATCCAATAATAGTAATCCAATATTATGATCAATAATAATATGATAATAGTAATCCAATAACAATAATAATAGAAATAGTAATGATAATCTGGCTGAAATGTCATGATTCACTAAGCTGGAGATAGATGAAATAAGGACATTTGGGGATCATTCCCAATATACCAACAATCCTTCCAGTGCCGTCACAGGCAGGTCATCATACTTCATCCATATAAATGTGTTTAGTAGGGATTTAACGGGCACTTACTTACAGCACTAGGAACTGACAGTACCCAGTACCATTTGTTGCAGTCCAATGGATCGGCCAGCTGATTTCCTTGGGGGTATCCAGACACCCGAAGTGAGGAACCCTGGTGTGTAGATGTGGGAAAATCGATGAAAAGCCTCTGAACAGGATGGGAATCCCCTGAAGTTTGAACATATTTACAATAGTAGGTTCCAACTTCTGAGCTTCTCATCAAATCTCCCTTGTGATTACAATGTCCTTTCACCAAAACCCAGCAATGGGAGCGAAACCCTGGGAGTTGTCTGAAAATATGCTGCCACACAATCCCATGCAGTATCATACAATCCAATGGTTTACTGTGCTTTATTACCCTCTGGTAAACTAACATAGCTATGGAAAATCACCAGTTTACCCATTATAAATTGCCATTTTCAATAGCTATGGTACCCTCTGGTAATTTGTTACATAGCTATTGAAAATGACGTTAGAAATAGTGGAAATTCCCATTAAAAATGGTGGATCTTTCCATAGTTTTGTAAACGTTTACCAGAGGGTAGTTTAGCGGAGGCTATCATAATTTGCTATCGTTAAATTGCTATGACGATCTCCCAAACCTTCAGACACATCCCAATAACATTGGTTGGTGGTGACTTAACCATCTTGAAAAATATGAAAGTCAACGGGAAAGATTATCCCATAGATTATGGAAAATAACAAATGTTCCAAACCACCAACTAGATATATATATATATCCCATTCTATTCCCATTTAGATATCAACAACTCCGGGATGATTTCCCCATCTTCTTCGGGCTGATCAACCCCAGAAGTACAAAATACACATTCTGGTTGGTGGTATATGCCAGTTGGGATCATGATTCCTAATACATATATATAATACATATATATATATGGAAAAATAAAAAATGCTCCAAACCACCAACCAGTGATTAGATTACCATCAAATCACCGTTAAATCCCCATCACACCATATTATTAAGATGGTGATCTATCTCATAAATTCCACCCATCAAATATCCACTAAATCCAATGGAATCACCATTGACCATGGGTAACTGCCAATTTTCGCCCAGGCGCTTTCGTTTCTCGCCATAACGTTTGGCATTCAACGACTGCCACTTTCGTGCCTTCTCATCCAAAAGCTCCTGACAGACACGCTTCCAAAATGGCTTGCCATAGCAGGATTGCTTCTGATGACCATCTAATGTGTACATAATATACTGTACAGTTCATATGTACATATATATATATATGTATATATATATATATGTGTGTATATATATATATGTATATATATATATGTATATATATAGTGATGATATAATGATATATGTATTATATGATATATGTATTATAATATTGATATATACTTGTTAACATGTAAATTAGTGTATGGCAATTTGTTGCTTCGGCCATTTCGGGATGATTCCTCTGACCAGAAAATTGCCGACGCGGTTTTTCGATCGTGATCCAACAAATTCCAGATACCAGACCCCAAAAAGATCGTGGTTCTATACAGTATATATATATATTATATTATATTATATTATATTATATTATATTATATTATATTATATATATGTGTAATATATACACATATATATGTAATATATATATATGTATATAAAAATATATGTATAAATATTTGTATATATGTATAGGTTCTGTGTCCCCATATTTTCCAGGTTTAGTGTTCTATCTGTTTGGGGCACATGTGATGAATGATAACCCCATCGGATTTACCTTGGTATTTGGGTGGTCAAAAAATGTATGAGTTCAATACGGCTCAATAGTAGCAATTACCAAATGTATTTGAACTAGTTATTGTACCCCCCAATGAACCATTGTGGCAACTGACCATTACATAAGTCTTACCAATTCTTGACCATTATATCATGGTAAGGCTTCAGTATGGTTCAAGTTCTTGATTTAAATATGGTTCCTTCATGTTCCTTCAATCAATATGTTGGTAATATTGGTTCAATAGCATCAATAACCCTTCAATAAATAAGTTGGTCAAGTATATATAAATGATTTGGTTAAAATCTTAACTTAAAAACAATAATGACCATTCAAGATCATCTTCAAAAATATCAAAATTATTGATATTCATAACCCAATTTTTAATATGGTTAATTAACTTCACTTCTTAAAATGCTTCACCATTTGGGGCGCTCCTCTTGGGTCTTGTTGGAGGCCGCCGGCCTCAGTGAGGTGACAAAAATGCCTGGAATATCAACAAAACCATAGGGAAAATCATAGGAAAAATGATGATTTAACATGATTTAACCAACTAAAATGATGAATTAATGGGATCTAAACAGTTGTTGAATGGGATTTCAATGAATACCCTCCGGTGTCATCAAACGTGGCAAGCTGGAAATCTGGAAAAAAAAGGCATTTTAATCTGAAAATCATCCATAAATGGTCGATTTTCTTTGCCACGGGAGTGGTTTCAGGAGTGTTTGGTTTCGTAACCCCCAAAAAGATCGAACGGTATGAATTCAGGATGCTTCGTGAATGATATTTTTCTCGATAGTTCCCAGGTTTCTCGATTTTTCTTCGATCTTTTGGGGTTACTAGAGCTTATATCCAAGAATTGTCCAAGGCAACTTTGAAGAGTTCATAAATGTTCATAGTTATATATGTTCTAATATGTCAATGGAATCTCAGGATCCTAAAATGGAGGCACTGTACCATATAAGGCCATATGTTGTGGGGATATTCCCTTACATAGCCCTTACATAGGCGTCATAAATGGTAGGTGCCTCCAATTTAGGTTCCTGAAATGGCCGTTGAATAATTATGTTCTATAATATAAGGTTATTATTTTTTGATATCCCTTTCGGGGATAGCTCCCTCCCGTCACAACAAGTCGGGGTCCCCAACTTGGGCGGTTCTGGGGCAGGTGGTGGCTGCTGTGGGAGGCGGGCAGCAGCCTCCATCGGATGTGTGAAAATTTCAATTCAGAAACCCCCAAACATCATGTTGTTGGTTCTATGTCCCATTCTATTTTCATGATGTTTCCCAAACAAAAATAGCCAAAAAGATCCAAAAAGTGAATCAGAAAATGTTTAGATCCTACCCTCTGGTTATTTAACATAGCCATGGAAAATGGCCCATAGAAATAGAAGGTTTACCGAACTTAAAAATGGGTGGATCTTTCCATGGCGAACTGTGAGTCATAACCAGAGGGTACATCGAAAATGGTTCCGAAAAATTCAGAACAATCTCTCAATGGATTGGTTTAAGGGAAAATCTACAGGAAAGCCCCATATTTAATGGGAAAATCTATGGTTTCCTGTAAATTTTCCCTTAAACCAATCCAATCAATCTCCGCCCATTCCAAGCTTCTGCATCCCCCACAGCCCCAGAAACGCGGTCCACCTGTGCCATTTGCTGCTGTTGTTGCTGCTGCATCCCAGGCCTAGGCTGCTGTTTCGAATCTAGATATAGCAGATCTATCTATCTATCTATCTGTCTGTCTGTCTGTCTGTCTGTCTATCTATCTCTCTCTCTCTCTCTCTGTCTGTCTGTCTGTCTGTCTGTCTGTCTGTCTGTCTGTCTCTCTCTCTCTCTCTATCTATCTATCTATCTATCTATCTATCTATCTCTCTATATATATATATATCATATACGCATCAAATACACATCATATACATATCATACACATATATTGCATTGCATTACACTATATGCATTACATTACATTACCTATCTACCTACATACATACACACACACACAAATTACATAGATTGATTGTTTGATTGATTTGATTTGATTTGATTTGATAGGCTAAGAAAGATAAGATAAGGTTTAAAAAATGATTTGATAAGATGAAAGAACATAAAATAAAAGATAGATAGAAAGAAAGAAAGCAATAAATATCATTTAATGTATACTATATATACATATGTATCTATATATATATGTACATATATATATACATATGTATATGTATAGATATAATTATGTGTATATATGGTAATATGTATATATAATATTATATATATACATATACACACTAGATAGATAGATAGATAGATAGATGGATAGATAGATAGATAGATAGATTAGATAGATGCGTATAGTCATTCCAAAATTGCTAGGGAATGACTTTTCTGATCTGTTCTATCTTTGGGGCAATAAATAGGTGTATATAGATATATTATGTCTGTGTGGTTTAAAAGAAAAAAAGTAATAATTCTTCCACCATTTAGTTTGGGGATGGTCACCTTTTCGAATAATTTCTTGTGACGAGGTTGGTGTCTTCAAAATCCATACCGAATCTATACAGTAATGATGCAATATGTCATTGCAACATGCCAGTATGTACGTATCATCCAAGATATCCAAGTGCAAATTAAGAAATGCTCACCAACAAAAATGCTCATATGACCCAACAAACCATTGACATCCACTGATCCATTGACATCTTGAGCAGTTCGTTGTGTTCACAGAATTCGTTCAGCCATTTGATGCAAATGTGGTGTTTTCACATTTTTGCACTTGACATTTTCACAATTCTACGTTCACGGCGGAATCTGTTGGCGGTCGGTGTTTTTTCCGGTTCGATTGGGATCACAGGTCCTATGTTCCATCCCCATGGTTGGTTTCACCACGTGAATTCAGTGAAGATCTACAGGAATGTTCGATGTTTTTCTTGCCAAACATGGGGGGAAAACCATGGCTTTCCTGTCAATTCTCCTACCAGCTCCCTGCTTTCCAAGTCACATGCCGGGTGGCAGCGCAAAGGGGTTGATGGCCAAACTGTGGCTTCCCATGCCGGGTGGGACACCACCTGCCAAGTTCAACATCTGCGGAACACAGAGATTTCGCCAATCAATAATGTATACATTGGAGGTGTATCCCACTTCGTTAATGGGTTATACCCCCAAGTATATATATATATATATACCCACTTATATGTGGGATTATAGGGGTTATATGTGGATTATAAACGATCCTAAGTGGGATGCACATCCAAGTAGTAGTGTGGTGGTTGAATATTCATGTTGGTTGGTGATATCGACATTTTATATATCATTCCTATCCCTTCTGTGGTGCTTCAATTCCTTGTCTTGACCGAATTGTGGGATATCTGACAAATATAGCAACCACCCACGATGCGAAAATGTGTTTGGCTCAATATTAACCTTCACTTTCCACTGTCGGTGTGGAAGTAATCCAAGTTACGCCCCCAACTCTCAGTGACTGGCAAAATACCCATGTTTGATGGTGAAATGCCTGTTTCCAGTCACTAAATCTAGTACGCTCTGGTTATTTAACGTAGCGAACTGGAGAATCACCATATTTTTAATAGGTGAACCATCAAAAAACATCTGTAAATGGGCCATTTTCCATGGCTATGTTAAATAACCAGAGGGTATATCTTCTCTCATCCTTTCCCTATTGACCTCGCTACAAATTGGGACAAACCCCATGTCTCCCGATGGTCACATCTCCCATGCCGCTATTTTTGCAGTGAAATCATGCCAACAAAAAACAAAACACATGTGTCTATAATTTCTATGTATATATAATATATATGGTTGGTGGTATACCTACCCCTCTGAAAAATGATGGACTTCGTCAGTTGGGATTATTTATGACATTCCCAATATGATGGAAAGTCATTAAAGAATATTCCAAACCACCAACCAGTGTTTGTTGGTTTTATAAACCATTATAATCCCCATTATATCTACCATAAACCATTAAAAAACCCACTACTTGGCAGTTCCCCGGCAGATCACCGTCGGAAAACCGCACACCTTGTCCCGGGAAGTTGAACATGATCGACCTGGCAGTTGCGGATACTTGGGGGAAATAGTTCCCAAAAATGGTGAAAACAAAAAGACGAATTCATGGGATTTTCAGATTTTTTCATGGTGATTTATAGCCCAAAAATGGTGAAACAACCTGAAAAAACATGGGATTTTCAATGGTGATTTAACTATAGGGGCTCTCATGGTAATTTCACGGTGATTGCATGGGATTTTAGATGATTTCATGATTCTATGAATCGATGAATGAGCAGTAACCAAGAAACATGTGGATAGTCATGGTGATTCATCATAAAATCATCTAAAATACCATGAAATCATGTTTAAAGAGATTTTATGGTGATTTACCCTTTGGTTTATTTGACGACCTGCGAACTGGCAATATGATGTGGATTTCCATGAGATAAAAATTCATGGGAATTTTACCAACAAGACATGGGGATTGTAATGGAAATTACCTTTCTGGCAATTTGTGACATAGCTATTGACAATCACCCAAATCATAGCAACTCATCATGTTTATCGAACTGAAATGGGCCGTCTATTCCATAGCTATGTTAAATAACCAGAAGGTACGTAGGAGTCATCAGAATTGTGATTATTGTTATGATTCTAATTATTTAGAATGATTATCAAATAACAATAATCATGATTGTTGACCATAATTCATTGATCATATTATGTGTCCTATTGTAATGATGATGATTAGCCAGTATTGTTCAGATTGGACTGTCAATGATCATCATTCGTCATGATATTCATGATAATGAGTCAATAAGACCAATAACAATAATTAGTAAACATAATATATAATCTGGTTGGTGGTTTCAACCCCTCTGAACAATATTAGTCAGTTGGGATGATTATTCCCAATATATGGAAAAATAAAAAATGTTCCAAACCACGAACCAGTAATATGTACCGCTTAATAGTAATAATAGTCATGAATATTTAATCATCATCACCACGCTCCTGGGGTGAAAATATTGGGAATAATGATGATGGAAAGGGAAGGACATTAGTTGAGGACTACAGTACTCTTTAAGGCTTAGTTGAGAAACCAGCAATAATCTTGCTGAGCACTGGCAATCTAGTACTTCTTTCTCGATGGTTCCAACAGTAAATATGCTGCTGGAGCAAACATGGCAGGCTAGCTGGTTTAGCAGGCCAACATTAATTATATGGCAACTCCAAAATCCTACTATTCTTGTGACGAACTACTTTTCTCCTCATTTTGCCTGTTACTACAGATACCAAATTTTCGAGAGACTCACAGATTCATGTCTCCCTTGCGCTCCGCCTTCGCCTCTCGGCACGCGGCCAAAAACGCGAAAACGGGGGTCAGCCTTTTGTCCACAACGGCTGGTCTACTCAGCACACCCTTAAGCCAAGATCTGTGGAATCCTGACGAATCAAACAACTGATTCAAGGCATGAAAGAGATATGGTGACCACAGATTGGATACCAGTTGTGGTTTTTTTCCCTGTCTGCGACCATTTTTGGGGGCGTTGAAGGGTTTCGAGCCCTCTCCAAAATGAACCCTTGCAAGTCATGGTATTTGGCGGTCATAGTGAAAAACGACGGAGCAGTCGTCCAACTTTGATCGACAGACATCCACACCCTTTTTCGAAGCTAACAGTTGTACTCAGTGGTATCCTATCTCTATGACTGGATCATTTACCGCCACGTGGGTCCAAACTTGCGATGTGTGCCTGCCAGAACGTGCCGCCTCTCACCAGCGTCCTTCTAACGTCACGTCATTTTAACGCATGTCCGCGCCTGTACATTGCTGCTTGGGTAGGAAGATCGCCATCCTATAAATAAATTAGAGCCCCTGATGTCGAGGATCAAACACCACGAACTCGCTGATGTTTCTGCATGCACCTGTTACCTTCTATTGAATCAACCCAGTATCCCCTTCACTGACATCTAGAGCCAAGATCCATGCCATGTCCTGTGCTAACTGGCAGATCTAGACATTAACTGTGCTGGCCCTTGGGGCAAGGAAGATGCACCATTTCTTTCAGAAATGGTCAGTCTGTAGTAATCACATTTTCACCAGCCATCCAGCCATCCAGCTTGGGATTTGCTGCCCATGGCAGCCCATATTGTCTCTGGTGGGGTCGTCCTCTTGGTCGTCCTCTTGGCTGGATAGCACTTTGTACAAGCAAAAGATTCTGGCGTTGGAAGCCTGGCCTTCCCAGCTTTTCAACAGGTAGTCACCGTGGGCACCGTGGGCTGTTTTCAATACAGCTAGAGGGTCATTCAGAATGTCATTCTGATTTCATGGTAAAATCATATGATAAAATCATCAGAAGCTGGAAATGGACGATTTAAAATATTTAAAATGTCAGGCCTAAAGCACCAAAATTCAACATCTACCCTGAAAAATATGGATTTCATGCTTCAAAGTGGATGGTTATGTTATTTGAATGTGCCCAAATATGAGCAGCCAACGGTCTTGGGGCGTAAAATCTTGACCCACTGCCCTCACTGCCCACATAAAAAGGTCGATACGTCACGACGCTGGATGCAACCTCATGGCGCAGGCTGTCCATGGGACATGCGCTGGTTCTGGTTGAACAACCCCACTCACCTCATACGAAAGTGAAAGTAACTTGGTTTCGCCTCAAACTCAAATTGATCAGAATTACAGGATGAAGACTTTGTTGAAAGCACGAACCAGTCTGGGTTTGTGTTGTGCGTGTGGGCCAAATGCCGGTTTCTTGGGTATGTCATGGTATAGGCAACCCTGGCAACCTACCCAATTTGGAAAGGATTCCGATTCAGTGTCTGGGACTAGCCCTCTGCCGTGGTCATCATCCCACTTAGAAACTTAGTACATGGCTGTCATGGCTGTGCTCGAAAAGCGCAACTTAAGATTGGGGCTATCCCATATCTACCCTCTGGCAATTTAACATAGCTATTGGAAATGGCCCAGTCGAAATAGTGAGTTTTCCCATGAAAAATGGTGATGTTCCATAGCCACGTTAAATTACCAGAGGTCCATCCCTCTACATCCTGCCGGGAATTTCCGCACTGCCACCCCGCACTGTTTGTAGGTAAGCCTTTTAGCTCACCGAAGCCTTTGTGTTTGCTGTTGTGTTTGCTATTGAATCTGTACAATAATTGGGTTCAATAATCTCACTGTTCAGTAATACACTGTTTTCAATAATTGGGAATCTCCCTCTCAGTTCAAGAATCTCACTGTTTTCGACAATCTGTACTCGAAAACCCCCAATGAATGCGCTCGTGAAACCCATTATTGATCGTGAAAACCCCATGTTTTTGCTGCCTAAATCCTAATGTTCCCATACATGTGTTCACCGGTTCTTGCCGCTTTTCCAGATACGTCCCCATGTTTTTTCTGTGTTTCCCCATATTTCCCCAAGTTCTTCTTGTTTATTCCCCATCTTTCGCCATGTTTTGGCTAGGATTTCCCATGTGTTCAGAGTTCGTCGGTTTTTGCTTACTTTTTCCATATGTTTTACCTCTGTCCTCATATTTATCCATAATTTATCCATAGTTTATCCATATTTTTCTATATCTATCCATAATTTATCCATATTTTTCTGTATCTATCCATAATTTATCCATAATTTCACCATGTTTCCCATTTTTCCCACCATTTTTTCCACCAGCCGCAGCAGTTTCCCCGTCCCCCATCCGTCCCACCGAGCCGCCCAAACAGCTGCTGCAGCTCCGAGGCGTCGCGGCGCCAGGCACAGCGGTCGCAGATGCGGCCCTCGATGCCTTGCTGGAGAGCACCTTGGGCTGGACATATGGTACTAATAAACCATGGTTAATACCCATTAATACCCATTTCTATCCATTTCTATCCATTAATATTCATTGATATCCATTGATATACATTAAACCCATTAAAAACCATGGTACCCTGGATTAATAAACCCTGGATATGTTTAATATATCCATTAACATGGTATTAAACCATATCATATAATGTCAACCCTGGATTAATAAACCATGGTTTATTAATGTGTTTTAATTAGGGGGATACTCCCCAAATAGGTTAATCTTAATACCCATTAACCCATTACCCTCTGGTAAACTAACATAGCTATTGAAAATGGCCATAGAAATAGTGAGTTTTCCCATTAATATCATATAATGTCAACCCTGGATTAATAAACCATGGTTTATTAATGTTTATTAATTAGAGGGGTACTTCCCAAATAGGTTAATCTTAATACCCATTAATATCCCAGTAATACCCATTAAGACCCATTAATACCCATTAATATCCATTAATCGAAGGAAGTTTAGAAGTCAAACTTCCGACAATATGGACAGATGAAAAGCAGAGCAGGGAAGAGGCAGAGAGAAATGTCAACCCTGGATTAATAAACCATGGTTTATTATGGTTTATTAATTAGGGGGGTACTCCCCAAATAGTGGTAATCTAATACTCAAATGGTACCTCCCCAATCAAAGAGCCTAGAGGTTGACATTACATTATATACCCATTACCCTCTGGTAAACTTACAAAAAGCTATTGAAAATGGCCCAGTCGAAATAGTGAGTTTTCCCATTAATAGCATGGTGGATCGTTCCATCCTTTTTTGTAAACGTTTACCAGAGGGTAATATCCATTAATGACATGATCAATATATATATATATGGATATCACCCTCTGGTAAACGTTTACAAAAAACTATGGAAAATCATATTATATACCATGAATATACCATGAATCCAATTATATCAATAGCACAAAAATATCCAGCATCATAGAAATAGTGAGTTTTCCATTAATACCCATTAATACCCATTAATATCATATAATGTCAACCCTGGTAATATCCATTAATTCACCATGAGGGATTTACCATAGATCATGAATTAATGGATACCATAGATGATTGATTTACCATTTTGGATATTACCAGAGGGATTTACCAGAGGGATGAATCCAAAAAAAATGGTCAACAAATAATATCCCATTAATACCCCATCAATACCCATTAAACCCCATTAAAACCCATTAATATCCCATTGATATCCCATAATTTTAAGGATCCATCCCCCACAGCACACAGCTTCGCTGCCAGGGCACGGCGAGACGAGGCGCAGGCCACACAGACCACCAAGCCGCACAAACGGCAGTTGGTCATGGCGTGGCATCGCATCTTCCCAGAGCGTGCCGTGTTCATCCACTCATAGCCTTACCGGTGAGTCTGGCAGATTTACCTATAAAAAATGTTGATTTAATGGGATTTAATGGGATTTATTAGGATATATGATGGTATACCCTGCAGAAGATAGTGATGGTTAATAGTGATTAATAGTGGATTAATGGTGATTAATGGTGGTTATTAATGGCTAATAGTGAATTAATGGTGATTACCCTCTGGTAATTTGTTACAAAAAGCTATTGAAAATGGTGATTTATAGTGGATTTTCCAATGAAAATTTGTGATTTTCCATAGTTATGTTAGTTTACCAGAAGGTACCATCGGTGAGTCCGGCAGAAGATAAGGTTTCAGTGGTGAAATATATGGAAAATACGAATCAGTGAAATGAGGAATTGACTGGTTAACCAATCAATTCATGAAGTTACTTACAGTAATCATTATGATACAATCAACCAAATGAATTAGAGTAATAAAGATCTTCAGCAATCACAATTTACTGACGTTTATGAGCAGTGGGGTTCAGTCTGACCTCAGCCATGGTGATTTTCTTTCTCAATTCCCTTAGAGATAGCCTTAGTTTTTACTACCCCGAAAGGATAGCCAACTCGGAGCTCCTACTTATAAATGGTTATACCCCCAATCATACATGGAATATCCCCACTTCTAGGATAACAAAGGGGTTATGGATTATCAACCACGGATCGTAAGTAGGGCCGCAATGCGCCGCAAGGGGAGACCCCCGTTCGGCCCCGGCAGCGGTCACCGAGCGTCGGCTGCCGCAGCAGGGGCACTTCTCGCCCGCCTCGCTGAACTTCTGCCAGCTGGGCCCAGCGGCCACGCTGCGCACGGCCAGCAGCGCCTGTGTGGCCCCGGCGTTACGGCGGGTGCTTTCGGGAGAAGTTATCATATATATATCCATGTTTTCTGAATATCATTGAATATCCATGTGTTCTGAGTAATAAGCAGGTTTTTTGAAGAGGCATTCAGATTTAGAGGTCATTCTGGTTACAAGTATATACATGTTTTATTTAGTCATAGATAATGGTTGGTATATATGATTATATATGAATATCCCATAGATCTATGATAATGTACCTGTTATATAGATTTCACCATGATAATGATGGATTAATATAGCATATATACAGTGCCTACAAGCTGAGGCCCCTGGAAACGAAATGGCGAAGTGACCGCATATAACCTGGTTCAGGTTTTCGTTCATGGGGAATATAAGGAACTAATTAATAGGTTTAGAAAAGAACTGGTACCTGGGGGCCCTTACCTTGTAGGAATTCCCAGTTCATGGACTATGATACTCCCAAATATATATATATATATATTATTATATTTGTGTATATATATATAGATATACATTACGTATACATATATATATATATATGTATATATATTGGCTAGTATAACCCCTGAACTCATCATCATTCAACAGGGGGGTTGACCACAGCTCATATGGATACCCCACCCTCTGTTTCAGAGGACTTTGCAGCAAAGAGGATAAATTTCAGGTACCATGTAAGGTCTTCGCAAGGTCCAAGTGAGAGAGTATCACATTCCTCCAAACCTAGCCTTATCAACCTTATACGTTATAAGTGCCTCATGCAAGATAATCAAATTTGGCAATTGGAAATGTAGGTTTTAATATGTTTTAATGGTAAAATCATCAAGAAATTATTCATTTTCCCTTGCCATGGTTGATTATCAGAGGGTACCCTCTGGTAAACTAACATAGCTATGGAAAATCACCATTTTTCATGGGAAAATCCACTATAAATGGCCATTTTCAATAGCTTTTTGTAAGTTTACCAGGCCGGGTAAAACCCGGCAATTTTTGGTGCCTGGTGGATCGCCTTGGCCGAGTGGTCGTCGAACATGCGCTTGTCCAACAACAACCTCCTGGTGGTCGTCGGTGTTTTCGCCACTGGAGAAGACATACCTATAAATGGGAACATCACCTATAAATGGTGATTTGATGGTGATTTTTTTAGGGACTTAATGGGATTTAATGGGAATTAAATGGGAATTATGTAGATATACCCTCTGGTAAATAAACAGTTTGACCCTGGAAATAGCCAATGTTTACTGGAAACTAGTCTTCCAACCCCTCTCTGCCAGGGTCTATGTTAATTTACCAGAGGGTACATCATTTCACCATCCTTCTTTGGGGATATATCAGAATATGTCTATATATATAATGTTCTTGTGTACTTTTATATATCCAATATATATACATCCCTATTTACTATTCCCATATCAATAACTATAGGTAAATCATGGGGCAATTTACAAATATTAGTACTATAGGTAAATCATAGCTATATATCCCTATTTATAGTTGTATGGTAGCTATATCTATAGTTATAGTTATAGTTATATATTTACCATAAATAAAGCCCATATATAACTATAACTATATAAGCCCATATATATATCTATATTTATGGTAACTATATAGTTTAAAAATAATATTTATAGGTTCTATCATCGTTTTTTTCATGTGAAATTCATCGCCCGGTGCGGCTCGGTCTCCTCAGGGGCGGCAAGGTGCAGGGCACCAGCGAGGCCTCCAGGTGCCCGCGCACGCGGTAGATCCACACCACGCTGCCTGCGGAGCCACTCCGGGAGTTGAGCCACCAGAATATGGGGACTTGACCGTGGTTTAGTGATGTTTCATGGGTTTTGATCTGGATATATATACATATATATATACATTTATACATATATATATATAATACTATAATAACTAGACTATACATGTCATGTTTTTCATTGCACTTCGCTCATGACTCTCTGGTCGCATGCTTGCTCCGGCCAAACACTCGCTGCATGTGGGCTAATATTATGCAATTTCAACTCAACACCTTTCAGTTCATCTTCATTGAGACGCTTACAAAGTGGAGTAAAACCATGTCATGTAATTATATATATGTACATAATATTATATACACACTCTATATATATAGGGGTTGTCTTGTGATGAAGATGGCCCCAATTGAATGACAGTTTTGATGAAGACAATCATGGTTTCAGCATGTTCTTGCTCTAAACATATGAGGAAACGTTCAAACACGGGAGGAAAAGTTGCAGATGTTGTAGCCTATTTGCAGACAAAGTTAATCACAAGTTCTGACGGTTCAACCAATGTTTTAAGTTATACCCTCTGGTAAACATGCACAAAGCTATTGAAAATGGCCATAGAAATAGTTGATCTACCCATAAAAAATGGCGATTTTACATAGTTATGTTAGTTTACCAGAGGGTAAATCACCGGTCTTGAGGATGAAATTCCAGTTCCTAACTGGAATTCCTGACCAAAAAGGAGTTGTTTTCAGCGGTCCCCATTTCTAACCCCCCCTCACCAGAAAAGGGGTCCTTGACTGGGCCCATGCTCAACACGAAACGTTGGATCTAGACGTGCTTCTTTGCTGTCGAATTGTTCATTTGTTGATTTACTAAGGAATGAAGATTTTCCCAAGATTTCCCAAGCACGACGTAGCTATTCCTGATCTCCATCTTCTCCGCCGGCCTGGAATGTACCTAGGCTTCTGGGGGATGGATGCTGTTTCTGGCGAAATCTTCTGGCGAATTCATCCTTCATCATATGTGACTTCCCCATGGTTCAGATTCACCCTAGTCATAAATCCAAACATTCTTGGGCGGTCACAAGGGGGGATGGCTAAATCCCCAGGAACAGCTCTGAAGAGTGGTGCAGCTTGGAGTATCGCTTGTCCCATGACGGCGAGGCCCCGTAAGTAACTTGGTTAACTGTTGGGGTCATGGAGAATATCATAGAACTATAGTTATGGACACCATGAACCATAGTTACCCTCTGGTAAACATACACAAAGCTATTGAAAATGGCCCAGTCGAAATAGTGAGTTTTCCCATTAATAGCATGGTGATTTTCCATAGTTATGTAAACGTTTACCAGAGGGTAAACTTGGAGGTTAACTCTTGGTTTTAACGCTCTACAAGGTCTATAGAAACCATTTACCCTCTGGTGAACTAACATAGCAATGGAAAATCACCATTCTTAATGGGAAAATCCACTATAAATAGCCATTTTCCATTGCTATGTTAGTTCACCAGAGGGTAAAAAAAACAATCACTTTTGCCTCACCTTGGACAACCCCGGGTTGTCCACCGAAGCACAAGTCCACCTCGTCCTCCGAATGACTCCGCCACAGCTCCCGATGCTCATCCTCCGCGTGCGGCGTCGCCAGCGGAGCCGGCACGTGGGGCGCCGGGGTGCCGTCCCTGGCGGGCCACATGGGAAAACAAGCCATCCATGGAACTCAGTGGCTTGATAGATGTGCCAAGAAATCCTGGTAGATGGATGTAGCAATGTAGATGGTAAACATTCCATGATTGATAGGGTTTCCAACTTTTGACCATGGCACATATGCTTAACGAATGGAAGACAGAATGTGAATGGAAGTCATAATGTTTCAAGATGTTATCAAGATGTATCGACTGATATCAGATTCCAAGCATTCAACTAAGCATCTTTTTTTGAGCCAATCATTCATGGAGTGTAACAATCAAATTGAGAAGATTTCTACCTTTAGTCTATGGATTGTTTTGAGGGGTATCCCCAATGACTGAAACACCTATGACTGAAACACCATAGCATCTGGTGATTTAACACTTCGCTATGGAAGTGACGGGCCATGAAAATCATTGATTCATAAGATCATCAACCAACTAGGGATCTGGGATAGATGATTGATGATGATTTACCTAGCCATAAAATGCTTGTTTTCAGATGTTGTCATCATATAAATGGTTATAGAATCTGGGGTAATTTCCTATGAACCACCATCAAATCCCATGCAATCACCATTCAACACTCCCCGAAATCTACATGTTGATCCATACCCTCTGGCTGGAACAACTGCTCATTTACTTCGATATACTTTGATATAGTTGATGATGTAGCTATCAAATGCTTCTCAAATGCTTGATCTTCATATCCCATTTTTTTGTTATATTAATGTATATCTTAGACATAGATAAAGGTCGATGATTGATGTAGCTATATGTAGCCAATCGTCATCATACAGTGGATGGTTGCGAAATCCACCAGTTGATAGTTTGTTTCATCCCATTATCTATAGGCTTTCAGCCATCTTTTCCCTGGTGCAATCCCAAACATCATAATGGCAGAAAAATCCCACATGGTGCACCCCCGGTTATGTCAGTTGGTTTATAAAGCCCATTAACATCCATTAACTACTTCGTTATATCTACCATAAACCAGAGAATTCAGCCACAGCCATATCAGATGGTTATAAACCACATATATATATATATTGTATATAAAGCCACATATAAACATAGATATAAGTTGTTGTATAAACATTTGTAAACCATAGTTACCCTCCAGTAAATTAACATAGACCCTGCCAGATAGGGGTTGGAAGATTAGTTTCCATTAAAAATGGGCTAGTTTTCAGGGTATATGTTTATTTACCAGAGGGTATATCTACGATTAAAAGCTCTCCAACCAAGACCCCCTGAGATGTTTTCCCCTCGCCTCACCCGCGGCGCCCAGACGTTGCTCAGGCGCTCCACGTAATGAGCCAGGTCTTCGTCCAAGTCCTCGCAAAGGATGCCCAGATGGTTCGAAAAACCCAATTCGGAAAGGAGGAAAACCACGGGAAAATCCACACAAAAATCATGAAAACAAGGAGAAACTCCATGAACATCGCAGAAAACCAGTAGAAAATCCATGAAAACCATCTAGAAACTCCACGAAGATCCATGAAAACCAATCGAAGCTCCTAGAAAATCCATGAAAACCATGTAGAAACTCTTAGAAATTCCATGAAAAGCTCTCGAAAATCAATTAAAATGTCAAAAAACATGAAGGAAAAGAATCGACTGAAGATCATGGAAAATAGATTATGTTTTGAATGTATCACATCTTCAAGAAATATATGTATTTGTCAGCCATGATCCATTCGTAAATAAATCATACTTAACATTGTTGAGTAATGCTTATTAAACATGAATTATCCATCACTAATGTAATGAGACTATAGTTGATATTAACCGTTATTAACAATGGGAACCATGTGTCATTCCATTAGGAATGGTGCATAAACCCATGAGTTACTTCGTTATATCCCTGATTGAACCAACAGTTAACCAAGTTATTAAAGTGACACGTATAATAATCATCAATTAATCATCATTAGTCATTAATCCATTACTACTTAACCATTAAAAAAAAAAACAATTGCAAATTGACCATCAATTGACCATGACAAGAAACCATCATTGACCATGGTTGCTTCGGCCATCCATGATTTTCATTGATTTTCACCGAATTTCGGCAACTAGCCATGTGGTTTTCAGAAAAACCATCAGCATCAACCAGTGACCGCTCAACTCCCCCATCCTCCTTACTCTGCTCCGCGCACGTGGACAACTCTTCAGCCAGGCGTGACAAAGTGCTGCTCGACAGCCGCGGCACGGCGTCCATGGAGTTGACCTCAAGGGAAAATCTACAGGAACCCATGGTTTTTACCATCAAATTTGATGGGTTTTCCTGTAAATGTTCCCATCCTCCAATTACGTGAATATTGAAAAATGGGAGTTAACCATATTTCATGGTGATTTGAGAGTGATAGAAAATGATGATGTAATTTAGTTATGTCATAGAGATTTCATAGGGATTTTATGGGGTCAATTAGTATTCAATGGCAAAACCTATACTGCAATGGGGATTTAACTATTGTCCTTGTAGATATATAACTTATATAACCATCTCAAAGTTGGGAAATAGCCATAGTCAATGGTGATTTTCCTTTGTAGTTTGATGAAAAATCTGACAAATTCAGGACTTAAAGAGCTTCTTTTGGTGGTATACAAACCCCTCTGAAAAATATGAAAGTCAATGGGAAGGATGACATCTCATATATGAAATGGAAAATAAAATTCATGTTCCAAACCACCAACCAGAGAGTATATCGGTAAGGATTTGGGTGTGGCAAATTAGGGGGGCTGTTTTTTATCGCCAACCCAACGACCCAACGGGATCATCAGCGATATGGGGATCAAGGGCGACAATTTTCAGGGGGATTCAAAAGATTTTGGCATGCGATTTGACTTGAAAACCATCTCCCAAACAAAAATCGTTTCAATGGATTGATCCGACATCAAATCCTGGGGAATTCCGACTAACCCAGACACCAAGCAGATGAATTCAGCTTCCTCCGGTCCAAGTCGCCACCGATGTGAAACAGGGCCGCAAGGCTTCTGAAGTCCTGGAGTCCCCTGGAGCTGATCTTCTGTATTCACCATGTCTTGGAAATGACTTACACTTACTGGTGCGTTTTACGTAGGGAATGTTCGGGAATGATCCACTGGCTAACTATCAATAATAATCCCAGCAATCCCCAGCAACCCATCCATTCCGTACGTAAAACGCACCAGTTAAGAAAAAAGATACTGGTTGGTGGTATACCTACCCCTCTGAAAAATATGAGTTCGTCAGTTGGGATGATGAAATTCCCAATTTATGGAAAGTCATAAAATTCATGTTCCAAACCACCAACCAGGATAAGAACTGATAGCTCATTGGCTTCAGAAGTCTGACTGCGAATCCCATGATGTCCATGTAGAGCCGATCCGTAAGAACTGATCACGAACGGCTTATTGATGGTTTATTGGTGGTTTCATCGAGGTTAACAAGCCAAAATTGGGAGTTAACCATAGTTACATAATGCTACTTTAATGGTGATTGAATGAGGATGGGATATGTAACCAACTAATATAATGATTTGGGTATGTCTGCAAATGGGATCCCTCAAACTTCCATTCTAATGAGGACCATGATGATTAACCATCAAATTTTTGGGGTATCCTTTTTCAGACGAACCCATCATAAGACCTTGTTCTTTCCAAAATTTGGGTTATGTCATGCCTGTATACACAATGCCACAATGGGATTTCAAAAATTTGACTTCAACATCGTCAAAAAAAAAACAACTTGTGTTTTTTCGGTGTTACTGTGGTTAAACGGTTCAACGATTAAACGGTTAAACCATCCTCAAGTCATGGCCCATGTTTCTTGCTATACACCATGGCCCATGATAGCTGGCTTCGGCTTCCCAGTAGCTGTAGTGGCACCGTCCTGTGATCCACCACTGATGGCACGGCATAGCCAATGCCCTGTACTTCAGCCTCCAGGCCTAGGGTTTTGAGGCTTTGACTCTTACCACCTGGTTTACTGCAACCATCCTATCTATTTTTCGGTTTGTGTAGTAACCTTCAAACAGATAAGCCAAACTTAATTGATGGATCAGCACCTACAGTAGCTATTGATCATATTTGATCATAGGATTTCTCTATTTTTAACTGTAACCATCCTATTATTGTTTATCACTATTTTCAGGATAGGATTTCTCTCTTGACAATCAGCCAATCGCGACACCCGCGAGATCGCGACACCCGCGCGATTGTGGCGACCCGACCCTTGGGATCATCTCTGGGAGACCATGGAATCCCTTTCTGTTCGCTACAAATCTCTTTCTTGAAACATCTATAAAAATCACTTTGAAATCTACAAAACATCTACAAAACATCTACAAAACATCAGATCTCTTGGTCCATTCCCAACCCCCGAGACATCTCCCCGTTACGTCCACCGAAACCGACGAAACACCGCGGCACGTTCTCCGCAGGTGCCATGGCGCAGCAGCCACAGCAGCACCGCTGCCACGGCGCCACCCAGGCTATGACCGGTCAGAATGATGCGGTAGCCCGCCTCGCGATGGGTGGTTTAATGGGATTTGAATGGGATTTTAATAGGATTCTGATGATTAATGATCAATCATGGGATTTAAAAATCAGATTAATGGGATTTTAATGGGATTTTAATGGGATTTTAATGATGATTTAATGGTGATTTTTCATAGGGATTTATAACAACCATTATATTAATGGGAGATTAATCTATATCAATGGATATCAATGAATATTAATGGGATATTAATGTATATCAATGGATATCAATGAATATTAATGGGATATTAATGTATATCAATGGATATCAATGAATATTAATGGGATATTAATGTATATCAATGGATATCAATGAATATTAATGAGATTTTAATGATGATTAATGGGATTTTAATGATGATTAATGATCATCAGCCATTGTTCAGGGGATTTTAATGGGATTCTGATGGGTTTTAACGGGATTTTAATGAGCTTTCACGGGACAGAATATGGACATACATGGGGAATATACGGGATAAAGCCATGTTAATGGGCTTGAATGGGAAAAAATATTATAGTAATATATATAATATATATATAATATAATTATATATATACAAGACAAAAATTGGAATAGAATGGGATTTAAGCAACACTGAGGATATTACAGCTTTATGGGATTCAACATGATTTAAGCATTAAATGTAATGATTAAACCTGGAAAATTGATGATTTAATGGTGATTTTTCATTGGGATCTTCAACATTTTGGGTGTTAACCAACAGTTGACTGGGGATTCAATAGGTTGTACTGTGGGAATATGATGGGATATATCACCAACTCTGGAATAGAATGGGAATACGATGGTTTTAATGGGCTGTCAATAGTTAAACAGTCATTTTTATGGGTCAAATAGGGATTTCACTGGTGATATAATTGGAAATTCATGGGGACATAATGATTTGATGCGGATATAATGGGTAGTAATGGGTAGAATATGGGATGTAACTGGTCTTGATTGGGTTTGAACCAGCCTTTTTTTGAGGGCGTAGACATCAAAAACAGTGATTTAACCAATAAATCCGCCCACACCGCTTTGGCGGTGAAGGCGTGCTTATTGGGGGGCAACAGCAACACTAAATGCTCAATGACATTTGTTAATATAGCAGTCGCTATATCAGCTTTAGCTGGGGGGGGGGGCCAAAAACGGTTTCGCACCGAGACCAGACCCCAAAAACGGTTTCGCACCGAGACCAGAATACGGTGGTGTTTTCGACATTTTTCGAGGATTTTTGGGTGTCTGAGCGCAAGAGGGTATTGAAATGGAATTTTGGGTCATTTTGGTAGCTTTCCGGCAATGGAAAAACGGCCAAAAATGAAAAAAACATTGTACATAGCAAGATTTTGCAGGGTTTTTGGATGCCAGAGCATTGAAAACACTGCAAAAACAAGTGTTTTGGACTGACGTTATAGCAAAAAACGTGTAAATTACCGTATGCTTGACTGGAAACATTACAAAAACACTGTCAAAAGCAATGTTTTGGAAGGATTTACTGCCTTTATGGCAAAAAACGTGTAAATTACCGTCTGTTTGACTGGAAACATTGGAAAAACACTGTCAAAAACAATGTTTTGGAAGGATTTCTTATTGAAACTTCTTAGCTTGAAGAGCTCCCACGGGGGAAAACCACCCTTAGCCCCTCTCACGGACCGAAATAAACCTGCGGTGTGGGCGGCCACCCCACGCGAAGCGGGGTGAATAAACAACAGAGATTTAACCAGTGGCCACGGCTCAAAGATAGGGTTTTTATATGGGATAAGACTATCAATAAAACCATCAATCATGGATAATTAGGTGGTATTAATCATCATTAACCATCATGAACCACATTAATAGTGATGGTGATGATGATGATAATATGATATAAATCGATACTGTATATAATGGGGATGTAATCCATCTGGCTATTTGACGGTTCGCCATGGAAAGATCCATCATGTTTTAAGTTCGGTAAACCATCTATTTCTATTAGGGCCATGGCTTAACCATGGCGAACTGTTAGTCATAACCAGAGGGTAATGTAATGTGAAGTCCTCATGGGATCACTGAGATCCATCATTGGATCTCGTTGCAGCATTTCTGCTGTAAAAAAATCTCCCATCCTTGGTGGTTGGTTGAAAAACCTCTTCCAAAACAGCATGTCATCCCTTCAAAAACTGGCGAGTTTTTTTTCCGGATTTCCCATACCGAATTGTGGCTTTCAGATGTTCCAAAAACCAAGTTGCAACGAAGTCTTGGATTGGTAGGAAAACTTGGAGAAAACTTCAGAAAACTATGAAACATGAAACATATTGGAAGTTTGGAAAAAATATGAGCAACATTGGAAACTATTGGAAAACTATGGAAAGACATCTGAAAAAACATTGGGAAAAAATAGGAAAACACATTGGAGAACTCTTTGAAACCACCAACCCACCATCTCCAGCTGCTACCCGGCCTGTGCCAGGCGTTTCAAGGTTGGCCTGGGACACCAAACATCGTCAGATTCACATCTTCAAATAAAATGAAAGATTCAAATGTCATCGATTCCTCGTAAAACTCGCCAACCATCCCAAACGTCACACATCTTCACAAAAAAAATCCAAAGTAGTCATCAAACATATCCACAATTTTGCCAGGAAAACGTTCCGAAAATTATCCCAAAGATATGTGACCCAATAAGTGTCTCATATTCACAATTCAAAAAATGGCCATGCCTCAAAAACTCTCAAATTCACACCCAAATTGCAAGTTCAACAAAATGTCCCCCAAAAACTTCCCAGCACTCCTCCATTCCTCCACACCTCCCAAAGTCGGCGCCTCAATTCCCTTTCCAAGGCCAAGGCAGCGAGCAGCACACCGCTGTGCACCTTGGCGCCATAGATCTCCTTCAGTTCGGCATCGAAGTCCGTGAAGAGGTCGCCTCCACGTGACCTCGTAGGGGATTTCACTATGAAAACATAGGGATTTCAACATCGGAATTTTCACCAACCATTGCAGAGCGACCTTGAAAATAGCCCGGGTTGTGGAAACGAATCTTCCAAACCCAACTGATGGCAGTCTCTATGTTGATTCAGAGGCGGGTATATGGTTTGAATAAGTGTTCTTGAGTATATGATTTTTAGTAGTAGTGGATATTGCTTCTCAAATGTTGTATATTTGATCCACTCACCTGTACTAAACCAGGAGTTCCAAGGCTGTTTTTTGTTCGCTATATATGCGGGGTGAAGGGGTTATACTGCTGTAGGAACATGTAGTAACCCCCCGAAAGATACGGGAAGCGTCGCATGTGACAGCTGGGATTCATTGTAATTCCGGCGCGGAAAAAATGACAGAAAGTGTACCAACACTATCTCCGTGAAGGTTTGTTACTTGAGTTTGCACAGATAAGAAACCATGGAACATGTATATGAACATACATGTGTATACATGCCGAAAGAAAAATATATATATATATACACACATCTGATAAAATAAAAATAGTATAGCTATATATAGCTATTATATGGATTAAAGACATATCATACTGATCATAGTTATTTTGGATCACAAGCACGTTTTATATCGTGAAATCAGGCATTTGCTATTGGAATCCTTGACAATCCTTTTTTCCTTTTTTAGAATCTGCTTTTCGTACTTGGACCATGCCCTCAATCTGAAATAAGGCTAGTTTGGTCAATCCTAGCCATCATTCCAGTGACGTTGCGACGTGAGGTTGTTATAATTTGTGCAGATCATTATTCATGATATCACCATAATATCCCCATTATACCACCATGTTTCTTGATGTTTGATGCTTGAAATCACCATTGAATCACTCTTACGTCAGCATTACCATTAAATCATCATGAAATCACCATTACCATATGTTTCCCATATATCTTCCCTATATATTCCATATACCCTCTGGTAATTTAAGATAGCTATTGAAAATCACCATTTATAATGGCTAAAGCATCCATTAATGGGCCATTGTCCATAGCTATGTTAGTTTACCAGAGGGTTTGTATATATATATATTGTATATATATATATATATATATACATATAATTATTGTGTATATATATATATTCCCTGTGAGATTCATATGTAACTGCCATCTCCATCCGGGCGCTGTTCCACGTGGGTTCCACGGATGGACACCGCTGCCAAGCGTTGAAAATGCTGAAGAAACAAGGCCCAGGCGGGGCGGTGTTTCCTGTGCCAAAGCTATGGGATGTGCATAGTATAGATCTACCCTCTGGTAAATTAACATAGACCCTGGCAGTTGCCGGGGTTGGAAGACTAGTTTCCATTAAAAATTGGTGATTCTCAAGGTCTATGTTTATTTACCAGAGGGTATATACAAAAACAATAATTATACAATGCTTTTTTTACATGTATATTATCATGTATATTATCATCTAATATCAAATATTATCATATAGTATCATACAGTATCATTTGTTTTCATATACTATCATATAATATAATATAGTATAACATAGTATCATATAGTATCATTTATTGTCATATATTATCATATAATTATATCATATATGATCATATAATATCATATAATGCCATAATACATCATATATTATCTAGTACATGTATACCTATAGACTTCCTTCCTGCCTTTTAACCGAAAACGTTTTTTGTTCACAATGTTCACCTTCAAGTGGAGCAATGAGGGGATTCCCAGTGTCTGAAAATGGCGACGGAGAGTACCCTCTGGTTATGTCAAAATAGCTATTGAAAATGGTGATTTAGTTCGTGGATTGACCCACTAATAGCATGATGATGTTCCATAGTTATTTTGACATAACCAGAGGGTACCCAAAAATTGATTAAATTTGATCAGGGTTCCCATAAAAAAAATGGCAATTTTGAGGTCTGACAAAATTCTATGTTGGTTATATATCCCATTCTATGAATTCCCATGGAATATCCACCGTATACCCAGAAAAATCACCAGTTTTTGATCCCAAAAAAAGCTGAAAAATACCCTAGCTGCTACCATCCCCCAGTTTTTTGGCCATCACAAATCCCATTTCAACCACCATGAACCACCGATTGCATCACCACCAAATGAAGGTGGGTGCTTTTTCTTGAAGGTTGATATAGTTCCTATATATTCCTTATATATCCCTAGTCAAATCACTTCAGAATATTCCCACTGTAATCCCTATCGAACCTCCAGAGATATAATCATATCCACTATGGTTGGTTATACAGAGCTATCGAAAAAAAACAAAACAAACATTTAAAACCGGTTACCCTCTGGTGAACTAACATAGCAATGGAAAATGGCTATTTATAGTGGATTTTCCCATTAAGAATGGTGATTTTCCATTGCTATGTTAGTTCACCAGAGGGTATATACTTCGCCCCCTAGAATAAAATTCAACCTTCCCACCTACGCGCCTGCTGTCTCCCAATCGCTCACTTACCAGGCGCCAGTTCTGTTGCAGTGCAAAGCGCTGGACTTCGAAGGCGGTCTCGTGGTAGGGCGCAAAGGTTCCTGGGTGATGCGAGAAAAACCAAGGATTCGGTGGATTTCAATGGGAATTTAACTAACAACTAAGGATAGAACCTATGGTACTAGTGGAATAATGGGTAAATCCAGTGAAACCCTTTAACGACTAATCCACGTTTCTTTCCAAAGGGGATTGAATCGGATTGAAGTAACCAATCTGTGATTCTAATAAGTGAACTATGGGGATATATTATATGGTATAACGGGTTGATGGCTATGGGGATAGAGGAAATTTGCCATCCCGGGGCAATGGCTATGGGGATTGAACTAACCAAAATTGGGATAAAAAACTGGTGATATATGGGTAATCATGTGGGTATCATAGGAATACCCCAAAAGATTGCACTTCAACAAGGAGCAAAATCGGGCATCCTATTTTCAGACAAACCCAGTGATGGATGATGTATGGTGAAAAAATCGGGTTTTCATGAATAGATCATGAACAAAGTCTTGGGGATGTAACTGATAGTAGTAGTGATGTGACACCAAGGATAAATGCAGTGATAAATGGGTTGATATATATATATATATACATAATTAATTAAATATATATATATATATATCTAGGGGATACTAATGATATAATGATGAGAAAATGAGGGATACAATGAGGATACAATGGGAAACCATACGGCTTGACGGATGTCAACATCGTGGTGAACCCCCAATCCGCCATGGCACCGATGCAGGCCATGCCCAACAAGGCTTCCAGAAGCTGGGCTGGTAACGGCTTACCGTGCTCCTGTGCCAATCTCTTGAAGCCATCCTGAGCCGCGAGGCCAAAAGGCCCGGCTGCGCGACGTGCGGAAAAAGCTTGGCTGAAATTGTCCGAACGGAAGGTTTATAGCTGGGAAAATCATCCATAAATCGGGAATTGTCCATAAAAGTTATATAGTTCAATTATATATCATCTATAACTGGTGGATTTTCCAGCAAGCCATGTTCCACCACCTGAAGGCCTTGGGATGTTCGGTCTCAGCTTGCTTTCCGGATGGGGTTAGCATTGCTGGGGTTTTGCCGTGTGACACAAAGGCCTGCCCCACCAAAAAATAAGGTATTAAAAGGACTACACATCCCCATTTCCCGGATATATATATATATATAATGTAGTATTATATAGATATATACATAGTTTATATACATAGTCCTCCTGGAGTAGATCTTTGAAAATTCCATATTCTATCTACTTCAGGATCATTATACATAATATATATATAACCATATTATATAATAATGTACAACATATTATATGTACATATATGTATATATATGTATATACATACGGATTCAAACACACTGACACCCACCCTTTCAACCAAGGGACCGGTGAATCCCGCAAGGTCTTCCTCTGTTCAGCACTCAAGTACAGGATGCCTGCCACTAGGACTTGATCGAAAAGGCTAAGGATGAAGCATTCAGTGGCTGAAACATGGTGAAACATGGTGAAAGGTACACCTCGGGATTTGGGGGATCCCAATGGGATGTTTGGATGTTTGGGGCCTTGTTTTCAGCATGGTAACCATGGTAAACGCCGCGAAAACAACCGAAGTACAGCAGTGTCCGGAAAATGTGAAGCCTTCCGATGACAGCTATGGCCGGGAAGACTATTCCGACATCCTCAAGACTCAAGACCCTATGATTTGCCTCCTGCCCACTTCACCCCGAATCTCCTCAGAATTGCACAATTTGGGTCAGAGTTCCACAACAACATCCACAGTCATGTGGGTGTTTCCATAAATGGGGGATCCCCAAGTCATGATTAATCATGATTCATCTATAATGGAAAATCCTCGAAAAATTGATGAAAATTTGGGGGTACCCCCATGACTTAGGAAACCTGTGGCTCCAAGGATCGATTCTCCCATGGCTTCATGAAAATCGCTAGGGATGTGAGGCTCCACCTTTTTTCAGATCAAAAATCCCAGCCATGAGTGCTGGAAGATGAATCCCAACATTTACCCTGAAAATCACCCAGTTTTGTAGGTTTTTATATACCAGCACCATGGTTCGCATCTGGGACCCAGCAGTGACACAAAAAGGACGGGGTTTCACCCCGAAGAATTCCTCCATTTCAAACCGATGATTGAATCAGCCACTCAAAATGCTGCTTTTCCATGATTTATCCCCCATGGTGCAACCCTCCAACCGCCATCAAGTGGGCACCTACCAGCAAATCTCTGGGAGGGATATCTTGCAACGTGGAGCTCAAACTCAGCAGCGTCTTGATGCCGCTCCTCGGACAAAAGACTGAAAAACCACGGGTTTTCACTGGAAAATCCGCTGGAAAACCCCAGTTGAGTTGGACAAAATGGGAAAATCTGCTGGAAGAATTTGAGTTCAACTGGTTGAACTCAGTTGAACTCTGCAACCCAGAGCTCTTTCCTCCCCACCGGGCCCCGGGTGAACATTTCAACCTTGTTTTCATGCCGTTTCGGCTTGTTGCGCAACAAGGGGCATGATTTCCTCCCGCATCAAAATGCCCAGCAGGCCGTACTGCCCGTAGTTCCAAACCACATCCTCCGCCAGGTCGGTCACCATGGATTTTTGGGGGATCCACAGTAGCCATGGGTCCCCTGTTGGGGGTTTTGATTGTCTATAGCCTCTGGTAAACATTCACAAAAAGCTATTGAAAATGGTGATTTAGTTCGTGGATTTACCCAGCTACATAGCATGGTGATGTTCCATAGTTATGTAAACGTTTACCAGAGGGTACCCCTGCTTGGAATGATGGAGCATACCAAATGAATGGAAATGATCAGTGGGGATGGTATCCTTCTTGTGGATCCTCATTGTAAATGGAGAGTGATTGGGGTGCAACACCCAAAAAAGTGAATATCTTCGCTTTACACCTGCGAGCCTCAACTGGTCCTATATATACATATATATACACATCCATAGATCCTGGGATGGTTTTTCGTCCCGCAAGACCCAACTTTTGATGGGTCGCTGAATCGGGTTCTTCTCATTAAAAGAGCACATGCCTGGTCCCTCGTAGAAGCTTTGGGTCAAAATTGATCAAAATTGCAGGTCTATTACACAATGTATTCTCATCAGAAGTTAGTTACCTAGCTAAAGCCATGTTTTAACTGGCTTCATTCCTTGCCTCGTGTGTTTAACATCAAGGGTATGGGCATTATACCCAGCTCTGGTGGGAAAATACTGAATGTACACCATTGTATGCCCATATAGTTGCTGTTTTTTTTCACATGGTCTTCCACTAAATCCGCTGTTATAGCCCAGTTATAATCCAATTATATAGAGGGTATATAGACTAACATGGAGGAAAAATCAGCTCCGAGTGAGTCGTGAAAAATACCCATGTCCCATCTCATAATTATACCAGTTGATGGGTTCCCCTACCATGGGTTGCAATGATCCCCAGTACAACCCCCTACAATGAGCAATCAACATCAACATCAATCAGACACCCAAAAAATGGATGCTTCAAATCCTATAAAACCCTATAAAAACACTATAAAACCCTATAAAACCATACAAACCCCTATAAAACCTCCTATAAAACACTATAAAACCCTATAAAACCCCTATAAACCCCTATGAAACCCTATAAAGCCCCTACAAAAACCCTATAAAACCGTATAAAACCATATAACCCCTTATAAAACCCCTATAAAACCCTATAAAACCGTCAAACCCCTATAAAACCCTATAAAACCCTATAAAAACCCTATAAAATCCTATAAAACCCTATAAAACCATTAAAAAAAAAACCTATAACCCCTATAAAACACTATAAAAAACCTATAAAACGCCTATAAACCCCTATGAAAGCCTATAAAACCCTATACAGTAAAAACCCTATAAAACCCTATAAAACCATATAAACCCCTATAAAACCCCTATAAAACCCTATAAAACCGTATAAAACCATATCAACCCCTATAAAACCCTATAAAACTTTATAAAAACCCTATAAAACCATATAAAACCCTATAACCCCCTATAAAACTCTATAAAACCCCTATAAAACCCTATAAAACCCTATAAAACCCCTATAAAACCCTATAAAAAACCCCTATAAAACCCTATCAAAACCCCTTTAAAACCCCTATATCAACATATCCCCATTGAATGCTGCATGGCGGCACCATCGTTACCATCCCACCCTGTCACCACGGCACCATGGCTCGCACGCCCAGCGCCCAGGGCAACGAGAGGAGCGGCGCCGCGCGCTTCGCACCTTCCACCGCGAAGCCACCGGCGCGCAGCAACTTGTCCTGGACCTCGGCTAGGGAAACTGGGACAAATGGTCAAAAAATGGTGATTTCAATAGATAAACCAGAGGAAACCATGGTATTTTCATGTGTTGACCAGTTGCCAATCAACTTCTTTACCTATATCTAGGCAGCACAGGTTCGGACTCAAATCATCGAAAACGGAAGATGTGGACACTGGATAGAAATGGTGATTTAACGGGGACTTCACCAAACCATAGAGGATATCAACAGATATACGATATACGTTTGAAATATCGGATATTGTATGATATCTACTGTATATATAGGGATTGCCAACAACAAAAAATGAACACCAAATGATAACCCCAGACTTGGATTCCTTTTCAACTATTTGGTAGGTGTATTTCACGATATATGAAGCTGGGATTCACCAAATGCTTTACGATACTAGAATGGACTGAACCAAGAAAAACAGACAATGATTCCAAATCACGTGGTGGGTAGCCAACTAACAAATCGATCTGTTCTTTTCAATCTTTGGGTTAACATGTGGATTTATGGTGCAAACCAGGAGAATTTAGCAATGAGTGGCAAGAATTTAGATAATGTTAAGGACAATATATATATATACATATATATACATATATATATACATATATATATATATATACATATATATATATACATATATATATACATATACATATACAGGAAACCAGGTTTTCACCATCAATACAAGGGGCGAGGGAGGGGGCGGGCGTACATTGCCGCCCCAACCAATTCTGGGACACAAGGGGGTAGAGAAGGTAAAGTTGCCATTGGTCACAAACACATCAAACCTGTTCAAAAGAAATAGCATTCATCCTCACATCCCAAAGATATCTCCATATGGGTTTGCCTGTTTTCACTCGGGCACTCGGGCACTCCGGCACTCATTCCATGCTTCATCATCATTTTTCCCCCTATTGGCCTTCAATTGGACTGTCCCCAATGTTTCAATTCCACATTGCAAAAAAAAATACTCAGTTCGTTTCTGGTTTTCCAGTCATACCATGCTTAGATCATATCAGATCCGCTCAAGAATGGGATCTCGATACACTAATTGGGATACCGTATATTCTGGTTGGTGGTTTCTTTCCCATCTTGAAAAATGATTGAGTTCGTCAATGGGAAGGATGACATCCCATATAGTATGGAAAATAAAATTCATGTTCCAAACCACCAACCAGCTATAGTTAACTATGGTTGATGGTGATTTAATAGGGATTCATATGGATTTTATGGTGATTTTAATGTTCCAAACCACCAACCAGTATCGGTCACATTTCGGTATCTCAGTATCATCCCAATATGGGACTCAATCACTGTTTTTTGCCGTGCCCTCTATTGAAATGGCGGAGTCATGCGAAATCCCCCTGGTCTGTTCTTTAAATCATGTTGTTTCCCGGAAATCCCCGGTGTGATTGGCGTAAAATCCATGCTGGTTGGTGTTTTCAACCCCTCTGAAAAATAATAGTCGGTTGGGATGCTTATTTCCAATATATGGGAAAATAACAAATGTTCCAAACCACCAACCAGCATGGGTTCCATCATGGAAGTTCCATCCCCTCAACGGCCAGGTGCGGCCAGGTGGCAGTGTCCACGTGGTTGGCTTCATACAGCGGCAACTGCTCTGGATCCTGCGGGCTTCATGGCGATGTTTTTAGCCATTCTTGATGGGAAAACATTGCAACACCACTTATGAAATATCATGTGTATATATATAATATACATATTATATATATATATACATATGTATGTATATTATGTATATATATATATACATACTATTCAAACTATCTGCCAAAGTCCCAAGTCAACGTGGCTCAATTTCTTAGTATAAAGTAACTTCATATGCTGATTGGTTTGCACTTCTGTGTTCTTAAACGATTAAATCGGCACGTCCAGATTCATTGGAGGGGAACTTCAGTTAAGTGCTGGATCTCTTCTGGGAGAACTTGCTGGTTTTACGACATTGGGGTGAGTCTGAAAATGAGAGACTTAGCCTTAGCACCAAACGGCCATGAAAATAGTAGGGATAATGATGAACCACAAACCAGTGATTTCCTATTTTTAGACAAATTAGCACATGCACTTCTCATTAATCACCATTTAATCACCATTTAATCACCATTTAATCACCATTTAATCACCATTTAATCACCATTTAATCACCATTTAATCACCATTTATCACCTGCAGTTTGCGATGCCAACGAGCCATTGCCCACAACCCATCATGACGCGGGTGGCAGCAATGGATCTCCTGCAAAAATGTCTCGACCCGCAAGCAGTGGTCTGCATACCTCAGTGGTCGACATCAGATCGGGCAGGTCTTGGCCTTTGGCGATGAGGATCCTGTCTGAAACTGAAAAGATCTGGGACCAGCACCCCCCCGAAAAAGTCTATGGCAGTCTTTTTTAATAGGCATGCATTGGGATGATGGTTAAGATATGGGGATTTTGGCAGACAAAGCCAATGGGTATCGAAACCCACAATGTTTGTTCTGGATCTGTGATGGTAAGCCTACAAACAAGACTTCTAACTGGTGATAGACGAGGGTTTTATAGACTTTCACATCAATTATTGGTGAGTTACTGGCGATGAAATGGTGACTTAATCGGATTCAATGGGAATTTATTATGGGCCGATCTAACTGGTGAAGGTCTTTACACATCAGAAATGGTGAGTGAATGGCCGGTGATATACTGGGACATCATGGGAATTCTAATCATCAATCTGGATACATCAAGAACGCAAATAGAGATAGGAACTAACCATCATGTATAGGTTGTCAACATCTCTACTAATCCCCATGAAATCACCCATTAACCATCGTATTAGACGAAAAAAGGTCTTCATCGTAAATCCCCAAGAAAGATCCCCAATTTCACTCATCATTCACTCTGAAAACTCAGTTTCAGCTGGGTTTGAGGTGAAAATCCCCAACTAAATCCCCAACTAATCCCCATTTTCACCCATGAAATCACCCCCCAGCTGGGTTTGCCCCACTTCGAGGCCGTCTCCGCCACCGAGGCAAAGAGCTTCCTGGCCTCCAGCCGCGCCAGGACGGCCGGGAGGCACTCGGCACCTGGGACGGCACGTTTTTCGTGGGTCAAAGGTGATGATTTCTACAGCAACATACGGTGAGTTCATGGTGAGTTCATGGTGAGTTCATGGTGAGTTTTTCTGAGTCCCCTATCGTTTTAGCATGTTTTAGCAGGTTTCATGCAGCCAACATCCGATGCTCACCATAAAATCCATATGAATCCCCATTAAATCACCATGAACCATAGTTAACTATAGCTGGTTGGTGGATCAGCGCAAGTTTTCACGGAATCTCATATGGATTTTGTGATTCACGAGATGAAATCCATGGTGATTTCATGAAAATTTCATCCATTTCATCCGGATTTGATGGTGATTACTGAGAGTTCATGGTGATGTAAGCAACAAAACTGGGGATCTAAGTGGTGACCAGTCAGGGAGATGGAGTCCACCAAGAAATGTGATGATTTTAGCAGTCAAAATAGAGAGTTAACCATCAAACATGGGGATAACATAGGGATAACATGGTTCTTTAATGAAGGTTATATAATGGGGTTAAAGGGGTGTCTAACGGGGATTTCATACGGTTCATATACTAGGTATATACTGGGTATATACTGGGTATGTACTGGGTACTGTATATATTGGAATATGTAACGGGCAAACTACAGTATTGGATAGATCGCGATCAAATAGATCGGATAGATTGGATGAATCAAAAATGAACAAAATACATTGGGTTGAGCATTGAAGTAGATTCCATTTTTTGTCCCTATCCTATAGATTGGGTTTGATCGAATCAATAGAATTCGACATGTGGATGTAGAATGTGAAGAAGAGCTATGGCTGACGTAGATACACTGTGTTGCATAAGAACGGATTAGATAGACTAGAGAGACCAAATCTGATCAGGCCTAGCTGTTTTTGATGGTTTGGATATCGATTCAGATAGATACCCAGAGAGACAAACGGACAATCAAATGGATATGTGGTGCTGCTTCTAATCTTGCTTGGTCAACCGCCGCGTGGTCGCGGATAGCCCATGTTTTTGATGTGTTTCTAACAACGGCAACAACAGTATGATATACATATATGTATAATTACTCTTGTACGACAAAAGGGATCATTAACCACATCAAACAATAAACTATTTTGTGATACAATAATGGGGATCGTAAATCACATCAAAAACGATAGATTATGTTGTCATTCATAATCTCAGCTAAACAAATCATATCATACCAACGCTTGCTCATAATGATGAGTAGTAAACATATACATTAATGATCAGAAAAAAAGATATTACAAATGATGGTGATCGCGAATAATGGATGATAAACATTGCTAAACTAATATGAGCCATGGTCAATACTCACTATATGGTTGATGGTCATCCCATCCATAATAAGGATCCAAAAATAATGGTTATTATAAATCCCATCCTGAACCATTGGATGACTAGCCCCGTTTTTAATGGTTATTAACCATCTGTATTGACCACAGCTCATATTATGATAATTCATTCCTTGTTGTCCTGCTTGGAGGCTGTGAAAACACGTCGCAAAAACACGTCACGTCACTCTCTGAGGACGGCACACACGCGTTCCTCCTTGGAACCATGGAGCCTCTTACGGAGGACCAGTGGATTTGGAGGTCGTTTCAGACAAACTCATGGCCCATTGGTGCTGAAATATGAAAAAATAGCGTACCCTCTGGTAATTTAACATAGCTATTGAAAATCACCATTTTTAATGGGAAAATCCACTATTAATGGTCATTTTCAATAGCTACGTTAATTTACCAGAGGGTAGATCAAAGGGACAACCGAAAAAAAAAAAAGGACTACGAGATCTTGATGATGCTGATGATGATGCTGATGATCATGATCTCCCTCCTTCTCAACATCATCATCCTCCACCTTGTCCTCTTCCACTTCATCTTCCGCATTATCATCCTCATCCTCATCCTCCGCAACATCATCATCCTCCACAGCATCCTCCTGCACCTCATCATCCTCAACATCATCGTCCGCATCATCATCATCGTCATCATCATCATCATCATCATCATGAACCACACTTTGAAACAGTAGCGCACTGTACTTGAAATGATTCAGATTTCTTAGATTGATGAATGCTAAATGCCACTGATGTCCCTCAACGCCGCAGCTGTGCTTGCCTAGCGCTGTGTGGGCAGCGTGCTGCGTTCACTAAGCAATTGGCCACGCCGCACAAGCACACGGCGCATAAAGACCTGGAAAATGGGGACAAAAAGGGAAAAAAAATGAGAAAACTTTGGAAAATTTGGGAAATCTATTACAGTAATCTCGGAACTTAAGCGAAAACTATCACATCCAGGGGGGGTTACAGTAACCAGCAAAACGCCGGATTGAACGGTGGCTGTTTCACATAGATCTGATTTCTTTTTACTGAGACATGTAGTGGGAATTTGGATTCTCCATCGACCATCCTGGATAGGAACAAGATGGCGATTTCAATGTGTCTCAAGTTTGATCCATAGACCGAACATCCAACACAAATGTTTGCGCTGAAGTGTCATCATGTTGTGGATCTTTGGTATTCATCTTTTGCAAAGGAACACTTGGATTTTTTGGAAACCCATTCCAATGGTTTGCAGTTGTTTCTATGTTTTCAAGAAACATGACCCTCTGGTAAACGTTTACATAACATTTTTACAGTTGTTTCTATGTTCCAGTGGAACATCACCATGCTATTAATGGGTAAATCCACTATTTCGACTGGGGCCAGCTATTCAATAGCTATTTTTTGACATAACCAGAGGGTAAACAACGCGATGTTACTGCCAACATGGCAAACCCCACGGAGTGGAGCGCGGAGCTGAGCCCCCTCAGCTCATCATGGCGAGCGATTGAAAATCGCACAGTCGAAATAGTGGATTTACCCAGCTACATAGCATCGTGATTTTCCAGTTCGTTATGTTAAATAACCAGATGGTAACCATGAAAATCTATAGGTATAATAGACAGTTCTATCATATAACCATGTAAACGTTTACCAGAGGCTAATCTTGAAACACTGCCCACCAAAACTGCTGGGATTTACCCTCCGGTGCTGGGAACATCCACGAAGCAAATCTCTGGTGGATTGTCCATTCATAATCCATTCGCATTCCATCAAAAACATGAGAGTCCATTAATATTATGAATGGAATATTCCATTAACAATTCCATTAATATTCCATTAATATTCCATTTTTTGTTCGCCGTCTTCTTGCTTCAATCTATGATATTCCATGACAACATCCATTAACATTATTCCATGAGTATATTAACCATGACTAAATCTGGACCACGGCTGTATGTCGACCTGCCGCAGGCGCGACAGTGATGCCGCAGCGAGCCCGGGAGCTTGGAGAAGACCAAGCCACCTTAGGATGGATGGGATGTGGCATATCAAAAAATATACCCTCTGGTTATGTCAAAATAGCTATTGAAAATGGCCATCTATAGTGGATTTACCCATTCAAAATGGTGATTTTCCATAGTTACGTTAGTTTACCAGATGGTATTGTGATTGGTGTTACATTACTCTATGATCAAATATCCATTACATCCAGTTAATTGTACAAAAAAGATCATATGAACATATATAAACTGGTTGGCTTTTTCAACACCTCTGAAAAATATGAAAGTCAGTTGGGGTTACTATTCCCAATATATGGAAAAAATATTCAGATAAACATATATGAACATATATGAACATAAATAAACATATGCTGTGTATATGTGTATATATATATATATGGGTAAATTATAATATTTCACTAACCTGAAATAAGGCCATTTTGGGATGATTCCTCTTACTAACCATGATTCCAGTGAGGTCGCAGTGAGGTCGTTATAATTTACCCAGATATATAATGATATATATATATACAGTATATATATATATATATCATTATTTTTATGAACAAGAACTTTCACCCCAACCCCCCAGGTCCAAGCCCTTCAAGCCCTTGCCGCGCCACAGCTGGCGCAATCTTCGGCCTCCTCCAGCGTGGCCACCACCAGCCGCGGCACGGCGCCGGCCACGGCGGCGCGGAAGGACTGGGCTTTGGCCTTCCGCACGGCCTGCGGAGAAGATTTCTGGTCGATTTATGATCTGTTGATGGCTAATATATATATATATATGTATATATATATATATAGAGAGATATATATATATACACAATTGATGCTATAAATTGTAATATATCATACATACCATGGTTTTGTTTATAACATTCTATAATCCATTGATGGTGTATACCATTGATAATCCATTGATTCTACTGATCATATTACCAATTACAATCTAATAATATATATATATATTAATATATTTTATAGTTATGTTATGGAACTACATGCCATACCATTCTACAACCCATTGATGGGATGTAATGGACAAAAACGAGATTGATCATGTTTTTTCAGGTGAAAACGGCGTATTGGATACAGATAAATCATGATAAATCATGTGACATATCATATAATGACCAACAATGAGGCCAGAAATAAAGAACATGAATGAACATGACATGAGGAATATAACCGGTGAGGACCAGTTGTTGGACCAGTTGTTTCTCTTCCAACACCACGTTGAATCTGATAGCCTCGTTCTTTGTAGGTTTCCCATGACTTGTATTATGTATAACTTCATGATTCCCAAAAATACCCACTAAATCACCATTCCCTATAGATAATGGTGGGCAGCCCCTCCTGTAGATGTTCCCTTTAAAAGACTCTATAATGAAATCCAACAAAATCACTATTCATCCTAAATTACAGTGATTCCATTGAATCCCATAAACCATCTCCATTACATCCCCATAAAATGGCTCACATCCCCACACCTCACAGGCTGCCACCCGCGCAGCAGCATAGCCACGACAGGAGCTGCAAACGCGCAAGCGACGCGCCTTGCGCGTAACAGAAACTTGGTTTTAACCGCACAAAATTTAGATGTCACCAATAATATCCAATAATTTTTTACCACACAAAATGTGGAATTCAACAACAAAAACCTTGGGTTCAACAAAAAATGTGCATTCCAACAACAAAATGTTGCTTTAAACCAACAAAAAATTGTGGATTCAACCGTGGAAATGTTGGAATTTTCGCACCAAAAAATGGCGGATTTTAAACGTCGGGGATTCCAAGCAACAAAAACTGTCCACTGGACAAAAACTGGCAACTTTGGCGTATACCAGCATTTTCAAACAAACCCAAATGTAATCTTTTCCAAAAATCCCATTGAAAATAATGAAATCCCATTGAATACCCATGGAAAAAGAACACAATTTTCCAGCACCAAAATCAGCTCCACCACGCCAAAATCGCGAGTCGGCCACGTCACCTGTGGAGCATCTGGTGGCTCCAGTGATATGTGCGAGGTGCACAACTTTAGGCCGCCTCAGACCGAGACGTGGTTTTTAGGGCCGGAGATTGGGGATGTCATGGAAATTTCATGTGGTTCTATGGGTGTTAATCGTGATTTAATGGTGATTCAATGGATTTTGATGTGTCTGTAATGCTGATTCAATGGGAGTTGATGATGATTTGATGGAAGTTGATGGTGAATGCTGAATGACTTAACAGCAACCCACAAAAAAGATAGAAAAGTTTAAAACATATTTCAAACAGTGATGAATTACTTGTCTATGTTTTTGGGGCTTACTCTAGTGGGGAATTCAGAAACTTTGTGGTTAAAGTTCCTACTGTTTCAATAGGGTTACTTTTCTATTGTCTTTGTGGGGTTGCTATAGTAGAAACATTGTGATTTGTTGATCAACATCGTTGGCCCGTAGACCACAACAAATCGGATAATTAGATATAACTGGCATTCTACAAAAGAATCCATTTATGGCTAGAATATGGAAAGTGAGGATTATGAATCTAGGACTTTCAGGATTTTTTCTTGAGACATTCGGCGAGATTATGGCAAAATGTCCTAGCCGCTAGCCATTTGCGAACTTCAGCGGCTAGAAACGAGAACAACTTCTTGGATTAGTTCCTCCAACAGGACCAACGGTCAGAATTTTCCAACAGGACATGACAGCTGTAAATATACCAAGCTATATGTCTATGTGTACTTGTGTAATCATATTTTTCTAATACTGATTGTGTGTATATACATCTCTATGTACATACATATACTATTGTACATAATTGTACATATATTTTGTATAAAGATATCCATACATATCAGAATAATCCACAGCTCGGTATTCACATTGAGATCCCCCACAGACTTCGCAACTGCCCGTGGCCGCGGCATCGCATTCCTTTCTTTCATGTTAGGGGGATGGGATAATGAAACATATTAAACGTAGACCATGTGGGGGTTCTGAAAAAATGGGGGATCCCCAAAAACTATGGGTTTCAATACTAAAATATACTAAGTCACGCTCTAACTGACCTGGATGATTGGGGTACCCCTATTTCATGACTTTTCCATGTTTTAGCATCCAATGAAACATCCTTACACCACCGGGAGGCCCGGAGAAAACTTGTGGCCACGTTTAGGAAGTTATGACCTCCAAAATGATGAGCTGAAAACATCCTTCAGGTCGAGATGAGATCCCACTCAGCTGGAAAGCCCATGAAAGCCCCAGTCGTGGAAAAAACATGTAAACTCGCAGAGCTAGATCACTTGGCAATTCCTGCTTAGATTCCTGACCCCTTCAGGTCTCGAGTTACCACATCAATGTCTAATCCCATCCCCCTATGAATAAACACCTCGCCATAAGCCTGCTGGAATCTTGTGGATCTAACGGCGACTTGGCGAGCAAATGAGGAGGACAAGGAGGACGAGGAGGACGAGGAGAGGAAGGAGACCATCAGCTGCATGGGAGCTGGGCAAATAGAAACGCAAAATCCCATATATCTATTAATAGATAATATCTACATATATATAATTATGATTAATTATATATATATACGACATATTACTGCATATATTAACATCTGTTGAACAAAAACATATATCATCCTATCTCCAATAAACCGTGGCCAGGTTTCGATGCAATTCTTGGCATTCTCCGCTTTGGACTCATCGTGGCAGCCAACGCGTCTGGCTCTCAAGCGAAACACGCTGGCACGCACCTCCCTGGTCTGCCTATGACGAGTGGTTGGTGGTTGAAAATGGGGATGTTTCATGGCCTTGGGCTCCAATGTTCATGGGATTTTCCGGGAATTCAATGGACTTTCATAGGATTTAATGGTGGTTTAATGGAATTTGATGGGATTTCATCGGACTCGGGGTGAATAGTTGTTTAATGGAGATTTGATGGAAATATGGTTGTATAGCAACAATCATGGGGGTGTCATATTGTACAATGGGCAAATAATGGGATGCGTTTGTTGTTTGATGGTGGTTTAATGGTGGATATCATTGTTAAATACTAGTACGGGGGAGTAGGCTGTATAATGGGAACTTGATGAAATGGAAGTTTAACGGTGATGTCACATAGGTTTACAATGGGGTACATTGGTACATGAAGTATATGATGTTTGCGTATGTCTGAAACGGGTGAATGTCCAATAAGAATGGGGATATAACATGATTAACATGGTGCTGCAATAGGATGTATATATATATATACATAGCCAACTATATGAGGTATATAACCTACCAATAGGGATACTTACTGGGGATGCTTTAAAGGGCATGATGAACCAGTAAGAATAGCGAAGCATATGCATATGTACCATATGTTCGGACAAGCCATATAAATGTCTCCTAATATACATGTACATACATATATATAGATATAGATATAGATAGATATATACTGATGTTGATGATGGGAAAACATTCACCTCATTCCATTCCCGATGATCGGGGTCTTGCCTCACGCAGTCCTGCAAAAAAAAGGCCATCGCGCCCCGAGTATTGGTTTCTTTGGGTGAGCCGCGCCTGTTGCTGGGCTGGAATTTCTGAAAAATAGCCATGGAAACATGGTGATTTCTGCCCATGTAGTTCGATGATTCGCCATGTTTTGAATGGTGATTTTTCATAGCTACCCTCTGGTTATGACTAACATAGCCATGGAAAGATCCACCCATTTTCAATAGGTAAACCATCTATAAATGGGTCATTTTCATCCATTTTCCATGGCTATGTTAGTCATAACCAGAGGCTATCTGAAATTACCAGAGGGAGATTTTTTTTTTGAAACCCATCGCGGTGTCACAAAAAAGCATAACTTGGGTGTCTGAAAGTAGGGTACCCCGTTCCATCCACTAAAGGGTTACTAGCCGTCTTGAGGCAAACATATCCTGTATGTTGGTTATACACATCATGATAACTTATAATATAATTCATATGCCCTAACATACATGTAATTATATAGATGTACCATCATGTAGATGTACCATATATATATATGTATGTACTTACCATATCAATATCCCCATTACAGTAACTACCCTTCAACCTTCGAAGCATCCAGTCCTTATGATCCTCCACAATATGTTCCTTGGCCCGACGCTTGGGGTCAACGTGAACTGTGGACCCTGGGGTGGACAGGTTGCTGGTTGCTGGCCGCGACAGGAATTGGTGCAACAAACGATGACAACGGTGATGACAGTGATGAGGATGAGGATGACGATGACGATGAGGATGAGGATGAGGATGAGGATGATGACAATTTACATTATATAGTAATGATAAATGAAACAATATTATATATATTATATTATATTATATTATATATTATATTATATTATATATTATATTATATTATATATTATGTTATATTATATTATATTATATATTATATTATATTATATTATATTATATATTATATTATATTATATTATATTATATTATATTATAGATATATATTATATTATATATTATATTATATATATTATATTATATATATTATATTATATATATTATATTATATATATTATATTATATATATTATATTATATATATTATATTATATATATAATATTATATTTATAATATTATATATATAATATTATATTATATATATATATTATACATTGTATATATTTTATGATATATATATATATTATCATATATATATATATAATATATATATACATATAACTGTATAGATGTACCATTATATGAAGCCCTTTGTTAAAAGTGCTCATCACCACCAGCCTGGTCCACCAAGCATCCGCTTGTGGCAGACAGGTGGAGCACACCGTGGTTCGGCTGCCCTCGGGCAGGGCGCCCGCGGGAAAGGCGAACGGGCCCGCGTGGTCGGAGCAAAAGCTCTCTTCGCAGAGGATGCAGTCCTGGAAAGCTGGGGGGTTTCCCCACAGCATGGGGCCCCCAGTCGATAGCGTCCAGTTGAGATATAAGTGGCTGACTTCTATGTTAGTTTATGGTAGATATGACTATAGTATTCATGGGGTCTATGAACCAACGAAGATCACTGGGTGGCACCATCCTGTAGGGAAACCCATTGGAAAACCCCTAGGAACCCCTTAGGAAAAGCATAGAAAACCCCATGGGAAAAATTGTGATTTTCCACCATTTTAACATTGGGGCAATTCAGATTTCACTGGGGTTGATGATGGTTTATGGCTATGAACTAACTATACATAACTAAGCGGTGAGATGATCCCCCAAAGTCTGCAGACTTCACCATCCCTGCTTCCCTGGCCAGGTTTCATCGTGGCTTTGGGTTGATTCTTGATGGCTATGTTGATGGATATTGATGTGTATGATACTGTATATGTGAATGGATATCGATGTGTATATTAATGGATGTGGATGGTGGATGGACATGATTGGATACTATGGATCTTAATGGTTTGTCTTGAATTATAAGTGCCAGGGTTGCTCTGTTGGCCAAATTTAGAAAAAATGCCAAAACACAAATTCCGCCCAACATGCCCGAGGCCATATGGAAAGTTTAATAGATCTTATTCAATAAATTATCGGATATTGATGGCTAGATTTTGATGGTTATAACATGTCAGCACAAGTGTTTCGAGAAACACTCAACTGCAGCAGAATGAAAACATTAAACCATTGATTGTTATGTAGTGGATACTAGTGGATAATAGTGGATATTGATCCATCATAAAATTACTAGTGATGGTATTTTATCAATGATGGTAATTTTATGATGGTAATTTTATCATATTATCATAAATATTATCAATGATGGACATTTTATGATGGTAAAAATGATGGATTATGTAGTGATTTATATTACCATCATAAAATTGAATTAAACTTGTCCTCCATGGCGGAGATCCAGCGATTCAAACATCAACAATTGGGATTTTTGGCTATTGTATATTTGGCTGTATACAAGTACATAGGTATGTATAGACATGTATATATATATATATATGTATATCTATATATCTATGTATCTATCTATATAATCTAATCCAATCTAATAATCTAATCTAATCCAATCCAATCAAATCAAATCCAATCCAATCCATCTATCTATCTAGCTATCTATCTATCTATCTATCTAATAGTAATGTGGCATAATGGGACGGAAACAATTGATTTCATATAGGTGTGTCTCAAAAGGGGGGATACCACAATGTGCAATGATCATTGGGGAAATGATTCTAAACGATAGCCAGTTTTACATTTTGGGTGATAAAACTTCAAGAAGCTACGCTTCTTGGCACCATTTCAAAGGCTCCTGGAGAAACAAGGTCTGGAAGAACTTGAAATGATCTTCAGCCTGCAGGATGTAGCATGAGATTTGAGGCATACCTGGGTTACCTGATGGCATCCTGAAACTCCAACCTGAAACCCGGCTTCGCCTTTTCACTTCAGTTTTTCCATTGAGAAATTCCTAGAAATGCCATGACTCTCTCAATTGAAACCACCAACATGCGAAACATTGCGAAACCCAGAGTTTTCGGATGGGAAACCCCGCAAGATCAACCAGAAGTCCTGTGCCTCGCCATGGCTGGCGCAGGCCTTACAGACCTTGCGCCAGCGCGAAAACTCCTCTCAGCTGGGCATCGAACCCCTCGGGTCAAACACCCTGGTACCCTGTCAAATCTTTTTCATAGCTGGTTACTGTATGTTTGTTCCCCCCAAAATATGGTAATAATAGGTGTTGAATGGTTGTCGCAAATTACCAGACGAGAACGTCACAACCTGTCCAGCTTGGGGATCCCCAGCTTGCCAGGATGTTTGTAGGGATTGTCATCATCTACATGCATCTCCGAAATAAGGAATCCATGTAGAAATAACATTTGTAGCACACCACTCAGTTGGCTACTATAACCTGGCCGCGTTTTTACTCAGTTGGTTGTTTTGGAGAATGTACGACAGATGCTTTGTTTGTCCCAGACCCTTGGATCCCTTGGATCCCTTGGCGACACAGACACATTCCCGGGGTCCAGCAGCTTCGGCATGCGGCTGGTGGCCTTCTCACCTGGACATGGGAGATGGTCGATGTGCTATGACATCCAAGTGTTGGATTATGATTATTATGATGATCCATAATGATCCATATCCATATCTAAATCTATGTGTTCGATATGACATCCATATTCATGTGCTATGATTCTATGATATTCTATGATTTCTGAAGTGTGTCCAGCCAAATTCTATCACTGTCTCCATGTCACAGCTGGATAGAACATGGCTACAGCTTTGAAATGAAATGGTCGCTTGTGGCAGGACAGGCCCCAATATATCTCTAAACTCTGAGCTTGAAAACCCGGTTATACTCCCTCGCAAGTGGGATACTCTAAGGAATATAAACATCCGCTTTTCTTACGCCTTTCTTCCACTTCAGATCCTTCTTACGGCTTAAATCTATTCAAATCCCGTTTCGATTCGATTTCGATTTAGTTACCCTCTGGTTATGACTAACATAGCCATGGAAAGATCCACCATGCTATTAATAGGTAAACCATCTATTTCTATGGGCCATCTATACCATGGCTATGTTAGTCATAACCAGAGGGTATATCCCAATTTCGATAGCTAACAGACATCACTGGTGGCAAACTCTCCGTGTCTTCTGGGACCTTCGAGGCGCTTCCCATCGCCTGCTGAAAGCTTCTCTGGCGCCTCAGCGTTCCTGGAGAAGCTGCTTTTTTGATCATCCCACGACTCGTGGTTGGCAACTGGGCTTAGTTCAGTCACTGAAAAGGAACTAACCATGGTCCAATGGTCATGAAAATATTGGGTGATAATATTGGTTTAGGGAATATGAATCCCAAAGTTGGGCTTCCCATGGTTGCCCCAGTGAATGGGCTTCCCCAGTGAATGGGCACCAGGTACCATGGCACCATGGTAAGCCACGGATTTCCTGGAAGATGATCTTCCAGGAGAAAAATGAAAAGCCCATTTTCGGACGACCCTCTGGTAATGACTGTTACAGTTTGCTATTGACAATACCCCATAGAAATAGTTGATGTATCCATTCAAAATAGTGATTTTCTATAGCACAACCGCATAACCAGAGGGTATATATTTGAATGGCAAAGTGATCATTCACCAGCGGAGGGTTACCCTAACCCTATTTTCAAACAAAGCCAAGTGGGTGTCTTTACAAGGGATGGCTATTGGGACGGTCTCAGATCCCCTACCAGGATGAAAAGTTGCGATTCCCAACCCTGTAATTCTTGCGCAATGACCTATTTCAGTTTGGGTACCAAGTTTAACTGCGATACAAGTGGCCAGCGAACCTGTAAATCTGGTGCTCTGATACCCACACGAGTGTGGCAGAACATTGGCTTCGCATCAATTCCTTCTGAATTTGACAACCTCTCAAGATCATTCAACAATATTCAACAGCTGCTAATTCTACATTAAAAAGGTCCAATTTAAAAATGGATCTAGGTGGGCTTGTCTGAAAATGGGTTACCTTGAAACTTGCCATTTTTCGGGAAGATGGGTGAATGGCCTAGGGTAAACTAACATAGATGTGGTAGAAAAATGATCTACCAATGGTTGATGAATTTCCACATCTATGTGAGTCGACCCGCACGGGTAAATATCATTCAGAATCCATTCATATCCAATTTCTAGAGGATTCTTCCATTCTTAACCAGCCATTAAATCCCCATTAAATCACCATCAAACCATATTAAAGTCCCATAAATCACCGTTCACATTACAGGAGGGTAACCTTTTCTTTCAGTCCGCCGGGTTGGGTCCCGGCGGTCAACGCACCGTTCTCCTCCTCGGCTCCGCTGCATCGCCTTGCGATCGCGGTTTCAAACGGGGAAAATAACATCGGCTAAACACTGTTTTAGTATCTAATATATATATACATGTATCCATGTATATTTTGTATACAATGTGTATACAGTTATATATATATATATATATATATTGTATTTCATATTTGTGTATATATATACATATATATACTATATAATTATATATATATGTATTCCAGTGTATGTTTATGTATATACTCTTTTCTACGTCGTATATCATTAGTTATCATGACGTATCCTTCAATGATATCATAAGCAAATATGTTGCCAACTTCTGCAACTTCCGATGATTGTCAATCAAACCAATCAAACCAACCACTCAAACCAAACCCTCCAAGCAACCCCTGGTTACTAAGTCCCTTAAGTGGGTTTTCCATGGTTATCCCGTTATCCCATAAAAAAACGGGTTGTAATCCCGCAAACCACCACGATCCAATGGGTCATGGCCTTCTTCCGATGCCTCCGACGCTTCCGATGCTTCCGTGACGGCCGCAAAGAGGTGCCATGGCGACACCGGACCCGACATCGGCTGGGAAACAATGGTCGAAAATTGGATGACCGTGTTGAAAGTCGGATGGGATGGTGAGACTTCGGCGTGTTTTTTCAGTCAAAGCTGATGTATAATTACATGAATTCTATGTATGTTATAGTTATATATATATATATATATATATGAGCGATTGTGAAAACCCTAGGTTCGTCGAATATATTTAGTATTGCCGGGGTTTTTACGGTTGCTCATATATATATATATATACATATGTCATGGCTATTTTGGATTCATGATGGCTGAAGTGGGAGTCTAGATGTGCTTGACATATTGCCCCCCTCGCTGGCTCAGCTCGTCATCCCCAGGTTTCATCCCAGGAACCTCTGGTTCAATAGATTCTGGGGAAAAACTACAGGAAACCGTGGCTTTGTTTCCCTCAAAAACTTTGGTAATTTAACATTGAAAATAGCCCATTTAAAGATAAAAAGTGGATTTACCCTTTAAAAAATGGTGATTTTCCAGTTCGTTATGTCAACGTTTACCAGGCCGGGTAAAAACTCTCCGATCATCCCACTCTGCGGGTTGAAGGGGTTGAAGCCGTTGAAACAACCAGCCACCAGCTGGTTTCACCCTGTAAAAGCTGCGGCCCACGAGGTGAAATTCGACCAACCCAGGTTGGATACAAGTCGTTGGATATACCCATTTTAAAAAAATAGATATGTACAATTGTGTACATAGAGTTGGACATCCCTTTTGAAAACTATATATACACACATATTCTAATAGTGGATGGATGTACATATACATATGTATTATATATATATATACATACACACACCATCATATTCCATCAAAATTGTCACATTCGACTTGCCATTTTGGGGTCTTCTCCATTTCCGGACATTTCCGAACTGAGATGAACTGAGAGATTCAGCAAATTGGTGAGATCGTTCCTGGGGTCGCTATGCCAGTTCGATGATGTCTCCATCGACATGCGTGGCTCGTGGATTTCCGACCCTCCAATGAACGCACCCTGGCAGTCGTCGGGGAAGATGAGTTTCCACTAAAAATGGCTTATTTTCAGGGTCTATGTTACCAGAGGGTCATATCATGTCATATCCACATGTTGGTGAAATCCCCATGCCCTTTTTTGTCGCTCCAAACCTCGGAGTTTTTTTGGAGAACGCGATGTACCATCCCACATTCTGTGTACATTATACACGTGTATTAACAAATATTTAAGTTATATGGTATACATAGTATATCATGTGCCAAAAAAACCTGTGGATCCCTAGGGTCAACGTTTAGATGGATGTGGAAAACTACCTATGGTTTTCGGTTTAAATGATCTACCAATGGTTGATGAATTTTCACATATCTATCATGTATCATGCATCCACCAGCTGGATCGTCGCAACCCAGCTTGCCAGATGGAAAAGTTATGAAACCAGGGATATGGAAACATCATCTAGTTCACGTGGAAAAATTGTGTGCTATCTCTTTGGGGGCTACTATAAGATACTATAAGTATACCATTCATCCTCAATATATTTACCATTGCAGGAAGATCCCGTCAGATTTAGCATTACACTGTTTCCAGGATGTGAATTTGATGTTCCCCCAATCATTTCCAGCTTTCCAACTGCTCCACCATTTTTGCAGCGATGCCAGGCCTCGTACAATTGGAGGATCATCCACAACAGCCGAGAAAGGCGTGGAACGGAACCATTTTGACACATCTATTGGGTAGCCCCAGAAAGCTGCAAAAGGCATTTTGGACTGTGCTTTTCCATCCTTTTGGAGGGCTTGGTAACCGGTTGGTATATTCTGTATATACTGCCAGTAACCCTCACTGCACTGGGACTCAACAGGGATGATCCCCCAAAACGCTCCGCTCAGAGCTGTCGGGTCCTACGCCGTGGAGAGTTACCCGGCGTCAGACCAGGCATCATCTGACTCATCGTCAAACATCGACCTAAGGGCGGCACAACATGGCATCAAACTGTCCCCCAAAATCTTCGACGCATCCGGAAAACGAAGGTTTCTCCAATTATGGAACATATTTTCTCCAATTATGCCCATTTATAGATGGTTTACCTATTAAAAAATGGTGATTTTCCATGGCTATTTTAAATAACCAGAGGGTTCAAAGCAAAAGAAACTAGCGCTTCCCAGACCTGTCCAACTGAAGCCCAGGGGCAAACGTCCAAAGATTTCCAGCTCGGGTCGTTCTAAGAGTTCCTTCACCATGGCCTCATTACAGCTGGCGGCCCACTTCCAAGAGGAGTATGATCAATCGCTGGGATGTCATCGTTATTCCCGTGCCTATTCACCGAGGCTGCCAGGGTATCGAATATGCCATCTGTTGGCCATTTATGTTCGAATCCCGTTGTGGGTCACCCCAAAGTTCTTGTGGCTTACCCCACCCCCATGACACTCATATCTGAGTGAAGCAGCTATGCTTAAAAGTTCGCTTGACTCGCCTACATTTGCGGTGGAAAACCGCATGTTTCTTGACCATTTTCCCCATTTCCGCCACAGTTTGAACATGTTGATGGCCCAAAAATGGCCAATGTCTAAAGTCTCAAGTAGTTCCAAGTAAAAATGGCCAATATAAACATATATATATATCAATATATATATATATTATATGATATTAAAAGTTCTACCAAATTTTCTGATCCCTCCAAACTCCCCCCCTGACACCTCACAGAGATAAATCCCCTCCGACTCCAAGTTCTCCTGGAGTTTGCTGCTCCAAAACCTCGGCCAGGGGACCTTGTGGGTCCAGCTGGGATTAGGAATGGGTAGAACTATGGTATTGACCTCCATAAGTATATATATATCGCTTACAACTATGGTTATATATAATTATATATATAGATAGACACCACTTATTAGTGGAATGGCACCACCAAGTAGTGTCTGAAAATAGGATATTCCCAAATTGCTGTTTTAGTGGGGGCATCATCAAATCGTGACTGAACCCTGCTTTCACATAAACGCCATATATCTAGAACAATAGTTATACTCACGAAAATTTGTTTGTAAGAAAAAACATTGTCAATTGTGGAGCAAAAATTGGTATACCCAACAACTAGACATGTGAGTTTCACCAAGAAACAATGAACTCTCGGGTGGCATTGTCTAGGGCCTTGATAGTGCTGCATGCTTCAACCAATGTATTTTCATGGGATAAAGTTGATGAATCTAGGTCCAGATTTCTTGATGGTTGGGCGGATGAGTAGCTGGGGCCATCGCAAACTCTCGCAACGGAAAGACATTGACATCTGCCAACTGCCAATCTTATTCAATTTTGTTGACTAACCCTAAAGCCGAACCTCCAAATACGGGTTTGGAATACCCCATGTTTTGATGGTTAATACCAACCATTTACGGTGATTCTGGGGATGGTAAATAGGCCAGTCCATTCCTGGCCCATATCCTGCCAAGCTGCAGTTTCATCGGTAGCGGCACCTGGCGAAGCGCCGAAATTGAAAGGTGCGATCTTCGAAGTAAAGTTCCATGAACCCCCAGCCATACCATCTCAGCCCCCCTGAGGGCCTTCCAGGTCGTGACCACTGTCCCTCCATGGTCCAGTAATCCGAAGAGGTTTTGAGGCGTGAAAGCTGCTGCGTCCTGCAGCTGGAATTCGTTGTAGCTCACCTTCGGCGGAGAATTCGTGGCTTGATCCGGGGAAGTCCCAAGGGAATGAGGAGGTTTAGATGTGATGATAAACGATCAATTTTAGGTCTATGATAAGTGGATAGAAGTACCCACAGTCAGAGATGTTATAAAGTTGATGCATTAAATAGGTGCAAACGTTTTTTTAAACAAAAACCAACTAAGTAAGCTGCCATGGGTTTTATTAACCTGCCAATAGGGATATGACATCATGATTTGCGCCGAGATGAAAAATTCATCGTAATGGTGTGATGTGGACCCTGGGGGGTTCACGGCGACATTTTTTTGTGTTGGATTTATGGATGTTCATCTCCCCCAACTATGGTATAATAGGTTCTATATGCACATCATTTTTTTGGGATATCCTTCTGTTTTGTTGGATATACATTGACGTTTTTCATAGCCGGCCGACTTGCAAATTTTTGGGTTTTGCGAGTCGTTTTTTGTCGATGTCAACGTGATTCTAAGCTAGGTAGATCAGATCAATTGGCTGGTTAAGCAACTTCGAAACTGGGACCCCTCCAAACCCAACTCTAGCCAAGTGATTGAGATTTACTATATGTGGACTCCAAGAGATTCCGCAAATGCCCAGCTGGGTGAAAACGACAGCGAATTATGCGATCCATATGATCCCGACCGCGATTGGGATCACCAAGCATCTCATTCTTCCACTTCGGTCCCATCTTGCAAGAAACCAATTGGTAGTTGCAAGTACCCCGTGATTAAAAAACCCATTAATCCCACCATCGAATCCCCATTGACACCCACAATTTCCGACCGGCCATCGGCCTTGCCATCCACTGTAGCAATGGAGACCAGGGTGGAAGCCACTGGTAATGTGACCTGGGTTTGGTTCGAAAGATGTGTCGATTGATGTTCAAAGAAATTCCAAAGGTATAACAATTTCCAAAAAAAATGGAGGAAATCCTACTAACATAATAGTAATTTGAATGTTTTGTATTTGTTTTGGTGGTTGCTAGGTATTGTATTCAATTACTAGTTGCTGAGAATGGACCAATCAAATCAAAAGATTGGGGTTGAATGGGGTGTGGTTTTATTTGATTTTTGGTTATAACGTGTTTTATTTCTATGTTTATGTATATTTACTTATTTACTTATTTATGTAACTGTTTATGTATGTATGTATGTATGTATGTATGCATTCATTTATTTAGCGATGTTCCCGCAAACCCTATGTCTCATCGTCGCTTGGATCGTCACTCCTTCCTTTCAATAGTGCCGTTCCATGAAAGCAAAACGTGTTTTTTCAAATTCTAGGAACATGTTTTTCCCTGCAGCCACCAATGAATTGTGCAACGTCCATTCTGCGTGGCAGGCGCAGGGTTGTGCGACCGTCCCCAAAAAAAAATCATGTTCATTTTCCCTGGCACGCACAGGTGATTCCCGCGTTCGTTTTTACGTTTTGTGTTTTTTGTTTGTGTTTTTTGTTTCTGTCCTTTTGCTTCTCCGCCTCTGTGTCTGTGATTGTCAACGTCCGTTCTGTGTGGCAAGCACAAGGTGCTCTGACCTTCCGAAAACTCCAATTTCATTCTTGTTGGCAGGCACATGACCTTTTTGTCGTTTGCCTTTGACGGTTTGAACGTGTGACTTCTTTGCGGATCCTTTGTTCTATATTTTTGTTATTTTGGGGGGGCGGCGTCGGGATGGGGTGGGAAGGAGGGGTTGGGTCGGGTGCTGATAACGTTCTGTTCGCCTGCGGTTGGATTCTATGGCCTTATGGTTTTCAGGAAGTTGTAACACACCTATGCTACTACACCCATAGGCTTTCAAGTAACTTCCAACACGCTCTTGGTGTTACGTTCCTAGCTTCTTGAAGTAACATCCGGCACGCTCTTGATGTTACGCCCTTAACTTCCTTAAGTAACATGTAACGCACTCTTGATGTTACGTTCTTAATTTCCGTAAGTAACATCCAACATGGTCTTGGTGTTCTGCTCGCAACTTTCTCATGGAACTTCTTACAACTCTCTGGATTTTACCCTCTGAACAATCTCAAATACCTGACAACACGCTCATGATGCTGCGCTTGTAACTTTCTCGTGTAACCGTCAACACGCTTTTGATTCTACGCCCGTAACTTGCTCAAATAACTTCTAACACGCTCGTGATGTTACCCTCTCAACTGAACTTTCTCGAGTAACTTCAAACACGCTCTTGATGCTGCGCTCTTAACTTTATCAAGGAAGTTGTAACACGCTCTTGCTGCCACGCAATATGGAATGTTGCATGACTTAATAATTGGTGGCAGCAGAAACAATGCGCGTTTTGTCTACTAGAAATTAAAAGAAAGGGAAAGCCTTTGCAAAGCCTATTCTCCGCCTGACGTGGTTTAGGAAGAGGTGAGAAGAGTCACGGTGAAATGATCCAAGTGCATGGCCTGCAGTTGTTCAAGCTTCTTCTTCCGGCATTTCTGACGGTCTGCACAGTCTGCACGCACCTCAACTGCTGGGATGCACATGCTGCACCATGACTTGCTCGGCTAGAACCTGTCCCATTGCCTGAGGTGTGTGGGTTCGTTCACCGGACCAGAATCTGAAAGGATTCGGCTGCACAAGGCAATGAAGAACATTGAAAAGCAATGCAAAAATGAAAGGCAAAATAGGTGAAATGAGAAATGAGTTGCAGGCAAACTCGGCAAACCCGGAAAACTATTCAGATTGTTGACGTATCTTGAGTGTGTAAAAGCTGCTGGCTATGGGCAAAATATTTTGAGATTAGGTCCACTTATTAGGGGCATCGTCAAGAAGAATGCTCGAGGACATGATGATCAAAACGCGCGATGTTATGGAAAACATGACCACACGATCATCAAATCATAAGTGGTTTCACGGAAAACAAATCTGAATTTCACTTTCTCAGCCCGTGTTTTGGATATCAATATCCCCAAGATTGCCAAGAGCATCACACCTGCCACGTGGATGTCCACGGATCTAGCCAAGAGGACGCAGATGTGCCGTGCTAACCGTGGGCTAAAACAAAAACACAATCAATATTGCCAAGCCTGAGGTTGAAACCTAACCCAAAATCTGCGGGTAGGTCCAGCAGTGGGCTGGCAGCTCAAATGATTCTCCCGCGGGCTACGCAAGCACCATGCAGGCGCCACCACGGCGAAATTGTGATTAGGCTGTGTGATGAAAAGTGTGCGTGTGTGTGTGTGTGTGTGTGGGTGAAGCATGCAACAACAGGCCCTGGGAGCCAGATCCTGGCTGTGATATGTTGTACCTATTGATAGGGCTCCAGAAACACACTTGTCCCAAAAACATCTATTGTGTTCTGCTCTTAGCTGGTTAGTATGTCTCTAGAATTTGTGTTTTCACCATGGGGTTTGATGCCTTCACTGAGTTTGGCCAACAGCTTTAACCATATATTACCATATGTTACTGTGGAGGGAATGGCGTCATCTGCGTGCTGGCCTGGAGTACTAACCCCAATGGATTCTGGTGCCGCCATGGGGTTAAAGGTTCAGCACTTTGACAGACCCCTAAAGTCCACGTTGCCACAAATGTTCTGGATTGCTGTCCTGGGATAAATTAGCCTGAAGTTCATCTCAAATTCCAGAAAATGTTTGATAACAAGGGTACAGATTCTGATCCGGCTGGTTCACTTAAGTCCTTGGCACACATTGAATCAAATCAAAAACATCAAACCCAAATGTTTCTGAAAACACAGTAGGATTCCTGCTTAGAAAAGCTTAGGACGATCATGATAAACCTTCCCTATGGTGTTCTACTGTCACCGTGGTCACCAACCCATCCAGGCTCTTGGCCTCATGATGTCAATCATGGCTCAGCCATTGCCTGGACCCCCGGTCAAAGTGGGGGGATCTATCCTTAGTTGTTATTGTTTGGAGCCGACTTATGTATAACTATCATTGCTGAGGTGGGGTTGTATTTATCGATCGACCGAAACGACTATGTAATTAAAATACCAATACAGTCATATATGAAATATATAATCCCCATTCAGGCAGCAGACTAGGGAGGCAACCTGGTTTTTACCCCCCAGCTAAAATTCTTCAATAAAAATGGTGTCTGAGGTACAAACTGCAACCAATGAAAACCTTTGCTTGACGTTTCTGGCATCCCAGAATGGCACTCATGAAACTCAGGCCCCGGGTTTTCATCCTGTGCAAGAACTTCACTATTTCATGTTCATGAAACTCAGGCCCCTGGCTTTCATCCTGTGCAAGCACTTCACTATTTCATTTTCATGAAACTCAGGCCCCAGGTTTTCATCCTGTGCAAGAATGTCACCATTTAATGTTCATGAATCTCAGTCTCATGTTTTCAGCCTGTGCATTCACTTCACTGCTTAATTTTCATGAATCTCAGGCCCATGTTTTCAGCCACTGTGAGCAATTTCTACCTTCATTTTCTCTTATTCCTTAACACCTAGGATTTTATCTCTTTCAACGGTTTCATGTTTCAAAGTTGTCAAATTCATACGCGGAAACCGGCAGCCATACCTCCAAAAAATTGTGTCTGTTTTCGCTTGGGGCTAGGATCGCGTTCGGAGTGCAGCTGTGGCTTGCGAATTCCCACCATCCCGCGGCACAGAAGACACAATCTGGTGCCAAGGACTGATGGGAAACCAGGCTTTTGCCTGTCTTTCCACAATCTTCCACAATCCAACACGACAAATGGTCTGGAAATCATTTTGGGCCGGAACAAAATGGCTTACGGTCCGGCCGCAAAGGTATTTTTTCAACAGAATGAATCTCCAGGAAGTTAAAGCAGCAAGATCCGGAGAATGAAAACCTGTACTGAAGTCTAAGGGCTTATGCCGCGAGCACTTCAAGTTAAAACAGCAAGATCCGGAGAAAGAAAACCTTTACTGAGGTTTAAGTGCTTATGCCGTGAGCACTTCAAGTTCCCGCGACCAAAATTATGTTTGTGGATGAAAACCTGTGAGCTGAAGTTCCCCCTGGATAGCTGCTGGGTTCTTTGGAAAAAAATGTTTCTGGATAAAAACCAGTGACCCCAGCCTTTCGCTAACTCTCATGTTGAAAATCCAACTTTGGCTGAACCCCCCTGAGCTTGACGCTTGGCAAAGCTCTTCAAAAAAAACAAAACCTCTTGTTGGATGAATACCGGCGCTTGGAGGTTTTTTCTCCAGATCCTTAAAACTCGTGCGTAGCGTTTTGGGGGTTGTGGCCAAAGCCATCTGTGGGCTAAAACCTTAGGTTTTTGCCTTTGTTCCCCAACGGGGATTGTATATATATATATATACATACATATACCATTAAGTTGTTTCCATGTTTCACATCATGCTTTTCCAACTCAGCAGTCCCAACGGGCAGGTGGTCACAAAGTCCTGTTCCAACGCCACCAGTTGATGGGGCTTGCGGTCATCCATCTTTGCGTCCAGCTGGGGCCGTAGTCCTTCTCCACCCCGAGTACGGGTGAGCCTTGAAGTGGACCGACCACATGGCAAAGCCATTGCCAAATGTGGATATCCAAGACTGTACAGCATACGCCGGCTACTAGCGGCTTGCTCTTGGAAATCGGGCTTGCAGGGCGCATCTGCATCTGGTCTGCCTTGCCATCGCTACCTGCCCCTTGGAAGAGACGCCCACATTCTGAGGGAGATTGGCCTCAGTCTGGTGCCGGACTCGGTGATCAGGGATGACAGCATGATCGGCAGGACCTACAAGGTTCCAATGGATGCAGGTTTTGGTGAATGGTTCGTTTCGGAGACCCCACTATTGAACAATCTTCCCATCAAAGTGTTTTGCAGCAACCAGTTCTGGGGGGGAAAAACCAGCAGAAATGATCAAAGAATTACTTTGGCCAGAAGTAAATCCTTGTCCGCTGGGCAGGATCCTTAGGGAAAATATGTTTCATGACACTTGAAGCGACGACGAGACATAGGGTTTGCGCGTATGTATGTATAATGTGTATGTACGTATACATATATATATATACATGTGTGTGTGTGTGCGTGTGTGTGTGTGAATATGTATGTATGTAACCAACAATATGATACAAGTACGTGTGTGTGTGTATCTGAAAATGGGGTACACCACCATGTTTTGGCCGTTAAACACTAGGGGGAATGATGATGGACCACATTCTACTGCTTGCTTCTCGTGATTCCCAACTTTTCTGGAAATCCTTCGTATAGATCAAGGGTAGTAAAATCTCTGCACTAATCATCAAATCGACCTACAGGGGTGTCTTGTAGCCACTACGCAAATCCCATATTATGGGTTTGTAGATGTTTATGGGTTTGATTTAAACCACCACATCCCATTTAATATGTATTTAAGCCTTTTAAGCTCCATTAAACATACATATGTATATAATACTGTATATATCCCAAAAATAACACTATTGCATCATCATTAAATCCCATTAAATCTATATTTACAACTACAAAATCCCATTAAATCATATTAAATCCATATTTGCCACCATAAAGTCCCAGGAAATCCATATGTACCCCCATAAAATCATAATTCAATCACCAGAAAATCAAAAAAATCAATCACCATACTTGGTGGCTCATCCCACTTAGTAAGTGGGTTATAACCCCAGTTATGTGTGGATTAACCCTACTTATCCCATTTAAAGTCCCTTGAAATCGCCTAAGAAAATCCCATGAAATCACCGTTGGCACTGCGTCCGTCCCCATCTCCACTGCTAGGCACGCTTCGTGGCCGTGCCGTCGCCACCGCCTCTAGACCGGGGCCAGCCAGGTTCCCACGACCACAGGAGTTTGGCAGCTCCAGCCTGGGATGTTGTGGAAAATGTGGTGATTACCATCTGGTTATGACTAACATAGCCATGGAAAATCCCTCATAAATGCAGGTTTTAGTGGGGAAATCATCTATAAATGGGCCATTTTCCATGGCTATGTTAAATAACCAGAGGGTATAGTTTGTGAAATTTCAAGTCTTATCTTGTCTATTGAATCATATCAAGCATCATATCCAATCCCGCTTCTTGTTGCTTCAATCATATTTTTCACCACCAAAAAATTGTTTGCAAAATCATCTTGAATCCCCATGAATACTAAAAGCCCATTAATTCTACACTCCCAGTGAAAATCCCATTAAAAATATTAAAATTAACACCATGAAATCCCTCTTAGAACACCATTATTAAATCCCTATAAGTCACCATGAAATCCCATAAAATCCTCTCTAAAACACCATGAAATCTCCCTAAAACACCATTGAATCATCATAAATTCCCATTCATCACCGTAAAATTCCATATCTCCATCAAATCCCATTGAAAACCCATTCATGTCGTTAAACTTATCAAAAAATGTGTTTTAAAAAAAAATCGCATAAAAATCCCCCATGTTTGTTCCCCAGCCATCTCAACCCTCCCATTGTTTCAACCCGTGCCCCAGCCGCGCCGGTCGCCGTTCGCCGTAGCAACTTCTCGGTAACCATCCAGCTGCCCTGCGGGCTGATCTCGATGCTGGAGGCCTTGAACCTGGGAGTTTCATGGGTGGTTGAGCCCTACCATTGGTTGGTAATATACAGTTAATAATGGTTAATATTAATGGTTACTATATGATTAATATTAATGGTTAATATGGTTATTAATGGTTATTATATGGTTAATATATGATGTTCCATAGTGCAACTGGTTGGTGGTTAATAATGGTTAATGATAATGATTATTATATGGTTATTATTAATGGTTATTATTAATGGTTAATATATATATATATATTTATTATACAGTTAATAATGGTTAATATTAATGGTTAATATATGATTAATATTGATGGTTAATATGGTTATTAATGGTTATTATATGGTTATTATATGGTTAATATATAGTTATTATACAGTTATTAATGGTTAATATTAATGGTTAATATATGGTTAATATTAATGGTTAATATGGTTATTAATGGTTATTATATGGTTAATATATGATTTTCCATAGTACAACTGGATGGTGGTTAATAATGGTTAATGATAATGATTATTATATGGTTATTATTAATGGTTATTATTAATGGTTAATATATATATATATATTTATTATACAGTTAATAATGGTTAATGTTAATGGTTAATATATGATTAATATTGATGGTTAATATGGTTATTAATGGTTATTATATGGTTAATATATAGTTATTATACAGTTATTATACAGTTATTAATGGTTAATATTAATGGTTAATATATGGTTAATATTAATGGTTAATATGGTTATTAATGGTTATATGGTTAATATATGATTTTCCATCGTGCAACTGGTCGGTGGTTAATAATGGTTAATATTAATGGTTATGATGATGGTTGATGATGGTTAATTAGCTATTCTTGTTGGTGGTTTCAACCCTACCCCTCTGAAAAATGATGGAGTGAAAGTCAATTGGGAAGGATGACATCCCATATATTATGGAAAAGTAAAAAAAATGTTCCAAACCACCAACCAGCTATAGTTAACTATGGTTAATGGTGATTTAATGGGGATTCATATGTTTTTAATCGTGATTTTAATGATGATTCAATGGTGACTTCATGGTAGTTAATGGTGTTTTGATGGTGATTTTAATGGTGATTTCATGGTGGTGTCATGGTGATTTGTTGTTGGGATTATAGTGAAATTGAATGGGATCTCATGGTGGATCTAATATGTTCTAATGAGATTCCAATGGGATTTTATTGGATTTTATGATTGTTGATTGCAAAACCGGCATGAAAAATCATCTTCAGATCAGAGGTTTTATTGGATTTTGATTTGCAAATGTATTTTTGTCCGATGACTGTGTGGGATTCTACAGTTTTTTGGCAATTTCACTGGGATTCGAATGCGGTCTCCCGTGTTTTCTTACCATTGTCATGGACATCATCGGGCTTTTTGCCTGGGATTTTTATCTCATGAAAATTCCATTGGTTGGTTAATATGTTCATGGTTATTATATGGTGGTATGGTTAATATAACCATAATTACCAGTATATTAATCATTATGATAACCATTAATATTTAATATTAGCTATACTGTCAATAATGGTTAATGATGATTAATGATGGTTATTCTAATGGTTATTACAATGGTTAATATACTGTTAATAATGGTTCAACTCCGAAATCCCCATGGGAAAATCATGGGTTCCCATGGCCAGTTCCCGTTCTGTTCACTCGCCAAGTCACAGACGACTGAAGCTGCTTGGCGTCATGGACACCTCGACGAGGTATGGCCTCAACCAGTGACATGAGGACGCCGCCGTTGGTGGTTGGGGATTAAAATGTGTTCCAGAATCTTACGTATATAGCTATGCTAAAAGGGATCGTTTATATAGGTTTATGATGATTTCACTCCTTTTTTTGGATTTTCCATCAAATTTACCTCAAGTTACTGTTATAGATTCGATGGCAATTGACCAGAGCATTCCCAGCGGCAGGTGCTCCGACAGATCGGCACAGATGGAGGCCAGCAGAAACTCCGGTGGAGGCGTTTCCAAGGGATTGCTGCTGGCACCCAAGGCCTCATGGTACAGTAGAGGAGAAGAGAACCCCCAATTTATTCAACAAATAAACATATTTATATATACACATATATATATAATATATATATACATATATATATACATTACAGTAATCTGAAAAATGGCCTGGCTTTGGGATTCATGTGCTCCGAATCGATCGCATTGGGAGCATAGGCTACAGAAATGATGAGAAACCATGGGATTCTCACGGGCAATGTAACGTTTCTTTAATGATAAAAACGAGCCCAGCATAAATTTGACCCGAAGTAATCAGGAGATCAACCAATGATCTTCAATCAGGCATAGTCTTCTAGGCAATCATGAAATGAAGGATGAATGAATATTCAATGCGGACACGTTGTTGGATGTTTAACCAACTATATATTTGATGAAAATTGTGTATATTTGCTGTGCGTCTAAAGATGGTGGATACAACCAATTTATGATGTGTTGATGCATTGGAAATGGCGCCACCATTTCCAGACAAACCCAAGGTCCGCTGCATTTTGGTCGTAAGATTCCCCTTTGCTGGTGAATTTCCCCGTGTTTCGTAGTAAAAATTTCCCAATGTTTAGTAGTAAATGTTTTTTTCCTTTCCTCTTTACCAACAAACATGGGGAATTTCCCCAGTAAAAAAGCTAAGAAATCGTAAAGACTCCTTGGGAAATTCGTGTTGACCGTGGCCGCCAGGCCGCCATTGCCACGGATTGAAGCCATGAATTTCGCTGCTTCTTGGGGATGATCTCCAGTTGATTTGTTGAAGAATGGCACGCAACGTTTATCATATAATGTATATATATATGTGTATATTGTATATTCAAATAATGGTACATCTATAATATACATATATATATATATATCCAGTTGATTTCAAACTATTAAAATGGTATAAAATGGTCTGCAACTAGCGAAAGCCATCAATGTTGTAGCGGTTTGCTTGCACCTCAGCTTAGATCTCTGGATGCTGCAAGGAAGGACATTTAAAGAAAACAACCATCATGGTGATACTTACATTGCAGTTTCAATCTCCAAGCATATCGTCATGATACTTTTTAGATTCGAACTAACTACAGTATACATGTATACATCATGATACATCATGCTACGGTACCTGCTTTCAGGTGGAAATCACCACCGATTGCCTGTCGAGGAGCACAGGCCTCTTCCGTGACCATGTTCAACATCAAACCTCCCAGGTGAATCGACAAACTGGCCAGCTAGTGATGTAAACGTTATTAATGTTGTTAAAATAATGCTCAATAGTAATAATCTATAGTTATATATGGTTAATAATGATGATTAATGCGGTTAAAACACTTAATATTTAATAAACCATCCCCCAGTCATCACCATTTTTACGTGGTATGTATAAACCATATTAAACCCTAAAGATTTTAGGGCTCAAGTCCGTGCGCGCCCAAAGGTGTCGTGCGGACAATGTCAGGCAAACAGTGGGAGTTTCGTCCTCCAAAATCTTCGCGGAGTTTCGAGATGATGATGTTGGACCAATTGCACACCTGGCGCCGGAGCACCGTTGGAGTCCGATCGTTTTCGACGACATGAAGTTTAAGATGTCAACCAGCCAAAAAGGATTATGAAGATTGAATTCGGTAAAGGGATGTAAAGGGTAAGTGAGGAATTTATATGACTTTATAACCGTTTCGAATCTTTTGAGAGAATATGACATGTTACACCCTGGCGTTGGATGATCCAAGTTTTTTTTTCCAAACTCAAACAAACAAAATAACGATCATCATGTTTATCATTTAGTTTCCTTTTTTGGGGGGTGGTACAATGTGGTGCCCCCAAGATAGCTAAGTTGCCTTATAAGTGGTTTGACTATGGTTTATAGTAGATATAACTATAGTTAATAGGGTTTATAAACCAATTGACAATGGCGGGGCACCACTTTGTACCTTCTGACTCTGGTTATTCAACATACGAGTAGCTATGGAAACCATGACCCACGAGCCATGTTCTAAATATGTATTATACCCTGGCACCACATAAGGAAATGCTTACACCTTTGCTTACTCTTTGCTCTTTAGTTTGTCTTACGCTGAACTTACGCTGGTTTATGCTCTTCAGAGTTTTACCTACGCCACACCCTTACAAAGGGCCCCTTCCTAAACATGAGCGCAAGGGTTTAGAACATGGTTCCCATGAAAATAGATGATAAACACAATGAATTACGCAGCTATAAAATGGTGTTTCCATAGCTACATTAATTAAGAAGAGAGTAAATGTGGTAAAACCAATGCCATAAACCAACCCTTTTGGGATGGTCTTTACACGTTTTTACCGCCCATTCACCCCGCCTTTCGACACACGAGACATCTGCCCGCGCAGGCTTTGGCGCGCACAGAAGAAGCATAGCAAGGTAAACACACCGCGTGGCTGCAGGGCATCACAATGAGTTGGACCTGGATCCGTGGACCGCAATGAGGCGGCTTGTTTGACCAAATGCATTGCACTATCCATACGTCACCACCACCACCACCACCAACAACAACAACAACAACCACCAGCACCACCACCATCAGCATCATCATCATCATCATCATCATCGTCATCATCAAACAATCAATCAACCAATCAATCAATCAAACAAATCAAAAAAATCAATCGATCAATCAATCAAATCAATCAATCAACCAACCAACCAACCAACCAATCAATCAAATCAAATCAAATCAAATCAAATCAATCAATCAAATCAATTCAAATCAAATCAAATCAAATCAATCAATCAATCAATCAAATCAAATCAAATCAAATCAATCAATCAAATCAATTCAAATCAAATCAAATCAAATCAATCAATCAAATCAATTCAAATCAAATCAATTCAAATCAAATCAAATCAATTCAAATCAAATCAATTCAAATCAAATCAATTCAAATCAAATCAATTCAAATCAAATCAAATCAATTCAATTCAAATCAAATCAATCAATCAAATCATAATCATCATTCACCATCATCATCTTATCGATGGACCTGGATCAGCAAGTTCTCTCCTGTCCCCCGAATTCAATCCCGGGGCCCCACAATGAATAGATACAATCCACTCAACCTGGGTTGTTGGGGAAAGAAAGAGATTACCCTCTGGTAAACTAACATAACTATGGAAAATCACCATTTTCAATGGGTAAATCCACTATTTCTATGGCCATTTTCGATAGCTACGTAACAAATTACCAGAGGGTACGTCTCAAAGTTCCTGTCAAGTCTCAAGTGACTCAAGAGATTCATCCAGTTCACCCCCAAATGGATGATCCGTCCCGCCGGTCCGTCCCCAAGGCACGGGTTCCCGTCCAAGTTCTTCAAGACAAACGGGGCAGGTCGCCCCCGAGGAGCGCCTGAGACCGTGGAACACGTGGAACACGTGGCATCGATGCTGCATTTCCCATCCCATAGGGATGGTCTCATGTATATGATGGTTACATCATAATTGCCCTTTGGTTATTTAACGTAGCCATGGTATAGATGGCCCATAGAAATGATAATTTACCTACTTAAAATGGTGATTTCCCATAGCTGCGTTAAATAACCAGAGGGTATATGTATATATATATACATACATTTTTATGTGACTATATCATTAGCTATGTGTATATTATGGTGATAGTGTGGATGATTGCGAAATCCTGAAGTGATTCCTATGAAACATTGTAAATAATGCGATTATAAGGGGATAAACCATCCACTAACTGGTGCAGGATTTCTGAAAAATTCACGGTATCAATGATATCCACCAAGTTACTCCTATGAATCAACCAAGCTATATATATATATACATACATACATATGCCAAGCAATGGGCATAGACAAGTGAAACATCTTTATTTATATATATATACGTACATATATATATGTAAGAGGATCTGACCACCAAATCAGCATCTCTGACCGCAAAGCTCCTATTTGGGATGCCGGATTGTCCAGCCATGTGACTTTTTGACCAGCTACCATGGCTGGATCATCCCAAAAATCGGTCAACTGGCTAGAAACAGGTTATGCCATAACCTAGTCATAAATGGGATATTTAGTACATGAAAATAACCATAGGATAACCTACTTTTGTTATAAATATAATAAATGTTATGGCATAACCTACATAGGAAATGGGATGAGATGGGCACTTACTATCCGAGCCACAAGCGACTTTGCATGCGCTTCACCACAGCTTTCCGCGCAGCAATCTGCGCCTGGGGTCAAAGAAGTTGCTTTCTCCAGCACGAACAATTCGTATGTTGCTATTTTTGTTGTGGTACTCCCACTACTATTCAAAAATCTAAGTCATTTGAAGAAAAAAACATGTTGTTCATTGGTTTGTGTTGCTATCCCGATGTATTTCGTGGAAAAGACATCGCCCGCTGAAGACCTCCCCCTCCGGCGCAATTTCGATCACTTGCAACAGGGCAAAGAGACCAAAAACGCTGGAGACCTGTGCCGTGGGTCATCATGGGGATCGAATGGGACACCAGGAGGTGTCAAAAGTTGGGCTACCCACAAGTGGTTGGTAAGTTTTACCCTCTGGTAAACTAACATAACTATGGAAAATCACCATTTTTTATGGGAAAATCAACTATAAATGGTCATTTTCAATAGCTATGTTAAATTACCGGAGGGTAGTAACCATCTCTTCTTTTTGGGAGGTCCGTTTTGACCAAGACTGGAACAGACTGGCAGTGATGCCAACAGCAAAACACCTGAAGCCAAAATGGGGATGCATCAGCAATTGTGTGGGTTGGATAGAAATGGGAAATGACGTTCAGGCACTATCATTCTTGAAGGCTAGGCTTGGTTTTAGAAAACATCTATTTTGGAAGGGAACACCTTAGTTTTGCATGTCGTTTAGAGCCACAAAAATCGGGAGTCGCGCTGGAACGGACCGGCTGTGGAGTTCCTGAGTTCCACAATCAAGAGCGGCAGAAATCAACCAACTCTCCTATCATTCACCAGTCCAGAAAAGAGCTTGGAAGTTTGTAGTTTAGCAGCAAATCTGGGAAAAGGAACCAACATGACAATGTCAATGTTCTTGGTTTTGTATTTATTAAGACCATAACATTTTTAGTTTCAAATCCCAAGAAGTTCTGGGAGTTTACCAGGATTACCATCAAATAGATGCTGAGTTGCGGCAAGTTTGAGTGGAAACGGAGTCTGGGAACGGGGGTCCCATTTGGGGAATTTCATGGTATTTTCTAAACATGCAAAGGATCCAACAAGGATGTATGAGTGTTGTTTGGGGTGATGTCTGGGCAAGTCCCACTTTTCCACTGTTGGCTGAGGGAAATCGAAACCGTCGAAGCCCTGCATGATTTGATGGGTGTTTCACCCTCTGGATAATTGCAAAATCCAAACTTGATTAGTTTGTTCATGAAATTGATGTTCTCCACAATACATATGTATACAATATATATATATAAATATATATATATAATGAATTGTCAATATGTAGATATTCGACATCATTTCTGGTGAACCTACGCCATTTTCTGTCGCTTAATTTTTGATCCCGAACACCAGGCTGTGCATAGCACAGTCCGTATCAAGTTGGACCAGGGGGGTCCTAAAACGGTTGGTCCCCAAGGCGCCATGGTTGTTTCAATACTAAGTCATGGTCTATAATCACTTGGATAATGACTGGGGGTACCCAAATGACTTTCGGAAAGCCGGAAAATTCACTCTCCAACTATCATCCAAGATGATTTACCTAGCTAGAAAATGGGTGATGTTCACATATGTTCGCATTGTTGCCATCATATTTCTTGGCCTAAGCCCCATTCAGCCCACCATGTTTTTTAAAAAACATGGATGATTTGCACCTCTGAGGCGTTCCACGAAAATGGGGGTACCCCTAAATATCATCCATTGTTCTTTTCGGATCTTTTAGGATGCTTCCAACCATCCAACTGGGGTATCCCCATGACTTAGGACACCTCCTGTCATCCATTTAGAGCCCCCAGGGACCTCCTCTAACAGTGGCATCACTAGGTCCAGTGCTTCCGTGAAACCCGTCCTCGCTGCCTATGGGAGGGGAATGGTACCTGCCTGGTGACCCTTCGATGTCATCAAACATATGACATATGTATAGTTCGTGAGAATTTGGGACTTTATGCTGATGAATAGCGATTTTAATGGGCTTGTTACGCACAATTAATGGGAATTGAATGGGATTTTTAATCAGATGTTCATGGGATTTTATGATGAATAGGGATTTGAAACAACAAAATGGAGATGCAAAAAATCATGGAAGTGACCCGCTTAGGTGTCATCATGGCTGTGAAATCCCAGTGCTGGCGAATCCTCCCATCCTGTGATTACCGGAGGGTATATGACTGGTATATGGCTATCATGACTTCAAATCATAACATGATTTGGGGATGGGTCAAAACCCTATCCCCCTGGTGAACATCAAAATAGCTGGTAAATGGATGTTCATCCCCCTAAAAATGGTATTAGGTATTGATCCATAGCCATTTCTCTATATTTCTCTGACACACACAAAAAAAAATAAGACACCAGTTTGAATGCAAAAATTGCTAGCTCTGAACCCTGCAGCACCCTGAATCATCTGACTTTGAGCATCCCTCGTATCTCTATGTATTCTCCATGGCCCCGGTCACCCAATCGGCAGATTCTCCTGTTGAAAACACCCAATGATGATCCTCTTGGATCATCCTCCCCAAGTTTTCTCAGCATAGAACCCCCCAAAAATGACCATTTTGCAACAGGATCACGTTCCGAACCCTGGATCTCTGGGGCCCAGGCAATCCATGGCATTTTACCCCACCATCCGACCCGAAAAAAATCCCATTCGATTCCATTCAATCACCATCGAAATCATGGAAATCCCCTGAAAATGACCATTCAATCCCATGAAAACACCATGAAATCACAATATATCACCATGAAATCACATCAAATCACCATCAAATCACCATCAAATCACCATCAAATCACCATGAAAACACCATGAAAACACCATAAAATCACCATTAAAACACCATTCCAAGGCCCATTTCTCCCCCGTCTTCTCTTCGCTCCGGCGCCTGTTCCCAAGCCTCCGCTGCCAGAAAGCCCTGATCCCAACTGCACACGGCAGCCCAGCAGGCCAAGAGAAGCCGTGCCGCCTGCCATTTTTCGTTGGTTTTACGGTGGTTTTTGGATGTTTTGATGGGAAAAATCGTTGGACCAACAAAAATTCAGAGTGTTTCTTGATGGGAACAAATCGTTGGACATGTTTCTACTAGATGGTTTTTTTGGATGTTTGCCGGTTGTTCCAGATTACTGAGGGGCTCAGCTATCGAGATTGAAAGATCTCCACAACATATTATCCAATTAAACAAAAATGTCCGAAACATTGGATGATAAATCAAAACGAAGTGAGCGCTGGAAAAACACCCTATCCCATCCCATGAAATCGTGGTTGTTTGAATATAATATCCCCGTTGTTATGGTTTTGTTCAACCTCTTATATTCAACATGATTCAACAATCAACCATCATTTCAAAAATGCCGGATCCAAAAATAGTTGTCATACTTTGTCTAATTCTTATAGGAACCCAGAAAAACAGTAGGTGATCCGTGAAACGTTATAAAAGTCCCAAGAATTTCATCCCTAACGCAGCCTCCTCAGGCGCTGGGATCGACTTGCCGGACGAAGCAGAACGACCGCAAAGGCGTTGGAAGGCGCTGCGGAAGGCCTGAGATGTGTGGGAAATGATAATTTTAAGGTGATTCTAATGGGATTTTACCCTCTGGTTATTTAACATAGCCATGGGAAATGGCCCATTTATAGATGGTTTACCTAATTAAAATGGTGATTTTCCATGGCTATGTTAAATAACCAGATGGTGATGAGATTTTAATGGGAACTTCATGGGATTTGAATGTGATGTTCTAATGGAAATTTAATGAGATTTTAATGGAAATGTAATGAGATTCTACAGGCTTTTTAATGGAAATATAATGGGAATTTCATGTTATTTTGCGATTTAAGTGGGGATTCAATGAGATCTTCATGGGTTTTGCTGGGAAACTTCACTGGATTTTTGGTGATGAACAGGGATTTAACCAACAATTTTTTGCAGATACTAATGGAAGTTGCTAGAGACGGTGTCATCAAACATGGCTGGGAAATCCCCGAACTCAATGAAGCTTCTCTGATGGACAAATCATCGAACAGGAAACCATATTTGATGACACCGGAGGGTAGCCAGCTATTGGAAGACCATTGGATTTAAATCATCGAATGATGAAAAATGTGATGCTCATTAGTATCAACAAGAACTGCATGTTTTTTTTGCTGCTGGCGGAATTTCACGATGGTTGTAACCAAGCCAGCAAATTACTCATAGGTTGTTCTTGTTTACCAGAAAGTCAATTTCATCCTGGGGAAATCATTGGGATATATAACCATTACCCTCTGGTAATTTGTTACATAGCTATAGTGAGTTGTCCCATTAAACATGGTTATGTTCGATAGTTATGTTAGTTTACCAGAGGGCATATAACCATCCAAGATGCTGACATATACATATGATGTTGATGGACTGTAAGATGTAAGGCTATGACAAGTTTCTTATATTTATATAATTTGGGTATGCCGTCACAACTTATTCCAACTAATATCAGATTGATGTATCGACTTGAGGGATAATATTCAAAAAACCATGGTTTTGACCACACAATCTGTTGTTTTCCTGAAATCTTCCCCTTCAACCAATTCTGCGAATGATTGTTTCCATGCATACTTGTTAGTTTCTGAGAATCATTGTTGGATACTCGTTACAGGACTTCTGCAATATAGGTTCAGTGGGTAGAAATGGAAATGAGTACTGCAAGTGACAGAAATTGCAATTCTGAATACCCCAAAAGATCCCAAAAGATGTTTATATACATTTACTTTTTTTGGTTAGATGCGGATTAAGCCAACCAGATAGATATGGGGATATGAACCAAAAAAAATAGGATGTAAGTAGTACTAACATATAACCAGCAAGAGTTGAGTTGGTTTTGAATGGACATTATCATCATCAATACTTTTGTGTATATACATACGCAAAATGTGAGGATTCTCAACCACCCCAAAAAATACATTACAATATGTATATGTATATATATACGTATATAGATATACAGATATAGATGAAATCAACTTTAATCTGCTATATCAACCATTATCTTCCCAATAATAATAATTAATAATTATTATTATATATACAAACATATTCCCATAATATTTTTCAATATCTTCCTACTTACCCTCTGGTAAACGTTTACATAACTATGGCTCACCATTTTCAATGGGTAAATCCACTATTTCTATGGCCATTTTCAATAGCTATGTAACAAATTACCAGAGGGTACCGGGTACATCCACTAAAAATCCCACTGTTTCTAGGTGAACCCCCTGTGGCACCCCGTCCTGCAGCAGCCCCCCGAAGCGCCAGCGCCCCTGCGGCAGCCGGCCGCACTTCCGCAGCTGCCCAGCGCGTGCTTTCAGCAAGCCATGCGGCCTGGGCTACCCAACGGTTGATCTATACCCATATTATATGGCCTATTATATTGTATATACTGGATATTAATTATACTGTATAAATATATATATATATATTATTATATTACCCTCCAGTAAATTAACATAGACCCTGCCAGATAGGTGTTGGAAGATCAGTTTCCATTAAAAATTGCTTACTTTCAGGGTCAACAAGTTAATTTACTAGAGGGTATATACTGTATAGATGTATACCTGTATAATCCTGTATACCTGTACTGTATGAGTACGTAAGTACCCTCTGGTAATTTAACGTAGCTATTGAACATGGCCATAGAAATAGTTGATTTACCCATTAAAAATGGTGGATCTTTCCATAGTTATGTTAAATTACCGGAGGGTAAGTCGTGTACAAATGTCGCTTTTGAAACGCCGTTTGTCAGACCGGGCCCATCTGGAGTCCACGGATCCGAACCAATCGCACAGTAGTGGGAACACCAAGAAACATCCACCAGAAGTACCCGGCCTGGTAAACATACAAAAAAGGATGGAAAATCACTATTTGAATAGGTAAATCAATGGTAAATCAATGGAAAATAATCATTTACCCTCTGGTAAACTAACATAGCTATGGAAAATCACCATCTTTAAGAACGGTAATTCAACTATTTAACTATGGGCCAGCTATTCAATAGCGAACTGTAACAAATTACCAGAGGGTGCTTGGGGATCCAAAACAATTATCCGGACATGATGAAAACAGAAATTCGAAAGCCGCAAAAAAACAATGGATCATCACAATCTTATAGCTAGGTAAATCATCCAACTAAATGGGCCCTTTTCCATAGTTCCGTAACAAATAAATTCCTACTATTCCCATTCTTGGTGAATGGATCCCTATTAATCAACGTGAAATCCTATAAAATCTGACTAATCCCAGACCAAACCCATTGAAATCCTAGTAAAATCTAATTCATCACCATAAAATCCCATAAAATCCGACTAAACCCCAAAAAGAAACCTAATAAAATCATGTAATATATTGTAATATCTAATTCATCACCATAAAATCCCATTAAATCCGACTAAACCCCAAAAAAAATCCTAGTAAAATCTAATTCATCACAATAAAATCCCATTCAAATCCACATGTTTTTAGCGCCCAAAAAAAAAGCGGCTCCGCCAGCGGATCACACCTGGACATGGCAAGCAGGGCTGCCAACTCACGGCCATCCTCTAAAGCTGTCGCATCACCTGAGTTTTAGTGGATTTGAAATGTCAATACTGGTTAATAGTGGTTGATACTGGTTCATAGTGGCTAATACTGGGGTTAATACCTTCTGTAATTATGGATGGTTCCATGGTTTTTGACGCTTTTGAACAGGTGTTTGATGGATTTGAAATCCAATTTGAATGCCCAGAGCCAAGAGCCTCTCCAAGCCCTGCCCTTCGCACCTTCCCCCTGCGTCTCGTTCGCCGTGTCCGCCGTCACCGCCAGTACCGGTGTGGCCGCGGCGCCGTCGCGGCGGGGGCTGCGGCTGCGCTGCCGCCAGAGGCCCATGGGGGCATGGAGGGATGGAGGGTTGGTGGTGTTTTAGTGGGATTTGATGTGATTTTAAGGAGGTTAGTTGGGATGTCTAGAGAATTTAGATGGATGTTTCATATTTAATATTGTTTAATGGGATTTAACGGGAAAGTGATCCAATTCAACTGACATTACTGGTTGGATATGCTTGGATGGAGTTCGATTCCCTGATGCGAAGGAGATTTCCTGCCTTTTTATCATGGAGAAAAACACGGGGAAAAACCTTTGGGTGCTAGCGATGAATCAATGGCCTACCAGGGGGGAGCCTGCGCCAGGCATGGAGCATATCCACAGGGCTTCACTGCTCCAAAGTAGCTGTCGAGCCCTTGGTTCTGCGCACCAGGTACGGACTATCAACGGTGCAGCTGTGCTCTTTGTGGCTCTGTTCGAAGAATGTAAAATAATGATGTAAACATATGTATTCCTGTGCACATGCGCACCGGTGGAGCTCACAGTTGGTTTCTTGGAACAACATGAAACAATAATACCTCTGCAGCAACAGAAGTTCTCTGCTTGACAGGAAAGCACTTGCCCTTGCAATGCCACTTCTGCTGAGAGACGAGAGTTCCCCATCAGATAGATATTCACAAGCCTCTTCAGTCGTGGGCCTATGTCAAGCTAGTTACATCACATGGCACTATCTGCCCCAATTTTTGAACACATAAAACCCTACGAAAGGACCTGCAAAATTGGGATTTGGGAGGATGTTCACTCTAATTTCACCAAAAAAAAAAACAAACGCCTTGCTCCTGCCCATTCGAAAAGCAGAAGCTCGGCCGAAGCTACGCCCTTTTGCCAAGTATGGCGCCACACAGCTGTGGTGGAAAACCCCTTTGCCCGGCACTTCAGAGCGATCCGACATCTCCTGAGGGGCTTTCATCACAACTGATCTGACCTGGTGGGAAAATGATCAAAAATTCATCTCGGTTACCCAAGCATTGCCATCTCCAAGGGCAGTTTAAGCATGTTCCAAAGCCCATGTTTCAGGTTCCATGCAGCTAAAATTGCCAGGTTGGATTAGGGCATCCTTAGCATCCGTATTGAGAAAGGTGGTTAAAATATCTTCAATGGTCATATATTGCTGTATCAGTATCTACATGTTGTTGCTTTTGAATGTTTATATATTTCATATAGATAATTATGTAGATAGATCTTTGACACCCACATCTTTGGTTTCGAACATCCATGATGCATCAAATGCTTCGAACGCTTGATTCGAAGTTTTCTGGATATTGAATTTTGACTCATACAAACAGATACAAATCTATTCTCCCGTCAAAGCCCGGCCTCTCAAATTGTGGTCATTGTAATCTCCAATCTCTTCCTACGGCCCTAGGGGTTGCATCCAGTGGGGCCCGACCTCAGGTAGGGGCTTTTTTTTACCCAGCCCAATGAATCCAAAACGGGGAAATTCCAAAACCCATTTCCTCAACACCTTGGAAATCCACTGCAGTTTCATTCCACTGCTACTTCATCGCAAGGTTTTCACTACCAAATTTCACAGATCTGCAGCTTAGTTTCAAAGATCGTCTTCCCACAGTAGTCACAGATCTTCTCTTGACTTTTCTTTCGACAGCTCTGGTGCCAGCTTTTCCCCTCTGCGTAAAGCACCGGTGCACCCACAATGGACCTGGATCATGCGGAGGTTCACTCGACCTTTTGAAAACACAGGCGGCCATCAAAGCGGCATTGGAGCAACAAAACCACTCTTTCAGGGCAAAAAACATAGGGATTTGAAGCCTTTCTTTTTGAGGTCCCATTGAGTTTTACTGGGAGCTGCTCTATATAAAGTTACGCGACCCCTGGTGGGATGATCCTCCAAGTGTCATGTGATACTCTGTGGTGTTTCTTACAGTTTCTAATTCCCCAATCGTAGCGTTGTTGGTGTTTAATCGTCTCAAATCAATATGTTGTTGGTTTTGTATGGTCTAGTCATGTCTAATCAGCATTTTTGTTGGTTGAATCGTAAATCAGCATGTTGTATCGTTGTTGGTGGAACATGATCTTAAAATATGTCCAATATCACCAGTTATATGGACTAATATATTTGACTATATCATTTAAATCCCCAAATTTCTTGGTAACCAAAAAAAAAACACTGGTGCTGAAGCAAATCCTGGCAAACTTGCCGCAGTGGCCTCGGTCCAAGACTTCGGTCGACGACACCCAAAAACAGGTTTCGAATCAACGGAGGTTTCCTAAGTCATGGGGATGCCCCCCAAATGTTATTTTGGGATTTTTCATGATGTTTCATTCTACTGCTGTAGATCATCCAGCTATTGGGGTACCCCCATGACTTAGAAAACCTCGGCCCCTGCGGTCAAGATGCTGCAGGTCGCATCGGAGACTGCGACCGCAGCTTGCTTCTGCTGCGAGGTCGCTGGTCGACCGCTCTCAAGAAATAGACGGACCTGGTGCAGGGCTACAAGAATGGCGGATACCACTGGTAACCCACAAAAAATGCTGATTTAATGTGATTTAATGGCATATCATCATGGGGATGTCATACATATACAGTAACTGAGATTTGGGGATGCGGCTGGGGGTGATTTTTATGGGAATCACCGAGGAACAGCCCAAGGGCACTTGGGATACCCCTGGTGTTTTCTGGCAAAACTCCACCAGAATCCAGCTGATATGGAGCTTTCCGAAGTCATGGGGCTACCCCCAGCTATCATCCAAGTCATGAATGATCACCAACTTGTGACGACTGGGGATCCTGCAGATCCCCCAGTCAAGTGAAGAAATCTCTTAACATAGATAGATAGATGTAGATAATTATATTTATATATATCATTAAATATCACTAATCGTAGATCATTTACCGACTTCCCATGGGATTTTCCCATCACCGAAAAGTCCGAGCCGCGCAATGGGGATGGAGCACATGACCATCCATCTGAGCCTTCCTGGGACCATCCGTCAACGACGGGGAAATGGTGGATGCTTTCACCCGCAACCAATGGGGGATAGAATTCGTGGGATAGCTGATGGAAAAAGCTGCTGAAAAATCTGAGTTCTTTTTGAGCTAAGTTGTTTTTGACCAAAACTCCAAGTTCACCAGGGTTTATGGCTAGATCACTACACTTTTTATGGCTTTATAAACCGAACTGAAAAGGCTCACCTTGTTAGTCAAATCCCGATTTCTGATGGCTCAATCATGTTGACTCACACTGAAAAAATCATCACTTTGATGTGTCACGGTTGTATTCGGAAACTTATATTAGTGAAACTTATATTCGGAAACTATTACAGTTGTATTCAGAAACTTATCTTCGGAAACTTATCTTCGACAACTAATACAGTTGTATTCGGAAAGTAATGTTCAGGGTGTGCATTCGGAAACTTCTATTCGGAAACTAATACGGTTGTGTTCGGAAACGAAAGTCCGGAACTAATGATCTAGCATCTTCCCAATCAACGCAAGTTTAAAAAATGACTTGGAATCGTGACCAGACCTCTTGGAAAGGTGAGGCTGTGAGGTTGACGAATAATTCGTTTCTGAATCCGACTCTGATAGTTTCTGCATGAATCCCAAATCATTAGTTCCTGAATCCGAGCACCTTTGTTTCTGAATCATAAGTTTCTGAATCCGAATGCGTTCCATGTAAAAATGACTGAAATTCCCCGCATAAAACTGGGTGAAATCCCTGGGTGTCGCCAAGGCACTGGGAGACCTCCACGATCAGCCCTCCGCAAAAGGCGCAAGAGCAAACCTGCGAGTCCTCCCAACACCTGAGATCTAGGGATCTGCGGGGAAACATCATAGAATTTCCATGATATTCAGCCCAATTGATGGGTTTTGGGTACTTATCCAACTCTATGATTTGATCCATGATTAACAATCTTCGGATCCAAATCTTTGGATTCTAAATCCATGCAGGTTCTGTAAAGATCTCTCAGATGTTCTCTGTTTCATGGATCTAGATGATTGATTGATCGCGGTTCATTGCTAGTTCCACTCATATCCAGCTATCGTGTTCGGTGGCACTCCAACTCCAACATACTTCAGAGCTGCTACCTATCTTTCTATCGATCGACCGATCGATACATCTGCGTATATACATACTGGTACATATGTGTATGCATGTATACATATATATTATATTATATTAATATTATATTATATTATATTATATTATATTATAGTATATTATATTATATATATTATATTATATTATATTATATTATATTATATTATATTATATTATATATTATATTATATTATATTATATTATGTTATATTATATTATATTATACTATACTATATTATATTATATCATATTATATCATATTATACTATATTATATTATATTATATCATATTCTATATTATGTCATATTATATTGTGTTATATTATGTTATCTTATATTATAGTATATTTTTTTGTATGTTGGAGTTTTATATTGTATATACACCATATCATATCATATCAAATCATATTATATTATATTATATTATTATATTATTATATTATTATATTATTATATTATTATATTATTATATATTATTATATATTATTATATATTATTATATTATATTATATTATATCATATTATATTATATTATATTATATTATATTATATATACCATATGCATTATATAGACTTATATACATGTCTTATCTTTATCTATGAGTACATGAATACATATGATATCTGGGTGAAGGCATCAAACGACTCGCCCGCCTCTTGTGCAGCCATTTCTCCTTCACCAAAATCGCATCCGAGATGAAGATCTCCTTCTCGCACTTGGCCTTGGGAAAAAGGGTGATGAAAAACGTGGTAAATGCCTAAATGCACCAATCTTAGGGAAAAACCATTGTAATCCCCATTATATAACTACAGTTATATCTACCATAAACCATTGAATTCAGCCACTTATAAACCAACTTAACGCTATCTTGGGGGGCCCATCCTGTATGGATGCCTTTGGCGATCGAATTGCAGAGGCTGCCATTTGCACGTGCCATTTCCGAAACTGGACAGTTGTGTACCGATCCTTCGAAGATTCATGAAGTGGCGAAGTGGTAAAAATCAGCAAGTGAGTTGTGATATAGTTAATATATGTTATATATAGTTATATATCCCATCAAACATCATCAATCACAATCAGCCCCTCAAAAGATCGTTGTCCCATGGGAGTTAGTGGCAAGAATCAATTAAATATACCAAGGTCACATGCTAAAATACAAACAACCAATCCCCAACTACCTTCCGGAAATTCCACAATTTGCAAGCTGCCCATTTACTTCGATTGTTTACCAATTCAGCATGGCGAATTTCCACAGCTGTATGTATCAAATCACCAGAAGGCAGCAGATCAATTCCCATCAAATCCCATGAAAAAATCCCATTCGAGTTGATGATTAAACCGTTTTTATTGCATTATTTCAGACCACCATTGTTTCCCACAATTTTATCCCTGATTAAACCATATAAAACCACCATTTTTCTCCCATTGCGTTCAAGGAACACAGACCTTGTTCAGGCTGGGACCCTTGTAGCCTTTTTCGAACTTCGCCTCGCAACAGACCTGAGATCAATCCCACCTTGGTGGCAACAATGTGCCTACTTGGTCTAGTTAAATACAGAATATATATATATATATATGTATGTACATATACATACCATATGCATATACAAGATGTATATTATATATATATGTATAGTGGATAGATATGTATACTGTATATGGTATTAATACGTATATATATATATATTATCTATCTGTGTGATATTGATAAGTGTTTGCCCACAAATTGACAACAGATTATTATACATGATCTAATGTACGTGTTCGCCTAGGGCCTAGGTACGAGTAGCAACCCCAATGACTTGACCCATGTCCAACTGGGATTCCCAACTTGGGATGGGTCAGCTGCCCGATACGATAGAAAAGTGGCCGCTATTTCAGTAGGACTTTACAATTCAAAATATGTTTTTTTTTTTGATGTGCTATCACTTTGCCGGATTTTGGGAGTTCCCCTCTCTAAAAAAATCTTCCAGGTCTTAACAAATCGTTTTGGTGGAGCCTGTCCGGTCCAGAAAAACCTGCGCCTTGTGGTACCACTTTCCTTCGAACATCGTGGGACCTTCTCCTTGCTCGATGACCTTCTGGCAGTGGACACCTCAGCCGGCCAGGGCTATCAAATGGCGGCATGGGGGTCTCAAAACAATCTCGGAGTCCATGGGATTTCATGGTGATTTCATGGTGATTTCATGGTGATTTAATAGTTATTCATAGGGGGTTAATGGTGCTGTAGGTGGATTTCATAGGATACAATGCTTCACATACCAATATCCCAATATCCCAACATGCCGGCAGGATTGGGGACCCGGTCAGTGAGATCACACATGCAAGTTTTGCATCACCCCTAGGCATGTGTCACCCCTAGGGAAAGTCATAGAAAGTTATTAACTTGAAACATCTTGAAACCCCCGTTTTCCACATGGTTTTCACTATCAGAATAGTTTTAATGATTTGATCTTCATGCCGATTCATAGCCTCAAAGTCGAGGTGCACTGGTGAAGCTCCGGATCGCTTCCAAACTTGGAAACTGCCGTTGGATTGGCCGCGTAGAAAGCTTCCAGGCACCTGTTGTTGGGATCAAAAGAGTTGAGTTTTGGGATAGTTTGGGATAGTTTTTGGGGATGTCTTTTTTTGCGAAGTCTTTTTGGGAAATTTAAGTTGCGAAACATGGATTTCTCAAACGTTTTTGAAGTCTCAACATGTCTCTCGCCCAGCACCTCTTGTGGATCTCTTTCTTTCCCAGCGAAATCCGGGCATCGCCTGGCGCCGGGACACGCCACGCCAAAATTTTACGGCCAAAGCTGGGCCAAAGCTGGGTCAGCCACGCCTGCTTTGATGGTCTTCTTGCAATGTGCACAAGGAACCTCCAGTGACCTGAGCCGTCCCGAAGCTCGGTGATTTCTGAAGCGAAAGTCCCACAAAGCCTGAACCACTCAAAAAATGGGATCAAGTTTTGTATTTGCGGAAGACAAATCCTAGTACATATATATATATATATTATTTATATATATATATATATGTAATATATAATATATGTAATATATAATATATAATATAATATGTATATATATATACATCTACCGGATATATCTACCGATGGATATTGCTTTCAAGCCCCATCACTGCTGGTCATGATATCAACCCGGTTTCATCACAGTGCAGCTGAAGCGGCTTTGAAAAGCACGTCTCATGCACCCATCCTTGGATTTGCTGCAAAGAAACAAAAAAAAAAACGATTCCCTGGTGACCTGGTGGATATCGGAAAAATCATCAGCAAATCTTCGTGGCTTTCATCACTTTTTTCCATTCAAAATGAGTGGTTTATTCCTCCATTAAAAATGAGTGGTTTAATCATGTTTAATCAGTTTAATCCTCAAATCCCGATCCATTGAATCCTCAGAATTCCCGGCAAACCAGGCATCGGCTGTCCATCTGCACTCGCCGCGTCCCCGTGAGGATCGCCTTATGACAGAGATGGCACACCTCCGGCGCGGCGGCGCTTGGATATCCATCCTTCGATGCGGATGGTGGTGCAGTCGTCTTTGGGCCACCTGGGTTTGATCCGTTTTTGGTGCAAAAAAAATGGTGCAAAGCCATCAAAAAGGTGAGTGGAATCATCATCAAAATCAGCAGCAGCAGCAGCATCATCATCAAAATCATCATCATCATCATCATTATCATCATGATTATCACCATCATCATCATCTGCATCGCAGGTAGGTTGAAACATTCATTTTCTTTAAAAGAAAAAGAAGAAACACTTAAAAAGACCCGATGACAACCACCTAGAAGGTGGTTGCTAATATCCCATCAGCAAGTCAGCAGCACCCAGACACCTGAAAACAATTGAAAACATGTAGCCCCAAAAAAGGAGTTTCGGTTCACCCATTTTGGTGTCTCATGCAAAAAAAGAACTGCTTTTGTTGGGAAAGAAAAAGTAAACTTATTGCCTCCCAGTCGCTCTTTGCCGCCCCGATCTCTCCACCTTTCACCTGCACCACTGCGATAATTTCTTGCATAGCTATGGCAGCTGGTAAGTCACGGCCCATTTAAGGTTCGATGACTTACCTGAAAATGCCTAGCAAAGTAAACAAATTACCAGAGGATAGGCATGAGATGCACGGCCATCTTTGGGGATGATTACCCCTGTCCAGTCCAAGTGACTCGCAGCCGGTATTCTTCAAACATGCTCCGGACGCAGGTTTTGCCTCGGTCAGGTTGGGTTGTTGGGAAAACTCCCCCTACAAAAAACCCATGGCCTAAAAATGTGTCGTTTTCAGAAAAATATCTGTTTATATCTACATATATTATATTATAACGCAAAAAATATCCCAACATCAGCTTGTTTCCTCTGGTTCCAAACATCTTCCCTGCAACCCCCTGGTTTGCCCACACTCAAACAACATATCCAAACAATGTGATATACTTATCACCAGAGGATGAATGAAAACACTGGCTATACGCAGTGATTTTGACTTTAAGTTTTCAGGATTTAGGATTTTAATTTAGGGTTTAGGGTTTTAGGTTTTAGGGTTTTGGTATTTGTTGTTTTGGAAATTAAAAAACTTAAACCCTGCGCAGGGATTTGGGCATGTCAAAGGATATGCGAGATTGGCCGGAGGCAAACCTAGGGGTCGCAGCGACAACCCAGGAATCATCTACCAAGTGATGGATAACCTGCCCGAACCTGCCAGATATACCGCACTTTTCCATCCCAAATTATAGTGCATCTCTCTCAAAAAGATCCAAATTTAGTAGAAACTGGTTCCAAAATCCTGGAAAATGCAAAAAAAAAAACTGTTTCAACGTTTCGCCCTTCAGCCAGGAGGTCAACGTTTCGCCGAGCCACAGACAATGTCACCCTCCTGCAGGGCGCTCTTTCTGCGGCCCATGCGCTCCTGCCCGTCAAGGCTCGCTCTGGGTGCTGGTGGGCCAGTGGTGGGTTATGTCGAGCTGCATTATATATAATATAATAAAATATAAGATAATATAATGTAATACAATATAATATTATATAATATTATATAATATAATAATGAAATAAATTAATATAATATATAATATAATATAATATATAATATAATATAATATATCATATAATATATATATAATATATAATACATCATATATCATATATCATTTATCATATATCATATAATATCATAAAATATAATAGAGCATAATAATATAATCTAAATATTTAATAGTATATAAAGAAAACTATAATATATATATACTATAAATTATAAATATAGTATAATATAATAAATGTAATATAAATATCATATAAATATCATATAAATATACTATAAATATAATATAAATATAATAGAAATATAACATAAATATAACATAAATATAATACAAACATAATGTAAATATAATATAAATACAATATAAATATAATGTAAATATCATAAACACCATATAAACATCATATAAACATCATATAAACATCATATAAACATAATATAAACATCATATAAATATAATATAAATATAATATAAATATAATATAAACATAACATAAATATAATATAAATACAATATAAATATAATATAAATATAATATAAATATAATAAAAATATTATATAAATATAATATAAATATAATATAAATATAATATAAAATTAATATAAATATAATATAATATAAATATAATATAAATATAATATAAATATAATAAATATAATATAAATATAATATAAATATAAGATAAAATTAATATAAATATAATATAATATAAATATAATATAAATATAATATAAATATAGTATAAACATAATTAAAAAATAATATAAATATAATATAAATATATTATAAATATAATATAAATATAATATAAATATAGTATAAATATAATTAGAAAAATAATATAATATACAGTACATTAACATAGACATAGACCCTGGCAGATAGGGGTTGGAAGATGAGTTTCCATTAAAAATTGGTCATTTTCAGGGTCTATGTTAATTTACAAGAGGGTAATATAGTATAGTATAGATATATATATATACTATATATCTATATAACCCCCCCAAAAGATTGACAAGTATTGTGTCACTATTTTAGTGGGATGTTCCTTTTCTATATGTTCTATCTTTTTGGAGAGTTGGTATACATCATAGATGAACATGTCATATCAAATCGTATCGCTGCCCCGCGCTGCACCCTGGCAGTTTCCCGCCATCCTGAATCAAGTCTTTGACGTTGTCCAGAGCGGGGCGATTCGCGTCATTGTACTCCTGAAACCGACGCGCATCTCACGGGTTCACGTGCGAAGCCATGAATTGTTTGGCAACCGGACCAATGAAACCATAAATTGATACAGTCATCTTATGCCATGTTACTGTAGTCTATTTTCTCCTGGAACCATCTTATGTCGTGGTATGTCGTGGCAATCTATTCATGGTACCATCCAATTTGGGCGCAATCGTTTGAACATTTTGAACCATGCCCATGTGCTGGCTGAAGGACATCTTGTAGACCTTGGGGTCACCGGTTTAATCTATTATGTCGTTGGGAAACTCTTAGCAGCTCCACTTCCCCCCACCGGATAGACATAGGCAATATCCAAAAACATCGTCGCAGCCTACCCGCCCAGTTTTCTTCACACTGTTTCTGTCTAGACTCCAGAAAGTTCTCGATACTTTCAGCGCGGCAGACTTTGCAATACATGTGAAAGGCTGCAGCAATGCAACACTGGTGCAAACGTTGGGTCTTTCCGTGACGAGTGAAACCTGCGACGAGTGCATCAAGTAGGCCACAAGTCAAAGAAGATCTTGAAAGCCCCCAGAAAAAATAACAAGCTTGAACTCAAATCTTTGAAAACAAGATTGATCTCCAAATCTTTGAAAACAAGATTGATCTCCAAGTGTTTGAGAACCAAAGGATGGACCCCTTCAAGCTAGCAAAACTAACATAATGCAAATTGAAGAAACAAATCGCCATGTTCTTCCCAGAGTCTTCAAGCAACTTCCCACCTGAAGCTGTCTTGGCCAATGCTCAAATGGGAACAAAAAAACATTAATAAGTTTCTGGTTGGTGGTTTGAACCCCTCTGAAAAATATTATATAGTCAGTTGGGGTTGCTATTCCCAATATATGGAAAGTCATAAAATTCCATGGTTCCAAACCACCAACCAGGTTTTTTCCCGGCAATTTGCATATCAACCCAACCCAACGTTTCTTCACAAAGCATCGTCCAACAGATGTCTGTGTTCTTGACTTTCTATTTCCGCACCAAAATAGTTTGTCAACATACACCGGTAGCATCTTTAAATCTTTAAAAAAAACATGGACCATATGTTTGTTGGTGAAATCTGAAATTCCAAGGACAAAAAGTTGCTGGTCTCAAGGCAGTCACAGTGTGGACACAGGTCGCAGCTGGGATGGCAGAAGGCCTCCGGAATCTCCTGGCCGTTCTCATCCAGGCCGCGGTACTTGCGCATGGCGCGGCTGTTGCCCAGGCAAATGCCTCCGCAACCTGGGGACTGGTGAAAGAAGGCCATCCAGAATATGTCAGCATATATGTATTTATATAATGGGATTTAATGGGATTTAATGGGGATTTAATGGGATTTAATGGGATTTAATGGGATTTAATGGGATTTAATGGGATATGATATGGGATATGATATGGGATATGATATGGGATATGATATGGGATATGATATGGGATATGATATGGGATATGATATGGGATATGATATGGGATATGATATGGGATATGATATGGGATATGATATGGGATATGATATGGCGTATATGGGGATATGGGATAAACTGTGCCCTAAACAAAGTCACAAATCGTCCAAAATGGTACAGTAGTTCAATGGGCCATATAGTTGGTTTTGATGCTAAATACACAAATGAAATCAGTTTGAAACCCTGGAATGTGGTACCAATTGACCCATAAAATTGGTGATTCTCTGAAACCATCCAATTTTTGCGGGCCAATCATGTTAATCCATACCTTTATTCATGGCTTCAGCTACCCATATCCGGATGACATCTGCACCCTCTGTGGACCGTCCGGCCAAGCCCAAATAACATATCCATATTTGTCAACACAAATATGACTGCCAAATCCGCCAAAAAAACGATCATCTATGGTTACATCTAAATGACTTGACCTACACCCATAGATTGGCTTTCTAACTGGGCTCTACCTCATTGAATCAGAACCGTGCGAAATATCCTCATGTCTTCCTCATATCCTCAGCTTCTCCCCATATGACATCTTCATATTATCGTATCCACATGCCCGTGTGATCATCGTCAAAAAATCCTGGTTGCGAACTGGTTCTACTGCTTTGTTTGCCATTCCAATAATGGGGTCCTATGGACTGGTAGTTTGCTCCCTTTTCAACAGGTTAACCCAATGGCTTCTTGACACTGCCGTAGAGCCCCAATGATGCCCTCTGGTAAACGGACACATAACTATAGAAAGTCACCACAGCTTGAATAGAATAGGTAAATCGACTACAAATGGCTCATTTTCAATAGCTATGTGATATAAATTACCAAAGGGTAACTCTAGCCGGGCCACCCACGCACATCCGCGGCTTCAGGATGTCCCATACATCACTTCCTTCCTTGAAATCCTGTAACGTCAAGCGTTGCCGCCGCTGCACGTGTAGAGTGTCGATGGCTGGATGCTCCTCAAATGGCATCACAAAACATGGGACAAAAATTGCGAATGAATCGACAAAAAGGATGATGTCACCATCAAAAATTGCCATGTAAACCATCACAAATTGCGATTTAATGATCAAATTTTGCCATTTAAACAACACTCATGGTGATTTAACATGATTATACATGATTTTGCCATGATATATAATTGTGATATAACCAATTTCTGGCCAATAATGGGGATGCAATAGGGCACACATGATGCACGATGGGGACGTGTCCTGGGAGCAAATGGGGAGTTGGACATGCCACTGGATTTTTTGTCATGGTGAAAATCAATTCGAGATGTGGTTCTGAAAATGAGCCGTGTATAGTACACCCCTTCAATTTATTATGGCCATGAAACAATAGGGAAAATGATGACCAGGGGATGCAAGAATGCAACAAGGTATCGTACTGGGATGATTCAACATGATTCAACCTCAACAAATCTGGGAAATTTGCTGCAGTAACTGGATGGTGTTTGCAGCCACATGCATCACCATAGTGTGTCCGACTTCCGGCAGAAAATCTGCCACTGCCAATAAATCTGCCGGCCTAGGCGCTGCTTCCAGCTTCGGGCAGAAGTTCATCACGCTCATGACGCCACTGTACAAATGCAGCCCGTGCGCCACGCCAATGAGCCGGTGCTTCACATCAAAAATGTTGCGCCTGGCGGGTTGTGGCTGCGGGATCTGAGCTGCTGATTTTGAGATGGGAGGATTGACTCAAAACTGGGAGTAATGTGGGTAAAACAAGAATAAACCACCCTATTTTTTGATGGCTTATACAACCTATTTATGGTGATTTGGGGGATGGTTTATTATTGTTTAACCACATTACCCAAGTTTGACACAAAGAGGGTAGTCAGTCCCAAGTCATCACGGCGCCTGTGGCCGCGGTCCTGAACACCATCGTCGATTACCAAACACAACCTGCAGAATGTACAGCTGCAGTTACCCTCTGGTAAATATACAAAAAGCTATGGAAAATCACCATTTTTTATGGGAAAATCCACTATAAATGGCAATTTTCAATAGCTATGTTCGTTTACCTTACTGTGACATCCCTGACTTTTGTGGACCCCTTGGGTATGAGTCAAGTCATGTCATGTCTGCAGTACTCGATGCGTTTCAGACAAGGGGCCAAAGAAAATCTCGAGGTCCGGGGGTTTAAAATGTTGATCGATACCCCTTCACAGGACCAGCAAGTTGTTCTCTTTTCACAAACGTACAAACGGGTGAGCGTCCGCTCAAAACAACCATGCTGTTGTTTTCTTGACGTGACCCTCGGGTAAGCTAACATGGCAAAAACAGAAATTCCATGCAAAAGGTAGCACCCTGCATGCCACATGTTTTTCCCTCCCCTGCAGATCGATCGCTCTCTGGAAATCCATCAAGTAGCCAGCTACATCCCCATTCTTAAATCCACATCTCTTGCGCGTCAAAACCCCATTTTTCATGGTATAATCCCCCAATTTTTGCTGGTAAATCTCCACGTTTCTTGGCAAAAAAAACGCCACCCACCCACATCCAGAGCAGCCAAAGGGCAGCGCTTCCAAAGGCGTCAGGGGCCCGAAACAGCAGTTCTCAGCCACCGAGTCCTACCGTGACAAGTGCTGCTGTTGGGACTTAGTTACATGTCGAAAGTTGGTGTATAAATAATTTATAAATATATCTATTGTAATATATCCTATGTATACATATACATATATATGTATATGTGTCATATTATATATACTATATATATATATATCCGAATATATATATATATATGTATATATATATAATTATATATATATGTAGCATTTGTGTGTATATAGATATCATTTATATATATATATTTATATATATATAATATTTATATATATATATATCATTCATATATATATATATCATTTATATATACATATACATTCACATATATGTATATATCATATATATATATATCATTTATAATGAGTTCTGGTAAAGGGAACAAAGGGAATTAGTGTTATAAACATGATTCAGATTTGGTTTACGATTTTTTGTATGGGCCCTTCCCTCGTCAAACACCTCCCAAACGAGAAATGCCAGTTCATTGGATCATCATCCCAAATATTGTTGAAAAGCATTACCCTCTGGTAAGTCAATATGAGGGTAGTGCCTTCCAAAATCTGCCAACCCCAATTTCTCCATCAGCCCAACTTTGGCGGAGCCGTCTCCTGTTTCATCATCATTCTATTCACTTCAGCCATTGATATCAGTGATACCATTTGGGGACTTGGAACTCCTAAATCCCCCGCAGTTTTTCAGAGCCATCTAGGGGGGTCTTACAACTGGGGATCCCCAAGTCACATTGATTTCAATACTAAGTCATGGTCATTCATGACTTGGATGATTCAGGGGTACCTACCCCCATGACTTCGGAAACCACATGGCTATAAGTCAAAACCCTGGTACCAGAAAATAGCTGGTGGATGTTGATTCTCCCAGTCATACAAGATGGTGCCCCCCAGTCATGTTTGTTGGTTTATAAACCCCAACAACATCCAACAACCATGGTATATAGTTCGTTATATCTACCATAAACCATGGTTTTTTCAGCCACAAAAATATCTCAACTGAACGCTATCGACTGGGGGTCCCATCACATCTTCCCTCGGTCCTGTTTGGCCAGGAAGGCACTGGCTCGACCACTGGGCCCCGTCATCTCGCCCTTCTGCACGTCGAAGCTCAACCGTGCGGCGCTGCGAAACGGCAGCGTTTCCACCTTCCTCGAGGCGAAAATCCCATGGGAAAAGATGGGAAAATCATGGAAAATCCATGAGATTTTAGATTTCAATGGGGAAAATTCATGGGGATACACCATGGTTGATCTTCTTTTTTGGGACAATCTTAAACGGAGAGCAGTGTTTTTTACCATCAAATATAGGGCTAGTGTCCTTTCTCCCAGTCGCCTCACCCCATCCCATCTCTATGGCTTGTTTCAATCGATGAACCCCCGAGATGCTGTTAAAACGCGTTTAAACCTCATATCCTTCATTCCAATGGTCATTCAAAAAAAAGGCGATTATAAAGGGAATAATATATAGATAATAGAGGTATACAAATATAGGGAAAGATATATATATATATAATTATTTATAATAATACAGTAACTGTCTCCAATTTAAAACATGTTCATCCCTCTCCAAGCATCGCAGTCGCCAGGATCCGCTGAAACCTCTCGGGCGTCACCAAGCTGGGCGAGTTGTGCGAGTCTAGCCCCAGCTTCCCAGCGGCGTGGCAGTGCAGCTGTCCAGCGAAGCACAGGGCCTTGGAGACCTCGAGGGATCGCAACTTGCCCAGCTTCAGGGAGCGGAGATAGGACACGGCTTCCTTGGGATGAAGGGATGCCATGGATATGGAAGATCCATAGCTAGAGGGTAGCTTGGAAAATTGCTGTGGAACCTTGAACCTATGGGAGGATAAATTCCATAGCTATTGGAACAGATAACATCAAAGAACCAGAGGGTACCTGGTAGAAAAGATGTTGGTGTCCTGTTGAAATCCCCAATCAGACAGTCATGGAGGTGTCCGTTTAGTCGATAAACCATCCAGCTATTTGGGATACCCCCAATTTGGGAAGGCCCCAATTTGGGAAAGCAGCAACTAAGTTGGTAAAATCCCAACTCTCCAAAGTGGTGACAAAGTACTGTTCTATCTTCTTTGGGGGCAACTATAATCTGAACTTGGAAGAATTTGGGATTGAAGCAATTGAAGAAACCAAAAACAGGCACGTATGAAGGTTCTGGTCAAGGTTGTCATCACGAAAATTTGGGAGGGAGATTACCAATTGGAATTCTTTACCACTTTCATTTCGGAGTGAAACATCACAGCATAATGAGAACATGCTTGCCCTTTGAAAGCTAATAGACCGTTATTTAAATTATTTAAGTTATATACCCATTTTGTTCGATACACCTCTTATTTCTATGGCCATCCTCCATGGCAAGCTGTAGCACCAAGCGTCCTGTAGCACCGCGGAGCCTTCCCGCAGCAGGAGATCACTGGAAGGCAGGCGCACAGCTGAGGTCTCTCTGTCGTACCACTTCGCCCAATCTTCCAGGATCCTGCTGTCACTGGACTGCTTTTGTTGTGGATTCTTTTCCGTCAGAAATGGATAGAAATACGGGGTGTCCTGCCACTGTTCATGTTTTTTTTGTGGTGGTCAAAAAAACATGTAATTTCATTGTTTCTTCAAATGAGGGATTCATTTTTCAAAAGGGTAAAATGATGATGCACGATCAACCATCAATTTTTGGGGGACCCGAATGGCAAGAAACAAGAAACCGACATGTCACAAATGACGTCAAATGAGCAGTATTCAGAACCCTCTGGATGATGATAACAACCAAAATATTGGGTAGTATACAGCATGGTGCCCCCAAGTTATAAGTTGGTTTATAAACCCCATTAACTACAGTTATGCCTATCATTAACAGCCATAAACCATAGAATTCAGCCACAAAAATATATCTCAACTGAACGCTATCAAAAAATCATCAGCCATGGGCAAAAAGCAAAGCTGCCAGCCCTGCCAGCCCTGCCAGCGGCCTGGCATACTTGCCAGGATGATTTCGAAGATCATCGTGCAAACGTACCAGCTCCTCCTCAAAGACTGACATATACCTGGTGGACAAAACCAGGTGGAATCCTCCATCCCATCCGATATCCAAAATTCACCAAATAAAAAGGGGGGCAAAAAAAAGAAAAACGATAAAAAAAAGAATCTGGAAAGTAAGAAACACCAGATGTTCTTGGATCAACAAATCACCTTCCTGAAGCCAGCTACGGATATTTCTTGGATGCTTCGTGCATCTGTTGCATCCAGTGGTAAGCATCATACTCTCTTTGGATGCGTTCCTGGAGCAACCCAAGGCCATCCTCCCAAGAATCAAAAAAATGGTGGGAAAAACCACCATCAGAAATGGGCGGTTTCACATTGTTTCACCATCAACTAACCATCCTGAAATGAAGATCTAATGGGATGTATTGCCATATAATGTCAACCCCATTAGGGGGGTACTCCCCAAATAGTCATAATCTGATACTTAAATGGTATCCCCCCAATTAAACAACCTAGGGGTTTATTAATCCAGGGTTGCCATATAGATGAATAGTATTAATTACCCAAAATGAAATTCGATACTAAACCAGTGTTCTGGGGTGATATTTTCCCCAAATTGGGAGAAGGATTCGAAAGGATTTGTTTGTCCATCCAATGGAAGTGAGAAATCCTTCCGAAACTTCATCAATTCCAATAATTTCGACCCAAAGAACAAGTCTTTTACCAGCCAGGTGGGTCAGAAAAATGAATTTACCTCCAATCTATCGCCATTTAAACGGGGAAAGTGATGATTAATCTGCAGCTTTTGGGCTTTCCCTCTATCTTTTCCGGTACCCTCTGGTTGTTGAACGTAGCTATGGACACTCACCTTTTTTTAATACGTAGGTAAATCATCACATAAATAGGCCATTTTCCATGGCTAAGAGGGTAACCCAGCCACCTCTTTGTGGGCGCATACGGGTGCTTTCACCCCACGTAACGAGACTCGCCCAGCGTCTGCTTTCAACTTGAAGCGACTTGGCGGATCCTGAGACTTGGTGGGGATCAGATCCCATAAGATATGGGGATAGATCCTGAAAAACACCAAAGATGGCCTGGGGATGCAACAGAGGAAACACTTTTCAAATGTGAAATCTTGACCCACTGATTGGCTGTGAGCTTTGAACTACTATCCGGTGAAATTGATAATGTCTCTGACTATGCCCACTGTCGAAGCTTGGCAATGATACAGTAGCTCTTGAATTGATAAATGCTCCAGCA